TCCGATGCTGCTTCATCACTCTCAGTTCAACAACGCCACCAACCAATTAACTACACGTACCAATGATCTCATGCAAATGCACAGTGAACATCTAGATTTCATTTGTTATCGACAAAATCAAATTGCATTCGTTATCTAGAACTGAGATTTTATGAGCAGATTAGGCACCGTCGAGCATGAAATACAAATGTCAAATTCCTTCTTGATCATTGTAGCGCTGACTGAAGCAAAAGCGTATGTAATGAGCTAATTGATCTGTATATGGGAATCACGTACCCTCCATCTTCTGAGAGTATTGTGAGAAGCATTCTTGGTCTGAGCAATATCAAAAGGATCGGTTTCATCCTCCACATCGTCATCCTCCTCATCCACCATCTTCTTCTTCTCCTCATCGTCGAATCCCTTCCCAGCCGCGGCGGCGTCGGAAGTGATGCCGGACTCCAGGTCGCGCTCCGACATTGTCGGCGCCGACGTCGACAACAACCCGTTCGAAGAGTTGAAACTCATATCTGCTCTCTCGCACAAACCAAAACGAAGGAGACAAAATAGAATTCAGAGAATCTTCTTCAGTACGTAGCACTCTCCTCTCTCTACGAAATTCAAAATCACTGATAAATCCACACCTCGCCTCCCTCAACTTCCGTCGCTCGCTTACACAAAGAACTAAAGAAGACACCTCGCTCGTCGAGAAACAAAGTATATTCACAATTGCTGCGATATATATTCATAATATACAGAAAGGCGGAACGAGAGAGAAAGCTACTTTTTGAAGCGGATAACAGCGGAAGCTGATACAGCTCAGCGGACTTACGAGGGAGAGCTGATCAATGGCGGAGGAATGTCGAGCGGCTCCACCGTCGTTCACGGAATCCAGAAATAGAAAGCGTTTCCTGTTATATCGGTCCGGCAGTGGAGGTTTTTTTGGTTACTGGCCGGCGTAGTTGGAACGATCGCTGTGGCCGGGATATATAAACAGGCCAGCTGGCGGCGGAGAAGGTAAAGAGAGCGATCTGATCGGAGTGTGGAGCCGATCGGTTTTCAATTTATTATTCGGGGTTTTTTTTTTTTTTTGTTGGGTTGGGAATTTTGGGCTATCGAGGAGGATAATGCGGAAGGTGTGAAGGAAGGTGCGAGGGAAGTTTCGATGAAGCTTCCCGCCAACATGCTTTCTCCACTTTCTCATTATTGTTAAGGATATGGGTGGAAATCGGTACGGTATCAGTATCCCAATATTAAATATTGAAATCTCGAATATCGAATTACACTCTAAAGTCAATCACAAACCCAATTCCTAAATAATTTCGGTATCTCAATCCCAATCCCTATATATTTCGGTATATCAATCAGTACTTCGGTATCCCAATCGGTATTATCAAATATAAAATTAATTATCTTTGCAATTAATAATTAAATATATAAATTAGATTTTATTGTTTAATTTAGGGGGAAAAAGACTAAGCAAAGGGTCTTGAATAACGATATTATTAAGGAGAATGGAGGAGAGGATACATCTCAAGTTCTTGTCATTGGTAATCGTTAATTTGACGAATTGGAATTTGAGAAACGACTATTAATAGTGATAGAATGATCTATGTATAATCAAACGACCTCTTGGTGGTTTAGGGTCGTGTAGTAGTGAATGATAGAGTCTAGTTGAGAGAATAAAATACACATTAGCTTATATTTCGGTATTGATGGGTATTTCGGTATATACCGATCTCAATCCCGTAATCTCTAATATTGAATAATAATTGAAATTCAATCTCATCTCAATCCCAAGAAATAATATGTGTATTCGACAATACCAAATATAGACAAATTCGGTACGGTATTCGATATATCCCAGATATCGATATCAAACTTTCAGCCCTAGTTAAGTGCCGGTTTGGGACACGGGGAAAATAAAAAGAAAATTACAGAAAGGGACGGTTGCCGGTCGATTGTCGGGTTGCGTGTCAGGTCGTCCTGCTGCGGGTACTGTGAGTACTAAAAGTAACCAATAGAAAGGCGCGTGGGTGGGGCCCGAGGGCACCATAAAGTTCTCGTGACTGTTCACGCGGTTTTTTAATCTGAAAACAAAAACAAAAAAATAGTTTCTAATTTAGAAAAGAAAATACTCAAAATAGGGTTTTTTTCCGTTAGGGAAACAAGCCAACGGGAAACGGTTGGGGAGAGATCCCGTTCGGGAATATTATCATTTTTTTTTATATGACTAATAAAGGTTGTCGACATCTGATTCAGTAGGCCCAATCCAGATTAGCCCATTGACTCGGCAAACCGTCCACGATCTCACGTCGATCCAAACCCCTTTTATATTTCTTTGCACGTCGACGGCCGACCTAAGACAAATGACGTGGATAAGTCTTGTCATACATTCTCTATATGGTGGAGTTAGGTTTAACCTATTCCTCGATTTTAGAATATAGGTAAAGTTATGGAGACGACTGGTATACTCTGACGGTTAGATTTACATGGATTAGTTTCGGGCAACCTCAATGGTCAATTCTTCTTTTCTACTTAAATTGAACTTTGGGTTTGGTATTAGAAAATTGGGGCCTAGGGTTTATCCATTTGAGGTTAGGGTATAGTATCATACTCCAAACTCGATTTAATTCATGATCTAGATAGAGATCTCTCACTATAAGTACACAGAGCATAGTATGCTCCAGAAGCACACGAGTCTGACCCGTAAAATTATATATACGTTTTTTATAAACTTAGAAATTATACTAGTCTTATGGTTTTAGTCTCGTCATCTAATTAGAACAATTCAAGTCAATCTGCCCCTTGTTCGAATTTCTAGCTCTGCCACTAATTATGTTGTTTTGTCCCTAAAATGAGATAATGTAGAGATGGTGAAATACATGAGTACGGGTTGGTATAGGTTGATCAATTCTTATATATTAGTGATTTATTTTAAAAAATGATTATTTTCACAATAAATTAAATTTAAATAGTCCATAAATAAATAAATAAAAAGAGATAATAGATACATTAGTCGAGTCGAGTTAGTTGAAAAGTGAAGCCTTGCACTTATACAAAGTATTATTGGATAATAATATAAGTTAAAATAGATTAAAATAGGAGAATAAAACAAATATTTAGGCAAACTAAAGTAGAACGGGTAACAAAACAAAGTGAAAGTGTTATTTCTTTTCCATGCACACACTAGCATGGATCAAGTATTACCTACATTGCACCAATGCGGTTCAAATAGAGTAATGTCACCAAAACGGTTCAAGTCAAGTAATACCCGTGTTACAGGTTCTAATTGCCATTACTAGGTTAGAGATCGAAAGGTCATGTTCCAAAGCAAATAGGTCGTGTACGTTTCCCTCGGCTGATCCTTGCTTGTTCTGTGCAAAGAGACAACTTTGGGAGGTTCAACTTAGGGATGGCAATGGGTCGGGTCGGGGGCGGATAGTGCATATCCGTTACCCTACCCAATGTAGTTCGGGTTTTACCCATACCCGTACCCACACGAGAAACGGGTAGAAAATCAAAACCGTGCCCATACCCGTTCGGGTTTCGGGTATCCACGGTTATCCATGGGTAATAATTTCTCCTTATAATTCCAACCAATATGTTAACATTCACACGTATACTCACATTACGTAAGAGGAAAAGTACGACAATAATTCACTAGAATGACGAAAATTAATTAAAACAACATAATTTCATGAAAATATTATATTTGTATGCTAAATATAAAATATTCTAGAGAAACATAATGATTATTTCTAGACAAAATACATATGCATGTGTATAATCGGGCGGGTTCGGGTTGGATAGTGAGATAACCATGCCCACCCATTACCCGCAATATTCGGGTTCGGGTTTTACCCGTACCCACGAAAAATGCTTCGGGTTCGGGTTTTACCCTACCCGATTAGGTCGGATTCGGGTGGATATCCACGGTTACGGATATTTTTGCCATCCCTAGTTCAACTTTAACCACCGTGGCTTCAGGGCCAGCCTGGCTTGTGGCCATGGCGTGCAACGGCGTGGCTCGGCCTGATCAAGCAGATCAGTGTTGCCCACCCGATGATTAAGGTTGACCACATCAACAGGAAGAATAATTCCAAAGCAAACTGGGTAGCTAGATCTTAGTGCAAAGAATCAGCTGTCTAACGAATGGCTTCAAATTCTTGATGTTGTTGCTCTTCTCTTGTAACCCTTGACTTCTGCCACAAGTAATGAAAATGTAGTGCCCTTTGTTAAAAAAAAAACTTTAACCACCGTGGAAAAAAGCTATAGATAGATCTTAGTATGGCTGCTAGGGGTGTCGGTTCGAGTCGAGTTCGATTACCCGAACCGAAACCCGAAAAAACCCAAAAACGAAAACCACTAAAACCGAACCCGAACCTGGTAAGGACTTGCGGGTTTCGGTTACCCGAAACCCGAAAATTCCTTATCGGGTTCGGGTTCGAGTAAAGGAAAACCGTAACCCGAACGTCTAAGAATACGGGTTGAGTTCTATTCATTGGAGGTTTTTAGCCGGAACTCGAAAAACCGATAAGCAGAACCGAACCCAAAACCGAAAAACCAGAAACCCGAAACAAACCCGAACCCGAAAAACAAAAAATGTATATAATCAGGTCGGTTTCGGGTAAACCCGAAAAATCGAACAGAATGGACACCCCTAATGGCTGGTCGAAATTTACCCGTAGCGACTGGCGAGAAAGGGAATGTATAGGCAGAAATAAGCGACAAAGGGGAAGGAGCTGGCCGGCGGAAGACGGAAGCCGGAGGAGTTGACAAATGTGCAGTGCAGGGAGGAGGAAGGAAACGAAGAAAAGATCCCACTGTTGTAAAGTAGCTAGCAACTTCGTTGTTTTTAACTTAATTAGAATGGAATTACGATAATACCATTCCGTGAAGGTGAAGTTTTTAACCCACTATAACTTGCTCCAGAAGTAAAAAAAGGTTCAAGTATGAAGTAACCCAGCAGCAACACCGAAGTTTCATGCCATATGCATGCAGGATTCCAGAAAACCAACTCACTCCCTTCTGCAGCAAGGCTTCCTGCAACACTTGTTTGTACCAGCCGAGAAATGGACTATCTCGTCCTCAACGTGCTTCCCAGTCGAACACCCCTTCGCCGACCATGAAACATACAGTGCTTCCACATCTCGAACCGACAGCCCGTTCCTGCTCAAATCCAAGAGCTGCAGTGCATTGGCCGCAACAATGGCGTTCGAGAGCTCCTTCACCATGCTGCCATGTTCATTTGACGACAGGTCGTTGTTGTTGTTGATGTCGTTCTCGTTCTTTGTCTTCCTGCAGGAGCTTGTGCAGGTGTCGTTGAGCTCGAACCGAGATGCATCAGCTTCTGCTCTGGTTGAATCCTCACTGTCAGCGACTACAAGGTCTTCATCACGTTGCGTGTTTACCTGGCAATCAAGTAACCTTTCATCAGTCGGTGATTTCTTTGAGGTTGGGTTTTCGTTCTTCTGCAGGTCATTGTTGTCAGCAACATGGAGCTCCTTCAGTTGATCGTTCTCTGAGGGAAGGATTACGAGTCGCAGGCAATTGGTTATGGGTAGTGCACGTGGGAAAATGAAACTACAGAAGATAGGGAGAGCTCATTGTGTGGACTTTGAAAAAAACCTGCAAGTGCTTGGATCAATTGAAGAACGAGGAGAAGTCCCAGCTGACATTTGTTTAGGACCAGAAGCCGAAGGCAACATCCTGGCTGTTTCAGGAGCGACACTAATGCATTCCCTCCCTGTGTAAAGATTTGAGTTCACTTACTGAAATAATGAAATAGAAACACAGGAGTTGTTAGATAGGGTGATGAAGGGCAAACCAGTGGCAGGATAGGATTTCCTTGGAGATTTAGCTCCATAATGCAGCAAGCAAGGTTGAAATTCGAGGCAAGTTTGTGAATGCATGCAGATGTCAGGGTGCAGTAAGACAGGTCAAGTTTCAGAGATTCTTGAGATCCCGTGGGGAATGAATCGGTCAACTGCAGAGCCCATTCCTGCAGTTGTAATCAGAGTTTGTATCATGACAAGCAGGAGAAGCTAGGTTCAATGAAATAAATAAATAAATCTGCCAACTACAACAGCAAAATCAGGATCTTAGAGATACCCACATTTCCTATGCCGGTGCTCCCAACACTTAAACTTGTCAAACAAGAAGTTTTTGCTAGTTCGCATAGGCTGTCAATGGCTGGCTTGTTTAGCTTCAGACCACTCCGATCCAGCTCTGCGAAGCTACAAAGGTTTTTTCAAAAGAAAATGCCGTTCTTTTAGTCGTCAAAGCAGCATGCCTTGAAAAATGTCTAGGTAGCATGTACATAGAGATATTAAATAATGACATTGCTAACCTATTTAGGGTGGAAAGTCTTTTCAATAGATTGGTGATGGAAGCTCTTGTTAAGGGATTATGTCCTGCTTGTGTGATCAGTAATGAGTTATGTGACACCAAGAGAGAGTGAAGCAGAATTTTAAGATCAGTTATCACTGATTTCACAGAAATGCACCTATGGAAAGTTGTGCCAAGACTGAATCAGAATGTATTGCGTCGACAACTTTCTGAATCGTTCTAGATGTGATGGAGCAGCGTTCTATATTCAAACTGTAAAGAGCTGTAAGACAACACTTGAAAAACTTGCCAGTGTTAGCTTCTTCTTTTTTTCTTTTTCTTTTTTTGTGGTAATGGCGAACTCGTATTATTAGATTTAAGAAGACGTAGAGGAAGGGAATAGTACAAGGTGGGCAGGGGTCCCAATGTACCCAACATCCCCAGAACCAGAAGAAACAGATTAGAGCATAAGAGGAAAGGACATGACCAAAAGCAAGCCAGAACAACAACACTGACTTCTTAAAATAAAAGCATACACTCTGCTAAACTAAACAGGTATCGTCAAACAGAAAGACTAGAAAGCACTTCAAACGGAAGAAGAAAACTTAAAAAACAGGTAAGATTCATCAAGCATCTACAATTAGTCAATTGCTTGCTCTAATAGCGTGGTTAACATTATAAAACAGTAAGCAGATATTTCTCTTTACCTTTGCATTTCCCCAATATAGTTGACAGGTATGATCCACATGCATCAGTGAGTCGATTGCCAGAGATATTAAGCACCTCGAGCCGAGAAAAGAAGACGGGACACTCACAGATCTGAAAAATAGAAAATGGAAGGAGCAGTTAGAACTGATCTCTTGGAAATCAAACAAAAGACTTGGTAAATGAAAGTTAAATATATCTCAGTGGAACTAAGATGATAAACCCTCAAAAAGTGAGAGATACGGCATCATAAAAATGTAAGCAAAATCAAACAGTACAGAGAGTAAATGGTAACTAAAGAACTCAGTCTTCTAAACTAAGTATGGGGATGCTAAGAGTGAAGCTTCATATGCACGGACAGAACGCATTGAGCTAAAGGTTAATAACCTGAAACAATGCAGTAGGTCCAAAGCGGTTGCAGTGCAGGTCTAAAGTTAGATCACCATACTTTTGGCCTGATGTGAAAAATTGTTGAAGTTTCTCCATCGTTCCATTTCCTGAGAGAAAATAACCATCACGCCCTCACATAAGAAAGTGATACAGAAAGGCTTCTAGGATGACCTTTCCCTCATTGATATATTTTATCAAGCCACAAATGGAAGTCAAACTATCACCAATGGAGAAGACATGCACCTAGTAAATTATGAGAGAGATCCAGCATGACTACTGTCTTGTGCGTGTGCAGGGCTTTTAATAACGGAGCTATAGATATATCTTGCAACCCACACTCTGAAGCAGTAACTTCATCCTCCACCTGTTACAGTATAGAATATGAAACAATTTCAGATTAGGCACCATTCGACTAGAATAATATAAAGAATTAGGCATTGTCAAAATTCAGGATGAATGATAAGATAATTGTGGTCAATCAGCACCTGCATGACCAACACTTACCTCTAATATGTACAGCTTCTTAAGCAAATTTATATTGGGTGACTCGGATAACTCGTTACAGCAATCAATGTACAGTTTCATCAGCCGCTTCTGGACCCATCCTAGTTTGAAAGGAAAAAAGAATCCATTAGGGACTGACCAGGAGCAACCAGAACATAAGCCATTTCCAAGACATCACTAGTAGGCCACTACGAGAGATGGCTGAGTACCATATGTCCAGTAGGCTCAATAGTCATGAGAAAAAACGAAATAAAACTCAAAGCACTTCCCATGAGACCGTTCTAGAATATTATCTTCAAAATCTGCGGTATGCCAGTACCTTAAAGCTTCTGCAGACTTTGTAGGTCATCATCGAAAACGCTACTAAATAACTAGCCACTGTATTCTTTGAGAACCCTACCTAACATGTACATCAAGATACCTATTTCAGCTGCTGGCTGCATTCACAGGTAATATGTTATCTTCTTCCTAGTTAAGGAAGAGTTCTATATCATCCAGTCATGTGTTCAATAATGTGATATAACCATCTAATGAACAACAGCTGACATTGGCTCTCCCTATGCTGTTGAATTTCATATACTAGAAACTGGGGTAAATGCCACATTTGGTCACTGAGAATACTAAATCGTGTCATGTTTAGTCACTATAAAATTTTAATATTAATTTTGGTCACTCGAATTACTGAAACATGTCACATTTAGTCACTCGAATTACTTAAACATCTCACATTTAGTCACTCTCCCGTTAGTTTCCGTCCAACTCCATTAATGGAGTTGAACGAAAACTAACGGGAGAGTGACCAAATGTGACCAGTTTCAGTAATTCGAGTGACCAAAATTGACATTAAATTTTTCTAGTGACTAAACATGACACGATTTAGTAATCTCAGTGACCAAATGTGGCATTTACCCTAGAAACGGTGTATTGAATATTCACAACAATAATGGACTTGAAACAATGAACTGAGTATTGACCCCAAAAGGTATTATATTCAGCACAACAGAATTACAATCCATACTCAAAATACAAAATTTAAAGAGGATTTCCCACCATACCGTCAATGGAAACTTCAATGAAGATGTTTCTTGCATCTTTGTTTAGAGCTTCAAGTTCATCCAATGATTCCAGAATGTGTCCCTTATAGTTGAAGTGTTGAATGATGGGCAACAAGCCTAATGAGACAGTCTGTATTAGTTACAACTTACAAAAACGTTATATGAAAACTGAAACACAAATATATATATTCAACAGAAACAGACAAAATAGCATGCACATATCCAGTAGCCAAGTCTTTAGCACTTCATTAACTTAATGATTCTGTGTAGAGCAGGAAGATGACTTGAAACATATGCAGATCTATGCACCACATTCAAGCAAAAGTAAACATTAGGCATTTGTATATGAAATTAAAGTTGAAGATTAAGGAAGCGGTATAGCGTTGTCTTTCTGCAAATTTACGCTCTGTGTTGCGACAAATTGCACCCTGAAGAAAGAAGCGTGAGGGACTAACTGATCTAGCTCCTGGAGTGAAGCATAGATAACAGAATTTTGAAGAAGACAGGAAAAACCATTTCATATATACACTGGAAGCCAAAATCAACTATTAGTAATTAGCTCATAATCTTGCATCGCTTCACCACAAAAAGGATTTACTGAAGCAAAATGCAAAACATTTATGCTTGCAACTGTCAGAACCATAAGCTATGGAAGGCAGCAGTTGGACCAACCTTTGCATCGCTTCTCTGAAGGAAGTTGTAAATAGTATAAGCATGCCACTTCGATGCTCAAAGATTCAATGCTGAATTCACTAAGAGCTAAGCTTGAGCCAGCCTTGAAATTTATCATGTCATTGGCAATGTTAAATGTTATGGTTCGCTGCACACAGTAGAAAGATGGTTATTTAATGTCATGATGCACTGCAAATGGAAAACATTTAGGCAGCTAAACTAAAAAATCGTAGTTTCAAAGCATCCAATTGAGCAGAACTTTCTAAAGAATACACTTGCAACTGCTATCAGACCACAGCATCGACCCATAAAAACTATGTAATTAGAGCATGCACTTTGGTGAATTTTTTGAATAAGCATCGACAATCTTAACATTCTGCATCATCAAATTCAGCTCACAGACTCTATAAAAGAGAATGCTGAGCAGTAGCATAATGATCCTTTTTAATTATACCACCAACAATAGATGCAATGCAACAACTTCACAATCACACGACTAATGCAGAAGCACAAACCTAAACATTGTGCCTCTAGAGTCAAAGCATTTATTGTATAACTCACTTTCTTGTTACCGTCTAAATCGTGCATGTTGAAATAGGCAGTATTTTGTTCACACGGGAGCTTGTCAGAAGCACCAAGCCCACATATAGAACCACTAGTTGCCGAATCAGATCCAATATTTGTTTCACCCCCGCTTACAGATCTCAAAACTTGATTGACATGATTAGTCCCTTCATGATTCGGAGATCTGTAAGGAAAATCAATGTCTTCAACTTTAAATTGGTCGGATGAATCGATGGCATATTTGGAAGCATCCATTGACAAATCCTGCCAAAGGCCAAAGTAGAAGGAAGTTAAGCTTCAAATTAGAGATAGTGCGCGGTTGTGAGCATTGATTCAGATTCTCACTCGAGTTTCAAAAGAAGAACAAGCTGCAAAGTCTTTTCTATCGGCTGCAATAATAAGTACGGAGGTTAGCACCAATGAAGAGAGGCCCAGAGCTCAATTAATAGAACTGCACAAACCCACTTTCATCAGATGTAGCAACAACTTCAACTGGAGTCGAGTGAAACTTTCTCTCCAAGCAAACCCCCTTCTCATTTGTTGGATCTTCATCATCAGAAAGGACCACCCTAACGCGCTTGCGACCAACTGTCTGTTGACTGCTTGCTGTTTTAGCAAACAATTTTGGAGAAGCTTCAGTACGATTGTTAGAATCATGAAGCTTTTTAGCATTCGTTTCCTTTTTCCCAGGCAGCTGTTTAGTGGACTTAGCTAGTGAAATCAGAAGTACGTCCTCCTTCAGCTCTTCCACAGAGACTGAAGATGTTGATCTTCCAGGAAAGGATTCACCACCATTTGAAGAGCATGGCTTAGAAGATAAACTGTCTGATGAACAATCGCATTCTTCTGTGTCAGTCTCAGAGCAGCAATCGCTATGTTTCTTCTGAGCCTCCCTATCTTTCAACTGCTTCAGGTTGTCAATTTCAAGTTGCAACCTCCTGTTCAAGAGATAATTTTAGGTAGAACAAGCGATATTGTAGTAAGTCATAATTAAAAGGAAGGTTTTCACTCTGTTCAGCAGCTATTCATAACTTAAGTTCAGTTAATGTTTCAATTTAGAAATTGAGATTCCAGGTTCTCTCAAGGTAACAGCTTGTACCCATATTAAGCAAGTATCATTGAGGATCCAAATTTACCTTGCTTCTTCAGCATTCTGGAATCTTATCATTTGGCTATAGTGCATATTCTCAAGGGCTGAAAGCTGAACAGAAGGGCTATTAGCTTCCACTGCTAACCTGTCAACATAAACATAATGAGAAGGACTACAAATAACTATCAAAGAAAACAACATGCCAAGCAGATCGCTTTCAAGAAATCAGCCATATAAAAATGGTGATTAGGAACTTAGGTCTCGATTTAAGGATGACGTAGGAGGGTTGTAGGTCCTGATAGAGACAGTGATTAAGGTTGACGTAGGAGGGTGACGAATAACACGGAAGACAATTATAATTTATATGAAAACAGTGTTTTCTTTTCTAGGTCAAAATCACTTTTTTCAACAAACAATAAAGATCATAATCTGTTCAATTATCCCTACTTGACTGCGTATAACTGAAATAGCATAATCTTGGTGCAATTACTATAAATTGCAAAGAAGAGCAGCATGGTAGGCAGATAGATCCCAAGAATATCACATTGTGATATGCAGTTCATCATACCAGGGATGAGCTGTTAATAAATATAACAAAAGGGGTACCTGTAGCCTTCTTCAAATGCAGCCAGTCCACCTGACCAATCACCACAACTGTCCTGAACACCACCAATATTTATTTTAGCTGAAGCTTGACCCTGAAATGAATAGCAAACAAGAATAAATTTTTACAACATTAAAATAAATTTGATGCACTAGAGCTACTCAGCTAAAGATCATCATTACTCCTTCAGTGTCAAGAAATTATATCTAACTGCAATGAATGTAGCTCTGAATGAAATGGAATAAGAGTAATGATTTTTAAGCGTACACTGCCAACCAGTAAACGAACCTCCAAATTGCCAATCAATTTAGACACCTCCCAACTCTTTGAGAACCATTTATTTGCCTTGCTAAAGTCTCTAATCTTCTGGTATGACTCTCCTAAATCCAGAAAAGACTGACCCAACATTTCTTTGTCACAGAGTTGAGTGGCCACTTGCTTCTTCTGTTTTGCAAATTCACGATGCTGTATACAACAAAGTCGAATACAATAGAGGAAAATTGGATTAGTTTTCATGAATCCCAGAGATAAACATTGCTCTGAGACATAGCTGCGTGTAGTTATGGGTCAATCTGATAGGAACAGGAGTTGGTTCACACTTAAAAAAGGCGCATCAATGCATAATGCAATCTGCAAAACTACCTTACGATGCAGAAAACATTATTTGAAGCCCATCCCTTCATAGGAAACGGGAAAAGAAAAGTATCAATGAAGCAAGCCACTCATTTACAGTGCATATTTGGATCAGTTGTACAGATACAAACAGGATTGATGAATCCTGAAGGCAAGGAGCAAAAGGTGCGTGCCTATAGGAGAGCTTAAGTAACCTTGTTCGGTTATCCAACCAAATGCAATTAATAACACCCCAAATAAAAATCATAAAACAGTAATGTACGTGTTACTATATTTATATGTCTTTAGACAGGGAATTCAAGTTGGAGAGAATTTGATGCTTAATATCTTACTGGCAAAACCAGTATTCGCACAATAAAAAATCAGCACAGTTAGAGTCTGATGAGTCCATTCAAACATCGCAAGACCTAACTGCTACACACCACTGCTAACGAGATTGGTTTTCTAACATATTAGAACAGAGACTCGGCTTATGGTGACAGAACATTACCTTCGGCCATGCAAAGATCATGCTGGACTTCTCAATAAGATGCTGCAGTAACGAATGAAGCTTCAGCAAAGACTTCCTCTCATGTGCTGTACCTCTTACAGAATTCATATCCCTGGTTAACTTCTTAAGAGTCTGCTCTTCTGTCTTCAGCTCATCCATTACCTTCACTGCTTCTCTCACAGTTGTGATGTTCTGTTCAATTTGTTTCACCAAAGCATCTTCGTCTTCCATGGAATTTGCTAGTTCAAGAGCCTTCTGATAGCAAAGAATTGCATCATCTTACTTTTGGACCCTATAATGCAGTTCACCTAGATTGATGAAGCCCTTTGCCTCCCCTTGGCAGTGACCAATTGCTTGACATATTAGAATATCTTTCTCAATATGGTCCCGGGCTTTATCCCATCTTCTTAGCTCCATATAAACCTTTCCAAGATTGTGATGGAGCCTAGTCCTAGTATCATCATTTTCATTCACCTCTTCCTCATCGCAGATCTTTAGTCCTTTGGCAAGGATATCTTTAGCCACTTCCAAGTTCTCGAGATCAATTTCAAGCGCTCCGATGTTGTTATGCGCATCTACGTACTCCTTGAGGAAAGATGAATTATTAGTCGGCGGATTTCCCCTGAGAGTCTCAACTAACTTCATCGCTAGCTTGAAGTACTTTTTAGCATTCCGAACTGCATACCAGTCATTCTTGTACCTTTAGAAAATTTCATGGTATGAGCGACCCAGTTGGGTGCTCGCTCTTTGCTGCTCGACAATGTCATTTGCAGCATTCGCGAGCTCAAAGTGCCTTTTCTGCATGAATACAAGGTAGATCCATGATAAACACAGCTACTTCTCCTCACATGGCTTTCCAATCTTTCAACAGAAGGACACTCATTCCCTATTCCAGGCCTACTTATCTAACGACGACATAGGCAACCCATCAGCTTCCTAAACCTAATCAGAGTAAATATGTTCCCGATTCTCGTGGGCAATATGGAAAGGAAGAGAAAGCCGACCTGGTAAACCAGTGCATCAGGGAAGTTCTCAAGGCGGAAGTAGATCTCCCCAATGGACTGGCAACTCGCCAACAGGTCCTTCTCCGGCAAGTATCTAACAGAGATGTCGTAATCCTTCCGCAACCATCTGAGCGCCTCAACGTACTCTCCTCTGTTCTTCAGTATGTCACCTATCACGTTCGCCCATCGCGCTTCCTCTTGCCGATTCCCCTCCGCTTGCGCGGTCTTGTAAGCTCTCTTCGCTACGTTTAATTTCCCGTCGTCTTTAGCCATCAATAATCCCTGAGAAACGGGATCTCACTCAGATTATCAGGGCCTTGCAGTCAGATTGTTGTATACCTGTAACCAAAACCTCACAAAAAAAAAAAATGGCGCTTACTGCTTCTAGGCTTCCCCGCTCGGAGGCGATTTAGGTTTTCCCCTTTCCCCCGATAAAATGAAGTGGTGAAGAGGGGACAATTGGCGGGAAACCAGATTTGTGTGCAATTTGCCAATTTTCATTCTGCCGGGAGTGAATCGAAGGAAGGATTTAATTTGTTTGGACTGGACCGAAAGTTGATTTGCGGATTGGACAGGCCCGTGTTCAAGCCCATCTAGCGTTTTGCGGATATTTTATTTGAGGCCCATGATCTGCACGTTTGTCTCCAGCCCATCTTCTGCTGTTTTTATTTTATATAAGATACTCTGAAAAACCATTATCCAACAACACAAAGGAGAAAGGGCAATGGAGATATGTAGGGAATACCACTGATTTCACCATGAACTATAATCCTCAAGTATTAGTGTATTACTACAACAATGGCATCCAACAAGTTCTTCAATATATCTACACTTACATCACAAAAAGAGAGCTACCTGAATCCTATTCAGTACAAAACCACTCTGTTCCGAAGAAACAAAACCAATTCAAAAGCCAAAACAACAAAACAAAACAGAAGACAAAACAGAAACAATTATGTTTTTCCTGGGAGGAGCTTTGATTTCCCAGTTTCTTATATTGTACATATTGAAGCTTCTCAACCTTCTGCAGTATAATGAATATCAGTATTTAGGAAGGCTTCTCCAACCCCATTTCGCTTCACTGCCTTCCCCATATGGAATTGCTAGCAAAAACATGTATGGGCCATGTGATTCCTTTTTGAAATGTATGGAGAGAAATGACTGGTGATTGGTGATGATGTACCGGGAATCTCAGCTGGTACTAGTATTTGAGTTTTGCCGGTGGCTATTCTCCTACCGGCTACATTCGCATAGAACAGGCCAGAGATGGCCGGTACAAAGACATCACTTCTGGAACACAAGTAGTAGTCGATGACCTTCTCAAACTCCGAATCTTCCGACTCCAAGAACCTCGACTTCTTCTCCGCTGGCATTACACTTTCCTGCAAGTTTTGCATGATGTTAGAATGCTAGGAAGTGGGATGACCTGCCATTTTGATATTATCAACCCGATTCGTGTTGTAAGAAGAAGACAGACAATGATGACTCACCTTTGTGTAAGTTTTAGGGAAGATGTCCTTCAACACATCGAGACTCTCGTCCCACCTTGACTGAGTTAGATAGATCACGGTGCCACTCCCAAATCCAACCTTCCTCAAGAATAGGGCAATCTCATGTGCATTGTAACAGCTCTTTGTTGCACTGGCACCTCCATTACAACCCTTCTTTTCCAACATGTCAACTCTCAAGTCCACTGCTATAAACCGACCACCAGAATTGTGGCTCAAAGTTTTCAACCTTGCAACCATATCGTCGACCACCTCATTAACCTCAGGCTTCAACTCCAAAGTGTCAAACATGGCCAAACATGCGAGTGTATCACTGCCGTCCTTCTGTGGGGTCTTCCTCATGTTTACAGAGGGGAAGTAACTTGCCACTCTGATGTTACCCTTGCTTCTAAAGACTGGTTCAATTTTCTCTGCAATGTATGCTTCTGAAACTCGATTGGGTACCCTGACAACTTCAAAATCTCGAATTGATACAGAATCCGGAAGCTCTCTCACCACTTTAACTACCCCATCCAAACCATTGATGAATTTCCCGACGTCATAGATGTCTTCAAACTTCCTGAAAATTGCAGTCATCCATCATGTTCTGTACAAAGATTAAAAAAAACTACGTGTAGAATGAAGCCATAAAAATATAACCACTCATCTGGAGCCAGCATTTCATGAGGAGGTATATGACACAGAATCCGATATCAATAGTTATAACTTATAAGACACAGAATTCAGAAGCGCACAATGATTACAAACAAAATCTGTTGGTAGGTATCAAAACTATACTGTTGCTTGACTGCTGAAGGATGTCATCAAGGTACTAAAATTGTGCAACTGAACAACAATGTGCTAAATTACAACAGACTTGGGTTGGTTTCCAGTTTCCACATTGCAGAATGTGACAATATCTGACCCACAAATAAATAAAAAAGAAACCATCTAAGAAGCCTAAAAGCGGCAAACTAACCTCTCATCGCCTGGTCGGTCTCCTCTAATATCAGGAAGTACAAGAGTTGCCTGCAGATATCTAGCAATCACCACAGCATCACTAATCTGCAGAAACCATTCCCCACATGGAGATGAAGAGATTTAGAAAGGATGTGGATCCATGAAACATCTATCTTCAGAAAGCAAGAAGGGATACATTGTATCCTCATCTATCCTTATCAAAACACCAATTCATGCTCATCACCGGACGATTGGAAGCTGCACAACAAGATGCAACCTAATGCTGCAGAACATCTCACTACGCGGAAAAGAGTTACAACCAGCAAAAGTAGGAGAGAACTGGAGCAAGTATGATTAAGTAACATAACAGATTTAACTGAAAAGTCAAAAGCAGGAAAGAAACCATAGATCTTAATTCACAACTGCAATCATCACCATCGAGAAGTTATATAACTGCATTGCCCAAATATATCAGGCCAGTTTAGGATACCTGTGAGACGTGATACTCCGGTCCATTCGTTAACGAGAACGTGACAAACCCTTTGTAATCCTCTATCTCATCTGTCAGACAAAGCAACGACCAAGAAGAAACCCCAATCAGAACCATAATGGGGAAACCTGCATCTCGAGGAACCCAAGTTGAAAAAACATACCAAAATCAGCCTTCTTTTTCCAACAAGGTGTAAGCGCTTCGCTCTCTTCCATCCAAGGACCGTTAGTCTTCATTGAAAACTTCTCCATAACGTTCCCGCTATCAAACCCAACATCTCTGGCTTCGCCGGGAAACCTTTCCTGCTCGGATAAGCACGTCGACGGCGTCAGTACATTAGCAAGTAAAAAGGGATAGATGGAATAGTAAATGAAATTCTACCACGAGGATCAAATACACGGAAAGTGAAGATTAAAAACAGAGATGCGAATTAGACGACGGTCAATTCCCGAGGCCCATCATTTTCCCTTAAAAAACAAAGAGACAAGTCCCAAAAAAGAACACGATCCCGTGGATCTTGTACTCATTTCACAAATTACAGAAAAGATTAGCACTTTCCGAAGAACCAACGAGAACCCATTACACAGTACATCATCCGAATGTCTCAAATGCAAAAGGGGGAAATCAAGGATTCGAATCAAAACTCATATCAAATAGAAAAGGGGAAACAGAGAGAAAACAGGGGAATAGGGGAACAAGGTTGAAGACGTACTTCAGGATTGTCAATGTAATCCCTCTTGAGCATATCACCAAGCATGACGAACATGGTGATGGTGAGTATCCCAGCAACCACTTGCCTCAAATCCACTCCCATTTTTCCCCCGTCCCCTCAATTTACGCTTCTTGTTTGGCCGGAAATGGGGGATTAAAACAGAGGAAACGAATGAATGTTTCAGGGGAAAAGCGTCGAGGGAATAGTTGAGCAGCAGTAGGTGTTGTGAGCAGCGGGGAGGAGGTGCAGAAATGAATGGATAGAGACAAGTAGCTGAAGTCGAAAGCTCAACGGCAATTCACACAGGCAGAGAGCGAGCCCACTGTCGTCTTTGAGGAGAACCACCGACAGTTTTGCCTCTCACCTTCTTTCTTTTGCATTTATTCTGTAGTGAAAGTGAATGGTAATAGAACTTCCATTTTACCTTCTTGGTTCATTTTAGTTCCTTACCATTTTCTTTTTATTTTTTCTTCAAATTCTATAGTTAGTTAATTACCTTCTTAATTGCATGAAATTAGGTGGCAGGTGAGGTGTTTTGGCACGTAATTAAATACACGGAGGCTCTGACATGAGATTAAAATAAGGGAACAACATTGATTTTACATAATTTGGAAATTTATATGAAATCTTTTTTTTATTGTCATCTCAATAAGTGGGGTTTTTTCGTGTGCTAATCATTCAAATTAAGGTTGGTCTACGTTGGAAAAAGTAGAATCGGATTTAGTTATGTCATATGCCATGTCGTATATGTCGAATTAAATAACTATAGTTACTGAATTTCATATTCAAATACAACAATTTTAAAAATAGATCGTCCTGTAAATACTTTTGAAATTCCACTATTTTGGCTAATCTGAGTATATATGTCTACTTTCTAAATTAAATATTACCATCGTTAATTCATTATCATTATTGTGATTTTATTAGTCTAAGGACTCAAGGGGATAAGAAAATGACAAAAGATGAAAAAACAAAACAAGAAGAAGAAGAAAGGTAATTACTAATTAGCGTGATCCAAGGGAAAAATGGTAGTAGAGCGTGATCAAAGGAGGAAATAGTAGGAGAGGTGTCGATCTCGGGTGACCTCACCTGGATTAGTTGTCTAATCCCATTTCAACAAGGAATGGGAAATGGGATTAGTTTGAGGTTTGTCTAGTTGGATGATTGATTACCCAAACCTTATTATATTCCAATTCTTTGGTGTAAACAAAAAAAAAAAAAAAACCAAGTAACCCTCTCGTTGTTTAGTAGGTGCCAATAGGATAGGGTGCATAATTTGTACATAATTAAATATGATTAGTTGGTTTTGAGTGGGGTCAATATCTAAGGATTGAGATCAATGTTATCAAAGTCTATCTTCTGAGTATAAGCAAAATGACGAGTAAAAGCGCGAGTTTTTACACATTTTGAAAATTTGATAGAAATTCTGTAAGTTTTACTTGTATTTTGTAAAATATTAACAAATATGTGAAGTAAGTCAAGTAACTCATATTTAAGAATTAATTCACACACACATAAACTAAACCAGTAGTCTCTTAACCAAGCATTCATCACCTTCTTGATGCTTTAGGAAAATTGACCTAAACTTGACCCAATATAGTCCTAAAATTCGGACCAAATATACTACCCTATACAGGATGGTAACCGATGGTAGACGATGATGAAAAGTGGAAAATGATGGTTAAAATATTATTTCTATTATGTAAAAAATCATTATACAATACGATATATTCGTATCACTATAGTATAATATTAGGTACTATCACGGTACAGATGGATAATAGATACCTAAAAAAATCAAAATACATAAAAATGCATATTATTTTAGGGAACATAATTAATCTGACTTTTCAATGAATAAAAATTAAATTTCAACTTAAGAAAAATGAGACATTAAAAGATTATACTTCTGATTAAAGTGATGAAATATGAAAAGTATGTTGTACTTAGACGTCTAATGGAATTGCCTTAAAAATGATTTACTGTTCCAACCAAAATCTTATTGATGAATCATGACTTTCTTTTCTCTCTTCTTTTTATACGATTGGTAATGTGGTGCATATTGATAGACTATGAAAATCGAACATGAAAACATATAATTACAACTCTTGTATCTCATCAATGATCAATCGAACCACTTCTAATGATTACAAATTTACACCAATAACGAGTTTTTCTTCATTCTTCTCGTATTTCGTCGTGACGCCTTTAATGCTGGGTTTTTAAAATTGCAACATGTAGATATGAAGCTAAACACGAGCAAGATGCCTCAACACTCATGGTCTTGACTCGTCACTAGATGTCAGCTTGTTTTCTTAACCGAGAAATGTCAAGAAGAAAACAACCAATAAAGTAAAACCCCTACATATACCCAATAACCTACTATTACAAAAACCAATCGTAAAAAATGAAAGAAGCCAACTCTAACAAAGACAAAGAAAGGACTTTACGTGCCTCTCCTTGAGCAGTACATTAACAACTCAAGAAACCAACATAAACACTACATCAAGCAGAATGGACGAGACCAACGAGAGACAATCACCTCATTGGAATATGTAATTTTTACAAGGCGTACCGCTCTCTAAACAACTCCATTAACAATTGGAGGAACCTACCTAAAAACTACACCACCAAGCATAATGGACGGAATTCCCCCCCCCCCCCCAAAGTACACATGTTCTTTAAAAATAATTCTCAAAATACACACGTTTTATAAAAATTCTTAATCTACACATGCATGGGCAACAACGTTGGAGTCAGACGCGGTGAATATCATCATCGCGGCCGACTAAAGCGATTAAGGCTTCATCGCGCCCGTTGGCATCGATGCACGCTTCCTGGTCATTCACTGTTGGAGTCAAACACGATGTAGTCCTAATCTAGTCTGAAACTTCAAACGATCGTAACTTTGCAATTGAAACGTAGGGAACAAGATTGAGTTGGGAAGATCAGATGACTTATATTGGAGGAAAGATACCAAAGACCGCACCCCAATTTCTTACATCAATGATTTCCCTCACCAAGTTCACACTCATCGCTCTTCTCCTTCATCTTCTCGATTTCTTCTCTCAATCCCACGAGGAACAACAAGGCAATCCCAAATGAATGATAAAAATATAAAAAGGAACACATACACATGAAGGGAAAATCGACAAGAACACATAATTGAAAAGAAAGATGAGGCATTATGTTGGTTCGATTATCGATCGGTTACTTTGGTCTAATCTTGTCAAATCACTTGCTAAACGGTTTGTCAGTTAACCGGCATAATAATTAATAACCAATACCCAACTATACGATTACGGGTATCCAACTATTATAAATAGTGCGATTAACGGTAAATAAAAATTACTTGCCGATAAATCGATAATCGAATAAATAATTACTATTATAAATGAACCGACCAGAATCGACTTACAACCTACCCACAATGTTAGCCATCTGATGACTCGATATCTGCACATGTTTTCCCCTTTGTTTCTTGATCGTTTAAGCTTGTATTATCGCTTCTTTGGCCTATTTTACGCTAGGTTGTGTTCCTTTATCACATTTCAGGTCCTAGCACATAAAGTGAAGTATAGGCGCAAGTTTTAAGTCAATCGGAGATCAATTGGCGACTCGGGGGAAGAAACTCAACATGACCTGAATAAGAATGGATTTCTACCTCATTTTGTGACCAAAGAATCATGTAAACTTGTCATTAGAACGAAAAGGACAAGACTACGAGCGTCTGGGATCAAACGACACCTGATTCGGAGTCCGAATGAGGGAGAACGAAGAATCAAAGACAAGGGACCCGGAAGTGTGAAATCCCCGGTCCAATTCCCCTATAGGGGATTTTGAAGTCAGGTAGGGGATTTTGATCAGAAAAAATCCCCTGTCAGGAGGTCCAAAAACCTTATCGGTTATGTAAAAAATCCGATCGGGTAACTTCCAGAAGCGGGTATAAAAGCCTGTTTTGTGCGTTTTTGGAGGAGAGAGCTGGGGTTTTGGTTCCCAAACACCCAAGGTACGAACCAGAGAGAGAGAGAGGGAGAGAGAGAGAGAGAGAGAGAGAGAGATCTAGAACCATTCTTGGAGCTATTTTGGAGGGTTATTCGCCAATGAAGCCCCAGGAACAAGTCTAGACATGAAGATTGAAGATATGGAAAGTTATATTGCATTCTCTCTTCTCTATGGAGTAACTTCTCTTACTTAGGTTTTGAGGAACCCTAGCCATGTTTGTTTGATAGGATGATTGTATGAGTACTCCTACTTGATAATCATGAGTTCATATTCAATCTATGGATGTTTTCATGATTCAATTCTGCTTTAGTCGATATTATTGATTCTGCTTTGATCCTATGAGAGCGAATACCTGATTAGGTCAACAGAGCACCATAGATTGATAGTATTGGATCGATTGCTTTAGTCGATGGTCGATTCATTGCTTTGTATCGGTTGAGAACCTCATTTGATAGAGGAAGTCTAGTTCAAAACGCCTTGATCGGTTGTTCTAGAGAAGGATACGTCCCTCTAGGTAATCGACTCAAGAGGGCCTTGTTCCTTTAGTCGAGATTCAATGTCTAGTAAAGGATTCTCCGCATTGTGAATGAAAGTGAAACAGGTTAGAGATCATCAACCATTAATCTGGCTAGTGGCTAGAGGAATTATACCAAAGTGAAGAGAATGAACTAAAGCTGAGTAATAGTAACTCTAGAAAACCGTGGATTCGATATTTATACTTGCACCACTATATTGCAGATCCTTTCATTGGTTACACTTGGCCACTATTAGGAGTTGTGTTTTAGCGAGTCACCATCCAAAGGTCTCCGAGTGCTTACATCCTCTTTCCTCCTCTTATTCGCATTGCAAAAGGTTGAGCATGTCGACAAGAATTACTTGCTTCCTTCTCCTCAAGAGATCTCTTTTGGTGATTACTCAGTACTTATGGTTTTGCTTCAATTGGTCCCACTATTAAAATTGAGTAGCTCTTGCCTCTTGGAAAACAGAGGAATGGGCCTGTAATTATTATTTTTGTAGCTCTTTCATTGGTTACACTTGGCCACTATTAGGAGTTGTGTTTTAGCGAGTCACCATCCAAAGGTCTCCGAGTGCTTACATCCTCTTTCCTCCTCTTATTCGCATTGCAAAAGGTTGAGCATGTCGACAAGAATTACTTGCTTCCTTCTCCTCAAGAGATCTCTTTTGGTGATTACTCAGTACTTATGGTTTTGCTTCAATTGGTCCCACTACTAAAATTGAGTAGCTCTTGCCTCTTGGAAAACAGAGGAATGAGCCTGTAATTATTATTTTTGTAAAGCTTGGGAATGTGGCAATATCATTTTTGTTCCTCCCAAAAACAGTCTATACGTGTTGCTGAGACTGAGGGTCGACATCTTTGTGAACAGAGACCATATATTGTTAGTCGAGATCCAAGATAAGTATCCTTTCTAATGATTGTTATTTTTTTCTAATGATTGTTATTCTAGTTCGCAAGTCTTCGTAAATTTGTTTTGTAACGTTTGTCGATATGATTTGTAATGTCTCTCAATTGGATTTGTAAACACTATAATATTAACCAATTGTAAATTTCTATATCAGTAAATATCAAGGATTGCGAAAATCGTGCCAGAAATTGTACTGTAAAAGTCACCGGTATGATTTTTTGTACCGGTACCGTGATTTAACCGAAATTCAACCATTTTATAACGGTAAAATCACCTACAGATTTAGGTTCTAGTATAAGCTATTTCCGGTTTGACCGCCAATACGATTTTACAAACACGACCCTGTCAAGAAAGGACCAAGATAGGAACCCTTTCAAGAAAAGCTTTGTTGGTCTTTGAAAAGGATCCAGAAGGTTTGGTTTATACTTCGTTTCTGGGTGTAACTTCTGCAGTTTCTTTAAATTCTGGCAGGTGGAGTTTGGTGAGGAAAGTGTAAAAAGAGTGAAAGATAAGGAAACAATTGAATGCAACCTTCACTAACGTTTTGCACTTTTGTTTCAGCAAGTGAGCATAATGTTTGGTTTGACATAATAAAATTTTGTCAGTGACATGCTTTCACTTTGGGTTGGTGAAGTTTGGTGAAGAAAGGTGTCTTAAAAGAGAGAACAAGTAGTAGTCAGTACATAAGGATGACAGCCCAACCTTCACCCTCTCAAGTCATTGCCAGTCAGTAACATCAAAAGACACAAACAGATTTCCTTCCTAGTTATGGCAATGGCTGAAATGGACAGCTCTAGGAATACTGTCCTTTCTGCCAGGAGTGCATTGAAGGCAAGCTTAGAGAATTCAAGAGCTCTTACTGCAGCACTGCATAAAACTGGACAGAGAGTGGATCGCATTGGACAGAGCCTACCTCGTTTGGAAGCTGCAGTGAGGCCTTCCCCAGCTCAGAAATGCACATTTGTGGCGATCGCAGACCATGTCGATCGTGCAGTTGGGCCTGCAGAAGCCGTGCTGAAAGTTCATGGTTCGATTCAGGAGCTCCAGAAGTCTCTGGTCTCAGCAGATCCAAGTTCTGATCTTTATGCGTATCTTTCCTACGTGAAGCAGCTGGAGGAAGCGTTGAAATTTCTAGCTAACAACTGCGGGCTAGCAATTCAGTGGCTGCAGGACATGCTACAGTTCCTGGAGGACAATTCAGTTTCCCGTGAGCCGTACATTTCCAATGTCAGGAAGTCCTTGAGAATCCTGCTGGAGTTGCAAGCCACTGAGAGAAGGGCTCGATTCGATGGTGGTGTTCTGATTGATGCATTTAGGAGGCTCGAGAGGGAATTCGAGCAGCTTCTTGTGGCGAATTCGGTTCCTGTTTCTTTGGTTCTTTGCTCATCAAAGAAAAAGCCCTTCATTGCTCCCCCAGCTCTCCCTGTGGCTGTCATTGAGAAACTTCAAGCCATCACAGAGAGACTGGGTGCTAGCAACAGGCTATCATGGATTACAACAGCATATGTCGAGGTCCGGGTTTCAAATGCAAAAAGAAGTTTGGAAGGGATTGATCTGACTTACCTTGTGAAGCAAGTAGCTGGGTCTGAAGATGTGCAAGAAGTACAGGGCTGGATTAATCAGTGGTCCGATCACTTGGAGTTGATTATCAAGAATATCTTTGAGGTTGAATTCAACCTTAGCAAAGATGTTTTTTGCAAAACTGGATCATCTTCGGACTTTTCAACAGGTTGTTTTACAAAGATCGCCACAGAGTCTGGAATCCTGTCATTCCTTCAGTTTGGAAGAAAAGTGACCGAGTGTAAGAAGGATCCCATCAAGCTCTTGAAGCTGCTTGATATCTTTGCAGCTCTGGATAATCTGAGAGGTGATTTCAACAGGCTTTTTGGAGGGACATCCTCGCTCGACATCCGTACCCAGACGAGGAGCCTCATCAAGAGCGTTGTGGATGGCATCTGTGAAATTTTCTGGGAGCTTACAGATGAAGTTTCAAGGCAAAGACAAAGCTTGCCTCCTTCAAATGGCAGTGTTCCGAGACTGGTGAGCTTTGTCACAGAGTATTGCAATGAATTGCTTGGAGATAAGTACAGGCCATTGCTAGAGAAAGTTGTGATGATCCATCAAAGCTGGAAAAAGGAGAAGTACCACGATCAGCTCCTTACCAGCCAAATCTGCTGTGTGGTAAAAGAAATCGGCCTCAACTTGGATTCATGGTCAAAAGCACATGTGGATGCCACACTATCTTTCCTCTTCATGATGAACAATCACTGCCACTTTAGCAATCTCAGGGGCACAAAGCTTGGAGATCTGATGGGAGATTCCTGGTTGAAGGCGCATGAACAGTACAAGGAACATTTCATGGCTCTTTACTTGAGAGAAAGCTGGGGGAAGGTGGTTGCCATTCTTCGCCCAGACGGCAGCCAAGTTTATTCATCTCCTGCAAAAGTACCCAACAGTGATTCTATCAAAAGAGGGTACAAAGCATTCAATGAGGCGTTTGATTACATGTACCAGAAGCAGTCCAGTTGGGTTGTCCCTGACCAGAACTTGAAGCTGAGAATCTGCAAGCTCTTGGTTCAGTCTCTGGTACCTGTCTACAGAAACTATTTACAGAACTATAAACTTCTGATGGAGGAAAATTCTAGCTCCAAAAAGCATATCAGATACACAGCACAGGGTCTGGAAACCATTCTGAGCTCTTTGTTCCAGCAAAAGGTGACAAAATATAGGCGCAACAGACACGCATACTGGATTGGCAAGATCAAAGATGCTATGACAGATAATTTCAGACCGACATTGATGGCTGTCTGACGTATTTGATTTAACTTTCTCTGACAATTTCATTTGTATATCCGACAAGCAAAATGTACATAACTGGAAGTTCTGTAGCTTTACACCATATACTCCAAAAGAATAAATCTACCAGTCAATCTTGAAGGTTGAAAAATGCAGCAGCGGTGATTTGTAAGTTAAGGCATTCAGTACATCTAATGATATATTAGGGAAGGAATAAAACTTATACAACCTCATTTTTCAATTTTCATAGAAGTCTGAACCAAAGCACCAAATAACAAAATCTGGTAGATAGGTCAGCAAAAGTTGTTTACATCTCATCTCTACAAGGAATGCTAAAGGGACCATAGTAAATTGATTTGTTACAATCTTCTCAAACTTATCTGCTTCAACTGTTTCACTTTCTCAAAAGCTGGAGCTTGATAATTTTTCTCCACTTCCCATGCCAGCTGGGACATGCCATTGAAGGATGACTTAGCTCCTTTCTCATCAGTAACTTCTCTTGGGAACGGGATTCGGACATCGAAAGAGTCCTTCTCAGTAGAGGTAAGTCGCACATCAAAACCTAGCCTATCAATCCATATCATCTTTGCTTCAGAAACCTGAAACAGGAAGTCAGAATTCATGAGCACAACTGGCAGATATTGGGGAAATAGAGCGAACACTAGAGACAAAAATTTCCCTGCTAGGAGTGACTAAATAAAGCAGAAGCTTCACTTTTGCACAGCCATCCCTACAGTGATGGCTGTCCTTTTTCATACATATCAAGCCATACTATGCAACGTCGCAGAGATATATAATATGCTAAAAAAATGCATATAATGAACCAAGGAAAATCAAGTTTCTATTCCGTTCTCCCCAGTGAAACTGCATTTGCCCCAGATAAGCTGGTCTTGTTGGCCATATATGTTCAAAGCAGCACCTAGTTACCCAAGAAAACTAACCACGACATTAAAACGAATGCAAAAGTGAAGATGGCGGAAAAGAAAAAAGGAAGCTTGAGGTTAGTTGAAGACCTGGAAATCAAGATCAACATATACATTGCAAAATCTGTTGACATCTTCCATATTCTTGGCATTTATCTCTTTGACGAATTCTTCGGCAGAGTTCCTGAGAGGATCAGGAAGAGCATTTTTGTAGTCTGATGAGGAGACCCACATGCCATCCTGAAACAGTTCCACGCATCAATTTTGAAGTATTGTAACATAAGATTACTCGTTGCTGGTTCTCAAATAAGAGAAGTGCATACTCAATAGAGAGAATGGATATGCTTCTTAGGCCATGTAAGCAATTATAACGAGTGCACAATAGCAACTACAACATCAGATGAAGCAAACATACCTCCATGAAGTCTTCCATCTGTAGTACTCTCTCGACCTCAACAATGTATACGAGGTCTTCCTTAACTTCTTCTCCAAATCTTTTCCTCCACGAGGAAAGAAGCCTCTGAAAAGATTTAAATCCAAACGGAAAACGTCACTCTAGGGATAACATCCATCAGCATCTTATATAGTAGGCAATCGAGTGAGTCTGCCTGACGGAAAAACCAATTAGCGACTAGTAAGTGCACAGGAGAGTACATACGTAAATTAAGGAAGCTAAAAGTGATGAGGAAAGATCACACAGGAAGCAAAAAATGGCGAGGAAAGATTACTGAACCATAGCTTGCCATTTTATCACATTCTTCTTATCTAAGCATTGAGGCTGAAACAAACAGGCAGCTATAAATCTCACTCAAACAGTTGGATCATACTGAGAATTGCACTTAGGATCCAGAAGGGTAAGCCATCAGAAGCACAATTCTACTTTTTTCAGAAGCAACCACAGTAGTTTCACAATTGGTTTACCTTCAACCGCCCTGCATCCTCTGGCTTCTCTAGACTACCCTGAATCGTGCACTGAGAAGTCCGCATTCCGCTCTGCTCCAGCTGATCCAAAGCAAAACAACGAAAAGCTTCATTCACCTAAGAAATGTTTCCCAAAACACAAACTGGAAAATGGGGGAGAAATTCGCAACCCAAGTACCCGAATGTTGAGGCTAGACCTCCTGTCGTGAGAGATGATTCCAAGGGAATCGGCCAAGCAGAGAACTGGAGTCCCATCTTCGTCATCCACAGCGAAGCGAACGCTGACGCCCAGAGGGCAGCCTTGTTGCGTGACTGTAGAGAGAGTGGCGACGGAGGACAACTCCACGATGGTTCTGGAGACCTCAGCGGGGAAGGGCTTGTGTTGCGGAGAACCCAGGACGACGGTGGCAGGCTCAGAAGAGACGGCGGCGGTGGCGGCGGTGGCGGCGGTGGCGGAAATGGAGCAATTTAAGGAGCGGTGGCGAAGTGGGTGGCGCTGGTTGGGGAAGAAGAATTGGGATTGGATACTGGGTCGCAGAGAGACGAGTGAGAACATCGGGGAGTGAGAGCTCACTCCAGCTTGGCTCTGGAGTTGCATCTCGCTTGGCTCGAAGATAGACGGAGAGAGACTCAGCGGGAAGAAGACGCGCGCTAGTCGCTACGCCGGCGTTGAAATGTCGAGATAATAGGATCGATTGAGAGCTGAAACCTCGACCAAGGCCAAATTACACTTTTGGTCACTAGATTTAACAATTTTTTCACATTTGTCACCGGAAGTCGGAAGAGAGAGCTTGCTGTCGCAACCAAATACCAATTCGCCTTCTCAACTTCTCGTTCTCGGCCCTTTTCCCTCCTAGCCTCCATCAACTTCGTCTTCTACTCTTCTCCCGCCGCCATTGCCGCTCCGGCCATCCAGCACCAGCAGTGATCTTTCCACCGGCGTCGGTAATGATTTATGAGGTTGTCTCATTTCCTTAATTATGTCGAGATTGTCATTTCGATTACCAAAATACTATTTCAATAAATAAGTATTTCCTCACCCTCTTCCAGGGAATAAGAAGAGCTAATGATGAGTCACTAAGACATAAGCGGCCTTTCGGAGATCTCAAGGGCGTTACCCCTTGGTGTTTCCGATGATGCTTCACCATTAAAGAGTGCAGCTTTTCCCTTCTGCGGAACAAGGGGAGACATTAGAGAAAAGCTCGAAGCTAATCAAATTGATTGATTGAAGCAAAGGTCAACAAGTAAAGATGGCGAGTTTATCGTCAGCTCAATATCGTTCCTACTCCTCTAATTCCTTCCGGCAATCCTCGTCTAACGGCCAGCGACATAATCATCGGCTTCTCAGCTTCTGTTCTCCAATTCCTAGGAGGTCTCCTCCAGTTGTGCTCTGCTTGCAGCAATCTCAGGGCAATTCTCGACCTAATGTGGTCTTAATGCAAGATGGTACAGCTCCTTGATTACCCTTTTTCATACCCTGCACTGGGTGGTTGTGTGAATTGGCCCAAGCGTGTCAAAGTTTCAATCTTTGATTCATATTCTCATTACCCAAATGTTTGGTTATTTGGGACGTTCTTTTGGGTCTGATTAAGGGTTCTAACTACCAATTGGATTTGAATTTGATCGATCATAGGTGCTGTGGCAACTCCTGTAAATCTAGCACAAAAAAAGGAAGAAACCGTCAAGAAATTGGAGGATGGGTTGCTTTCTTCTTCAGGAATCTCTACTGAGGAATTGAAAGAGGCAGCTGGTTTTGATGTTAACGAGAACGAGTCTTCTGTTAGTATTACTGTGGTTGGAGCCTCTGGGGATCTGGCTAAAAAGAAGATCTTTCCTGCACTTTTCGCCCTTTACTACGAGGGTTGCCTTCCAAAGGTTCATCATACTTTCCTCGATTCTCCTTTCAGTAGATTGAGTGGTCTATCAATTGGCTTATAATCAAGTTTGTGCATTTTTGTGTGGTTGCAGCATTTTACGGTGTTTGGTTATGCTCGTAGCAAGATGACTGATGCTGAGCTCAGGAACATGGTTAGCAAAACCCTAACTTGCAGAATTGACCAAAGGTGACTTCAGTTTTGTGTTTCTTTCGGATTGAGAGTGATGTAAATTGCTCTCTCCTAGAGTATAAATCTTTCCATTTTGTGACTTTACAGGGAGAATTGTGGAGAAAAGATAGATCAATTTCTTAAGAGGTGCTTTTATCATTCAGGTCAATACGATTCCCAAGAACATTTTGCAGCCCTCGACAAAAAGCTTAAAGAGCATGAGGTAATGAAGTTCTGTATTGAAAAACTGTGAGCAATGAGTTTAAAGCTTACTATTCTTGAAGAGCTAATGCTGCAACCAGTGCTTTTAGTTTGGTTGACTTAAGGAGATCTGTATTTGCAGGGTGGTCGAGAGTCAAATCGGCTGTTTTATCTGTCGATTCCCCCAAACATATTCATAGATGCAGTAAAATGTGCTAGCTCCTCAGCTTCTGCAGCCAGTGGGTGGACTAGGGTCATTGTCGAGAAGCCCTTTGGTCGAGACTCGGAATCATCAGCTGCTTTGACCAAAGCCCTCAAGCAATACCTAACTGAGGATCAAATATTCAGGATAGACCACTACCTGGGGAAGGAACTGGTGGAAAACCTATCAGTTCTCCGGTTCTCTAATCTCATTTTCGAACCATTGTGGTCAAGACAGTATATAAGAAACGTTCAGTTGATATTCTCTGAAGATTTTGGCACTGAAGGGCGTGGAGGGTAAAGTATTAACATCAATCATTACATTAGAGTTTATCTGCCTGCATATGTATGGCTAATGGTCTTCTGTTGTTTTGGTACTATTTTAGGTACTTTGACAATTATGGGATAATAAGGGACATAATGCAGAACCATTTGCTTCAGATACTTGCACTCTTTGCCATGGAAACTCCTGTTAGCTTGGATGCTGAGGACATCAGAAATGAGAAGGTATTTCTCGGAAAATAAAGCATGTCGGATAGCATGGTCGCATTAAACCCCTAGGTGTACCCAGGCCCCATCAAGTCATCTGGGACGAGCTTGTGAAGCAAGGATTAATACACACTTATAGCAGAAATTAGTCCCTAAATTTTTGGGTTGTTGAATTGGTTGCTGAACCTTGAAGGAATGCTAACTCGTCGATATTGTACTCAGGTCAAAGTGCTGAGATCAATGAGGACTTTGAGGCTCGAAGATGTTGTGATTGGGCAGTACAAGAGTCATACGAGAGGGGGAGTTACTCACCCTGGATATACCGATGACAAGACAGTGCCAAAAGACAGTGTGACTCCAACGTTTGCTGCAGCTGCCCTTTTCATTGATAATCCTAGATGGGATGGAGTTCCTTTTCTGATGAAAGCTGGAAAGGCATTACATAGCAAGGGGTAAGATAGAAATTACATGTTCTTTCTATTATGGTTGGTAATGAAAGAGGCACAGAGTTGTTCAATGTTTGCAAATTGCAATGCTTGTGCTTTCTACTTAGGGCTGAGATTAGAGTACAGTTCAGACATGTGCCTGGCAACTTGTACAATCGAAATATTGGAACGGATCTTGATCAAGCCACGAACGAGCTTGTGATTCGAGTGCAGCCAGATGAAGCAATCTACCTGAAAATCAATAATAAGGTACCTGGACTTGGGATGAGACTGGACCGTAGCAATCTGAATCTTCTATATTCAACAAGGTAAAAGAGTTTAGAACTTTGATAACATTTATGCTTGAAGTAGAGTCTGCAGTTCATTAGTTAGAGAGGCACACATGAACATCTAGATTCAAGACTGAGCTTGTATGCTGTGCTCGTTTTAGGTACTCGAAGGAGATTCCAGATGCATACGAGAGGCTTCTTCTTGACGCTATCGAAGGGGAAAGACGACTGTTTATTAGAAGCGATGAACTTGATGCTGCCTGGTCACTTTTCACGCCAGTTCTGAAGGAACTAGAAGAGAAGAGGACCATCCCGGAGTACTATCCATATGGAAGCCGGGGACCGGTTGGGGCTCACTACTTGGCAGCAAGATACAAAGTGAGGTGGGGTGATCTTGGCATAGAGCAGTAGGCAAACGTGTCCTAATGTGTTGTGTACTGGTTATGAAGGATATTGGTTTTTGATAGAGAAATCAGTTTTGTTATGTATGCAAAGCAAAAAAAGATTTAGGATTGGAAAACATTGAGGAAATATTGTTGTCTCATTGTTAGTTAAATCCTGATTTTACAGGTCCTTCCTTCCTATGTAGATTTTCACTGCAACAAATAATTAGTGACAACAGATTTGCTCCTTGCTTATGTTATCCGCAACATCATTGAAAGATATCCAAAAATGCTGTGAGCAGAACTTATTTCAAAATCGTATCACTTTGTTTTGAGAAAAATGCAGCAGCAAGTTTGCAGGCCCTCACTTGGTGAAAGAAACAGAAATATACTACGAGCCAATCATAGTTTCAACATTGTTCGACATCAACATCAGACGATTATGCTTTGATTCCCCAAATTCTTTCTCTCAACTAGAGGTTTCTATTAGGCTCCTTAAACAAACAGAGCACGTGCATGCATTACAAACAGTCCCCTTCTGAGGCTATTTCATCCAATTGTTCGGCAAAAGGTTTGCTAGATCTACATCTTTTGCTGGTCCAAACAAACCACACCTAACTTGTAGTGCTCCACCACTTACTTCTGTCACTATTTCTTCTTTGTTGTCCCTTCCATCTCTCTTTTTCCTAATTAACAAAGCACTGAAAAGAATCAAGATCTGGAAAAAAGGGAAATGAAATCAAACACTTCCCCCACTACCAAATGCCCTGCTTATAACTTTTGAGAAAACATTCCTTTTGCAACCCCTTTATAATAAAGTCCACAACTTCACCCCAAACCCATCTCAAATTTTCCTCAACAAGATGCAGAAGGGTGGTGGTAGAAGAGGAAGTTTCATGGCAGTGGAGATTCTACTGGTTTTTCTTATTTTCATGGCTGCCAATGCAATCACAGGCGAGGCAGTGTTTGGAATTGACATGAATCCATGCACGCTCACAACTTGCACAGAAGCCTGCAAGAATGTTTTGGCTGATAAGTTTGACAGTGCCTCTTGCTACCAAGGGATCATGTGTATGTGCTTTGGTTGATGGTTTCCAGTGAGATTCCAAGTCCATATGTTGTATGTATGTATATACAAAGTTGGTTCTTTAAAGGAAAGGGGGACTTTTTCTGTCTGTTTGGTGTGTTGTGATTTGTGAATGACGAAACTTGTACTGGGAAGAATCTTCTCAGAGTTTCAGCAGGGAGATATGCAAATATGCTTTCATGGCGGATCTTAGATGTCCAACTGCATGATGTATTGTGTACGGACTTTGAACCTGCTATGAAAGAAAGTAGATTTTGTCCTTTTAGATTCTTCTCCTGTTTTTTAAGTATCCCAGAACCCACCTGTTTAGGCCTGGTTCGTACCAGGCGGTTTTGTGAGGCTTCATTGGCTTCGTGTGGCCCTTCGTAGGTGAGAGGCGGTCCTCGAAGTCCTGCAAGAAAGGTCCACAGGGGGTTTCCTGGGACCTCCTCCGATGCTAAAGTTAGAGAGAGAAGTGGATGTGGAGTAAATAAGAGAGAGAATGTAGTCGATAGGAGTTACCATAAATGTGGCCTCTCAATGGGTATTTATACTAGTCTCGGCTCGGCCGTGCACATTTAATGCATTGTCGGGCGGTCTAAGGCGCCTCTGGCTTTGATAACGTCTTTCTGTCAGATTCTGTGTCGTGAAGCCAGAGTGTCGGGCGCCCTTTGGGCGCCGCCCTGCTCATATGTCGGGCGGTCTCATTGTATGGACCCTGAGACCGCTCTCGCCCACTCTCTGATTTGGGCCTTATTCGTTCTTACATGGGCTTTGGGCTCACGGGCTGCGTGTCTCTCTACTAGGCCCAACACCACCCATTTGAAGAAGGTCCATAGTGATCTGTTCCTGAAAGTTGTCTGCTTTCTTCAGTTTCCATTCCATAACTGAAGAAACAGAAAGACCAAAGAGCTGAAATTCCTGTTACAGAAGCACTTGGCAGCAGAAGCCAGAAATCGAAGGACCTTTCCTTTCTTCATATTTCCAAGCGAAAGCAAAGCATCGTCAACCCAAAGACACAACTTATTGAAGACAGTGCAATGCAAACGCTGGGCTGAAAGCCCAGTATCCAGACCCACCAATGAAGCCCAATAATCAAATGACTTACCGTTTACTAGGCCACAGGCCCACAACCCTTGCCTGGCGGCTGTGTCATAGACTGCTAATACAGAAAGCCGAAGACCAAGGCGGAGAGAAAGAAGGCAGAGGAAAAAGGAAGAGACAACCCCCGAAACTTGCGAAATCATCTCCAATGGCGTCGACTGCGGCTGTGCCCTTCTGGAGGTCTGCAGGGATGACTTACATCTCATACTCGAACATCTGCGCCAACATAGTCAGGAACTGCCTCAAGGAGCCTCACAAGAGCGACGCCATAGCTCGGGAGAAGGTCCATTTCACCGTCACCAAGTGGTCCGAAGGAAAGCCCGAGAAACCCAGTAAGATTCCTACTCTGAACCACCAATCTTCGGTTTCCATTCACTTAGATCTGGCGGGTGTTTCTTGCGCCGGTGTGGGTCTTTCTTGATCTTGTGTTTTAGTGGGTTCCCCGTGTTTGGTTGGGATGCATTTACCGGCTGCGCTATGAATTTTAGGTTTTGTTTTGCTCCCGATCATCTGGGTTTGTGAGTTCTTGCGTGTAGGCCACAAGTGGAATAATTCTGGAAAAAAAATTGGAATACTATAGATTCGTGTTTTGGTTTTATCAATTGATTCTCTCGTTTTGGACTAGGAGGTGAACCTGATCTAGGAACCTCTATTGTAGCTCTTCTGATTTTTGAAACTGCAACCAATTTAGGCATGTTCTAGTTACAGAACCAAGGGTCCTCCCCGTGGTGCTGTATGTGGTTGCGATTCAACCCGATTGTCTGAGTGCTGTGATCCTTCTGAGCAAGCTTTTATGGTGTTTGATTTCGTGTCGTTATGTCTGATAGTGGCTTCTCAGTAGATGATCACTTCAGGAAGTTGTGAAGGCGCTGTGAAGTTACATTTCGTGCTGCAGGCCTGAATTATACAATTAGCAATATATAAATGGCCTTTGGTGCACGTTTGAGTGTTGTCGGTCTGTGATTGAGTGCAGGGCTCTACCGTTGAGAGCGTGAGTTGTGTGGCTGAGTTGCTCAGGCATTTGTTTAGCCGGCAGGAGGGTGTTATCAGTTTCTACTTGATTTTAGAGGGCTTATAGCACATGTTTCCTTGATTTTCAAGATCTTAGAATATGAGGATGAACTTACCCTTACCTCTTCTTGCTGCTAATATGCACGCCTGTTTTTAATGCTGCACTTCAAGAGGTGCTCTCTATGCTGCAGCTTGGAACCTTATCAAGAACTCCACTTCCATATCATGCTTTGCTATGGCTTGATGACTCGAGATTGTTAACAATTTGCTATTTGCTTGCGCTTTTTGAACCTTGTCTCGATTGGCAATTCGAGAAGGGCAACGGTATTTGTTCATTCAGTTACTGGTCTGAGAAGAGAAGTTAGGGATATGTATTACCCCCTCTGAAAAGGACTTTACATTTGTGTGAAGATGCACATAGCAGCAGAGCATGCTCTACCAAGGTCAATGGTGCCCTGTTGTTAATCCACCAAAACTTAATCCGAGTTCAATTATTTGTTTTCTGACATCTCCTACTGTCCTAACACTAGTGGTACGGCCTTAATGCTGTCATTGTGCTACGGTTTACTTCCACACGAAAACTTTCCTCTGTCGGACCTCTTCCATTCTATCGTTCGATTTCTTCTGCTTCAACTCTGACTTCTTGTCATATGACTAATCTGATTCTAGTATTTCGTGCTGTCGTCGGCTTACCAAAATTGTTTTGTTGGTTTGTTTGCAGCAACCCGGTCCGACGACCCAGATGTCTGAGCTATGGTGACCAAGGAGGATTGTCTTGGACATGAAATATTTCTATTTTCTGTTTGCTGTGTGGTTTGGTCTTGGTTCTGAGACAAATTTTTCGGGGGTTTGAGAAAGGTGAGAATAAAAATGTCAAAGAGACTGATTCTACTCCACTCCTGGATTGTTATGCTTGTCGAATTTCTTGACTCGTTTGAAGGAGATTAATTGAATGAGACGTCGTGGTGCATGAATAGTCATTTGGTTTACCGGTTCAACCATTTCACCTTCTAGAGTGACTGTTTCATAGCCATTTGTGTAGTTCGCTTCTTGGGAATTGCGAAATGTTCGTGATTCATAAAATTCGTCTCGAGGCCTAACACCTTCATGCCATTCTCAATAATGTTCCGAAGGATCGTATCCGTATTCGTATCCCTCTTCTCTTTGTTTTTACCACATAGATATTTTTATAGTGATCATATTTGGGTAATAATTTTCATTAGTACATATTAGCTTAACTGTTTATTACAAAAATACATATTTGTTAAATTTCAGAATTCTACCAAATAAAATCAGATTTTTATGGAAATACAGTCAAATGAAAGCCAAAGGCGAGTCGTCCTCACAATTTCACAGCGGCGGATTCTACCAAACGGTAAAAAGAAAAGAAAAAAAAACTCAACAGCGGCAGCAGAAGCAATCGCGGGGAAGAGAGGGAGAAATCCACGCTGTGTTTTCCGCTCAGGACCGAATTTTCTTCTCCCTTCGTCTGTCTGGCTTCTACTACTAACCACCAATTCCTTCCTTCCTTCCTCATTTCTTCATCTCCTCATTCAGTTTTGCTTCCGAGGTGGATCCATGGCGCCGTGCCGCAATCTTATCGCCTAATAATTGGATCTTACTTCATTTCTTTCCTCGCATCGTCTGGTTGATTCGATCTGATCTCTGAGCTGCAGTGGTTGAAGCAGAGAGACGCAGAAGAAGAGGGGGAAAAAAATGTCTTCGGTGAAGACCGCTCGGTCCAGGGCGGCTCCGGTGAAGGAGAACGGAGCCGTCAAGACGGAGGAAGGACTCACCGCCTTCAAGTCCGATAAGTTCGATGCGGATGCTTATGTCCAGTCCAAATGCTCTCTCAACGAGAAGGTTAGTCTCCGTTTCTCTCGCTTACTCGTGTGGTTCGTCTCTCGAAGTTCTAGTTGGGAATTGCGGTGGGGGAGGAGGTAGCTGTTGGACGGATTGACTGCGCGGTTGTAATTGGAAGTTTCTTGAACAAGTAGAAGGTCCTTCTTTCCGGCTTTAGCCATGTGATCGCCTTATGTGAGAATTTGTGATGGAGTTGAATTGAATCGAACTAAGTTTCCTTTTGATTCCTGGATTGTACTTCGAAGCTATGGCGCACCGGTGCTTGAAATGCGATCTGATAGTTTCTTTTTATGCCCGACAGGCACGCCTGAATCCTATGCCTGACCTTCAGTTCTCCTTCTCTTTGTTTCGTTTTGACTATCACCGAGCTAGCTACTAGTTTGAACAGTTAGACCTATATTTAGATGCTGGGTATTTCTTGTTGAATAAGAATGTGCGCTTTTAATGTGAGTACTGAGTAGACTGATCCCTACTGTCTACACAGCGAGGTGTTGGTTTGGGGCTTTGGGCTATCTTTGTTGGGTTGGTGATTCATAAATATGAGAATGTTCATATTTCTTCTTATGCAATCATGAACTCAAAATTTTATGCCTTGGTCATGTATTTTGACTTTCAAGAAAGTATACTTTTGTGACTTCATTATGAACATGTGCTCTTGCTCCCCAGGAAATAAGACAATTGTGCTCGTATCTTTTGGATTTGAAGAAAGCTTCGGCTGAAGAAATGCGGAAAAGTGTGTACGCAAATTATACCTCTTTTATACGGTGAGTGCTTTCGGAGTAGTCGCCCGGACCGTGATCAGTTTTGAACTCGTGCTATCAGAATAGATCCCTGTGCGGATATATCATGTTTTATGTATGACAATAGCACACTTTATAGTTACTTGTTTCATTGTATTCTTCAACGATCATGTTCTGTATTTTGTCCATAGAGACGGACACCTGAGATAGTTGTTTCTAAATAGTTGTGGTTTGAAGCAAGCTCTGTCATTTTCTGTTTGCAGTACATCGAAAGAGATATCAGATTTGGAGGTAGAGCTTTCATCTATCAGAAGCCTGCTTTCCACTCAGGCTACTTTGATTCATAGTTTAGCAGAGGGTGTTCATATTGATCAACTGTCTGAAAAGAGTTCAGAAGAATCCTCCGTAAATAGTTTACTAAACAGTGAAGACAGAGAACCTTCTGACTTGGAGAAATGGTCCATTGAATTCCCTGATCTCCTTGATGTCTTATTAGCTGAGAGGAGAGTGGATGAAGCTCTTGTGGCATTTGAAGACGGCGAGCATATAGTTTCCGAAGCAAAAGAGGCTAAAACATTGAGTCCTGGAGTTCTCAGGTCTTTGGAGACTGCAATCATGAAACGGAAGCAAAAGTTAGCTGATCAGCTTGCTGAAGCAGCATGCCAACCTTCAACCCGAGGCACTGAACTCCGTGCAGCCGTAGGAGCTCTTAAAAGCCTTGGAGATGGCCCTCGCGCTCACAGTTTGTTACTCAGTGCACATTTTCAGAGGTACCAATATAACATGCAAAGCCTCCGGCCGTCAAGCACTTCTTATGGAGGAGCATATACTGCTGCACTCTCCCAGATAGTTTTCTCGGCTATTGCTCAAGCTGCTACTGATTCTTTGACCATTTTCGGGAAAGAGCCAGCATACACTTCTGAGCTTGTGATGTGGGCTAGTAAGCAAACAGAGTCTTTTGCTGTCCTTATTAAGAGACATGCTTTAGCATCATCGGCAGCTGCAGGTGGTTTACGAGCTGCTGCAGAGTGTGTACAGATAGCTTTGGGCCATTGCTCTTTATTAGAAGCGCGTGGTCTGGCAATTTGTCCTGTGCTTTTGAAACTCTTTAGGCCTAGTGTTGAACAAGCAGTGGATGCTAATCTGAAACGAATTGAAGAGAGCACTGCTGCTATGGCGGCTGCTGATGATTGGGTACTTACTCAGTCTCCAACAGGCACTCGGCAGTCGGGAAGGTCTTTTGTTGCATCTCTTGGTAATGCAGTCGCTTCCCAACATAAACTGACCAGCAGTGCCCATCGGTTCAACTTGATGGTCCAGGTAATCAATCTTCTGCCAATAAGGTGTCAAATAGCTATCTCTGCTGCACGTTTATGACTGCTTTATGCATGATCAGCTCTGTTTCCCTGTTTCTTAATCATTGAACTTGGTTTGTTTTCATAGTTAGTATGTCATATTACCGTAAGTAATTCTAGATACCTTTTTTTTCTGATCATATCAAATGTTACATATGACACCCTGGAAGTCTTGTTATTTGATTTTATTTCTATAACCAATATTTGTATTTTCGTTCTCTGACGTGTTGCCTTCTGTTTCTCTATCAGGACTTCTTTGAGGATGTTGCTCCCCTTCTTAGTATGTTGGGAGGTCAAACGCTGGATTGTGTTTTCCAAGTATTCAACTCATATATTAACATGCTTATAAAGGCATTGCCAGGTTCTATGGAAGAAGAAGCAAATTTTGAAGGTTCTGCTAATAAAATTGTCAGATTGGCCGAGACTGAAGACCAGCAGATGGCATTGCTAGCAAATGCATCATTGTTGGCAGATGAACTGCTGCCTCGTTCAGCAATGAAACTTTATCCTCTGAGTCATCCTAGTTATAAGGAGGACAGAAGAAGGAGACCAGCTGATAAACCAAATCGCCACCCTGAGCAAAGAGAATGGAGGAAGCGCCTTGTGGCTGCTGTTGATAGGTTGAAAGATACTTTTTGCCGGCAACATGCACTTGATCTCATTTTCACGGAAGAGGGTGATAGTCATCTTACTGCTGATATGTACATCAACATGGACAATAACGTGGAGGAGTTAGAATGGCTTCCTTCCCCAATATTCCAGGTATGTAAATTATGGAATCAAAATCACTATTACTGTGCATGCTCATGCCGCCTTTTTCTATAGAATTGCTATAGGTTTTCATTACAGAAAGTGAAGGGCTAGATAAGTTCTCAACAACCTAAACCATTAAGACTTACATAACAGCTTCCGAGTGTTCTCTAAGTAAATATGGTCACACGAGAGGACTCCCATTATAACTGTAAGGTGAGCGATTCCTCATCATAAGGAAAATATACATTAGAACACGTGAATGCAAACACAAGTTGAGACTTAATCCCAAGTTGAATTCCCCTTCTAGTTAGTCTGCATTTCTATGCACCCGTCATTTTATGTAGTTGTGGTATATTGGCTGGATGCAATTATCATATGTGGTTTGCACAAAACAGAACAGGACGTTCTGTTTGTGGACAAACTCTGTGGCATTCCAGTTTTCACTTTCAGAAGATTTAGCTATTCCCTTATAGTTTGGTTGACTCAAGGAGAAGAAAATATTTGTACATTTTTTAAGAACCCAAATTCTGTCGTCCGTCGGTTTGCTTGCAACTCGGGCATAATTTTCCTTTTTGTTATTTCAGGAACTTTTTGTAAAGCTGAACAGGATGGCTAGTTTAGCAGCTGACATGTTCGTGGGGAGGGAAAGATTCGTGAGTTTACTGTTCATGAGACTGACCGAAACGGTCATATTATGGCTGTCAGAAGATCAAAGCTTTTGGGATGACATTGAAGAAGGCCCGAGGCCGCTTGGTCCTATGGGCTTACAGCAGGTTTGTAACCAACAACCTTACAGTCGAAAAAAAAGTGTTCCCCTCAGTGCCTTTTTTGCACTCTCTTCCAGCTTCTAACATACTGCTGTTTTCCATGATGATGGTTTATTTGCCCAGTTCTATCTCGATATGAAGTTCGTCTCGTGCTTCGCCGCCCAAGGACGCTACCTGTCACGAAACTTGAACCGGGTCCTCAACGAGATCATTAACAAAGCTGTGGCAGCATTTTCCAGTACTGGGATGGATCCCGACAGGTAAAAGTAGCTCTACGCTCTCCCAGTATTCATTTCACCAAAGCAGTTAAATATCATCACGAACGTGGCCACATTGACGCAGTTTGAGATTCATCAATCGTAAACTCAACCCTCGTTCTTCTCCTATCCGCGAATTTTTGTTTCCCAGGGTGCTTCCGGAAGACGAATGGTTCACCGAGGTATGCCACGAAGCCATGGAAAGATTGAGCGGGAAACCGAAAGCCATAGATGGAGATAGAGAACTCAACAGTCCGACGGCCTCTGTTTCTGCACAATCAATCTCATCTATCAGGTCCCATGGGAGTACCTAATAATTTCCCCTTCAAAGTCTAACAAAAACCCCCCTCCTGTAAATTTGATAATCGCGGGTAGAATCGCATATTCCTCCCCCAGCCTGGTTAGACCGATTCTTTTCTCTCTTTTCTGATTCTGGGGTTTCTTTCTTCCATTTGCTCTCTAGTGTGCTTTGTAAATTTGGTTTTGGGTTGATTTGTCTGATAAGTCTGTTGTGCCAATATCTGAATTTGTGGTCTTAACCAACTGTCGTTCAAACCTGTTGTGTTGTCGCTTGCAAGTTGCAACAGAATGCGATCTACGCAAATTGCTGGATAGTTATGTGATCTGGCTTCCTGTGATCTTCATCTAACACACGTGGGAACTTCAAGTTCCATAGTTTTGAGCTTCGTTCATTCGATAGACCGCAAATCATAGCTTCTCCGAATATAACTCGGTATCCAACCAGTTTTAGCTTCCATGACAGAACAACTGAGGATGATATCTCGCTTCCTACCTCAGAATCTTCTCAGTCGGCTCTTCCTCTCCCCTACAGTCGAGTGACTTCGTACCTTCTTATTATACGTAATTCTTTCTGTCTCTTACTAACCGTGCAACCAAGGAGTCAGGTTTATGCTGTAAATTCCAGAGTTGCTTTGCAAGTAAGGCTTTATTCTTTGAAGCCCATACCCCTTGCCTCTGATCAGTGATCCTTGCCCTGATGGAGCTTTCCTTACAAGAACCGGAGCTGTTGACCGAGGCTGAGGCAGCGGTTGGACGGGTCGAGCCAGAGAAGCAGCCCGGAACCAGGGTCGAGCAGGTTGCTGGTTCGCCATTGACGATTAATGAAACAGAGGTGATTTGGGAAGTAAATGAAAGGAACCCAATTGAGAAGATGACTGGCAAAATATGCTAGCATATGAGAAACAGGGGATTGGCAGAGGAACAAGAGAAACGCATCAGAGCACTCTTCACGAAAGCATGAAAAATGTATGCGGCCAACTAAAAGCTGTTGGTCACTGCCAAATGAACCCAGCAATTGTTTATTTTATGGGAAGGAGATTCCATAAAGCTTTTCTGCAATGTACTTTGCTTGCTGATAGCCGTGAAAAATCTGATTCTTGCCTGCTTTCCTTTCGTCTCATACCAAGTACCTTTGCAATGCTTCGAGGCCCCTCCTTCATTCCCGACTTCCTTTTCCCATCGCATGAACCGCTAATATCAATGGGTTGACTCTTTCCTCCAATGTGCAAAGATGCCAGCCGCCAAATTCGAGCAATGAGCATCTCCTGTTGATATTTGCCTCTGCATACTGCATACAACAAACGGTTGCAACTGCTCTACGGTCTAGAATTGGTCGATCGTTTGTGATATAGAGGAACAAACGAAAACACAAACAGAACTCGGCCTTTCGCGCCCCATAATATGTATTCAATTCAGTCATTTGTGAAAACTGATCCAAAAGGGCTATCCAGAAGGCAAAAGGTAAAAAAAAAACTAAACAAAGCAGAGAATAGCAGAAAAGAAGGGAATAAGGAAGAAAGAAATGGAGATGTCCCATCATGATCGATGAACAAAAACTCTATATTGTTAGAGGACATTATTATGACCTTCCTCTAGCAGTTGCAGCCTCAAGACGATATGCACTTGTATCATAGCTAGCATTGGTAATTCTTCGATCCCCAGAACAAGCAATTTCTATGTCAGAGAACCATGAGCAACTCACCTGACAATGCAGCTGTGGCTGACCCCTGCCCCCTGACATTCTTTAGAGATATTCCTGCATGTAGAAAATCACAATGGCATGCATTCCCTACTTTCGTCGACAATATCATGCATTCAGCCATTCAGAAACACCAATGACGAACAGTATTAATAAATGTTGGTTGAATTGTCTGATTGCTGATCCAGACCATGAGATGTTGACATTCATTGTTAGTAACAGATTATTATTGATGCTGCTGAATGGGCTCAATAAACTGTCATGATATGTGATTTAACAGAAAGGGGGCAAAGACCTAATTGGACAACATGATATGTCGATATTCATGGTTAGTAACAGATTATGATTGATGCTGTGAATGGGGTTGATAAACTGTGTCATGATACGTGATCTGCAGATACATTTTGGATGTCATGTTTAAATAATGGAATGAAACTCGAAGCAACACAGAAAGGGGGTGAAGACCTGATTGAACAACCATCCCTAATAGTGATGTCTAGTTGTCAATAATTAAAACGGGGTGTGAGAATGCACACTACATAACACAGTTGTCATGAATCGCCCATCAGAAGGCAAGCACTTCTTAGGAGACAAACTAATTGTCTATGTTTAACAACCTGCTACAAATGCATGTCTGGGAGATAATAAATAATAACATGGACCCCAATGCCATGTAAAATGACAGCGATACGCGTATTCAAAATCTCGTGAAGAACAGATGCTAATGTTGATGATGCTTTGTGATGTGGAATGGATGCATGCAACTGCTGCAAGATGCATCCTATCATGCAGTAAGTATTTCTTGGAGCATAAAGATCAGAGTTACATCCCCCTTCCTTCCACTACTGGTAAGTCATAGCTGGCTGAGCTCCATTGGTGCTGGGAGAAGCAACAGTAGGGTGAGCTCCATCCTTCCTCTTCCCATATGGATTCTTCGAATACTTGCATCAATTAGTTAAGGAAAATAGGCACACAGCACAAGTGGGATAGTAATTACAACATAAATACACATTTCATTTTCGATAGAGTTTCAGACACCAACTACAGATAGCAAGAAACACAAGATAAATTACTTGAAGGTGAGACCAGAAGTGCTTTCACGATGTCCATTTTGTTTCTTTGCATTCCAAAAAAATCTCTATAGCCAGGTTAATAGCTAAATCCACTAGTTCATACACTTTCGCTTTTAGTTAAAATAGACCTAGAAGTTGGATAGACCTATTGCCCCACTCCACCTATCAACCATGAAACAAGAATTAATGACGCAGCCTCCAAACATGTGACCCTACAAGTGTAACAAAACAAGGCTTCAATGAAAATAGACAAGAATGAAGAACCACAAACCCCACAATTCAAGCTATACTGATATTTCAATTATAGTTGTCTATATGTGATCTAACATAGACTATAAGAAATGATAATAAGTAAATTATTACTATGAATAAGTCTGTAAAAGGATATTGTATCCGCATGCCGACAGTACCAGAGCTGGGAATAACAGCACCTTGCAAACTTCGGTGCACATTGGTTGCGCTGTTCATATCCTGTTGGTCAACAAAACAAACCACTGTCAGTGTACGCCAGGCGGCAAAGGGGAAAAACTAGAGTGAACATTCCACTCACTTCAAACTCGATAAAACAAACTGTATGTCTTTCTTGTCTCAAGACTTTCATTTGCTTGAAACCAGGTTGTCTGTGTCACAGAAAGGCACCAAATAAGCCAAAAAGGAAGGGAAAGATCTAAGGTACACCAAAGAACTGCATCAAAGAGCAGCTGGTAGAAGCAACCATGTTAGAGAAGTTCCTACCCACTAAATAGTCCCCTCAGCTCCTCTTCATTAATATTTTCTCCAAGATTGCCAATAAACAGCGTGTTGCAGGGAGGATTATCCTTTGTGTTCTGCATGGATCAGGAGACAACAGTAAAGCCACAGGAGGTCAGAAAGACATTACAGGAAAGAAAATGATAGCTCAGGACAATAAAAGCACCATGTCCACAAAAAATGAAGGTATCCAAGACCTTTTGCAGGTAGGAAAAATTAATTATACACCAATATCAGAACAAAGAAGAAAAACCCAAGTATAGGTGGTGACTAACCAACTTCTGAAATAACCCCTTTAGGATAACAGCTCAGCCCATATACTACCTCTTATTTTCAATATTAAGAAACATAACCCTGTAAATTAGAAAAATAGTTGACCGTACTAGTAGTAAGGCCACATACTCTTAGGGTTCTCAATTATGGATACTGAAGTCTACTAAGTTGAGCGCCAAAAGTTCAACAAAATTTATTTTAGCTCATTATATGCCTAAAGTTAGAAGAGCACGAATCTTCTTCGTACTTCATATCCTCTAGTAGATACCAAAATGGTTTCGCATGAGCAAATGACACCATTAGGATTTGGAATCTAACTCTAAAACCTAAGCAAGTCAAACAGGCTTAAGAATGACAGAAAGGTAGCACTTGGCAAACCCAAACCAAAAAATAAAATGGGAAAATAAACAACCCAGACGAAAGATGCACCATAAGACAAGACTATAATACTTTCTGGTTTTAAGGATTATGAATCCTCCAAACTTACATATCAAACGCAGCCAATAAGACATGCTTTTGAGGTGACAAAATGCAGATTTGAATAAGGAAAGCGCTAATCACATTCAATCTGTTGATGCCCAATAGTGCAGAAACTTCACAAAAGTGCTTTCGTTATCAAAAGAAAAAACAAAAAGGTTCACCAAAAAAGACAAGCCAAAAGATCCAATAGAAACACACATAGTCCAGTCACGCACACTGAAATGATGACATCACCTGGACAGGAACATAACTACTTGGAGCAGGTACAGGAGGAGGTGCAGGCATTGGTACTGGAGGCACATGATAGCCTCCATATGGATCATATGGGGGTGGAGGTGGAGCCATGTACCTAAATAGAAGTATTGCAAATCAATTCATGCAATGAGAGAAGACTTCGGTAACCTTTGTGGTCTTACAATATAATAATGGCAACATTCAAGATAGAAGTAAGAAAGGCTACATACCCAGGGGGACCCCAGACAGGAGGAGGAGGAGGAGGAGGATGATACGGTGATGGAGAGGGATAGGGAACATGGCCATAGTCACCACCTGTACGTAATCGCTTACTTTGATCAAAAGCACTAGTAGTATCTGCTACTATTCCTGTGAATCAAAGATCAGCATCATTTCATGCCAGCTGTCATTACAAATACTTGACAATAAAACACACACAAAATGGAAGGCAATTGACTCTCACAATAAGTATTTCCATCGATCTTATCCCAGCTTACGCTATAGAATCCATTTCGAGCTTCATGGAAACAAATAGCTAAAGTCTTCTGATTATCATCATCATTACTTTGTAAATAGGCCAGATCAGACTTTTTTGTAAGTGAACTACAAGCCTTATGGCTACTACTTCTACTTCACTAATTTGTCATAGAGCTTTACTGACCTTGTTTGCCATAGATTCATACATACTTGTAAGTTGCCTATCCATGGAATTTGAAGTACACGAAAGATGCAATATACCGTACAAAGCTATAATAACCAGGCCAACACAAACTAATTGAACAGGAAAGCACATTGGTTTCCCTATCTCTTCTACTATAGCCATAACCAAAACCAAATAAGAATTCACCATGCAGGCCAGACAATATTTAACCATTCTTTCTTCTTGGTACAAAAAAATTGAAACAACCACAAGGTCACAAGAAACAACTACCTCTTTTAACAAAAAGATTTTTCTTCGCCATTTCAGTGTGCAAGACTGCCTTCAACTCTGCGTCAAAAACCATGTCCTAAACATCACACAACAAATAAAAAGAGAGAGTGAGACCAATCAGCCCAGATGAAATGAAGCAACAGACTCAGAGTTGCATTCACACGAAACTGAACCTGAAGCGCATCCTTGGCAGCAATGGCAAATTGAGCAGCGGAGAAAAGAGCAAACCCCATGGGCTTCTCTCCTTTGAAGTTCACTTGCGAAGCTTCATAACCCGGCAGCCACCTCAGCAAGTTTTGGAGTTCTCTCTCCTTCACATCTTCAGGCAGCCCCGTGATGAAAACCGTGCGAACCTTATCATATTTCCAGGTCAATTCAAGTATTCGACTAGCAACATCGGCATTCGATAAAAAAAAGAAAACCAGGAATTGAAGATGAGACGAAGCGGATAGTGGTTACCTCGTCGTGCGTAGGGCCGCGGTTGGAATTATCGACCATAGCAGCAGGCGGGTGAGGGTAATGGACTGAAGGAGGAGGAGGGCCTGCCGCGGCAGCAGACGGTGGCGGCGGAGCAGGAGCCGGCGGCCACTGCTGGTGATAAGGGTGAATTCCAGCTCCCGCCATGCAAATCGGAGCAGCGGTGAGGTGAGAAACGGAGCAGTAACCAACGAAACCCTAGTGCAGCGATCCTGCGTGGGATTTCCGGAGGTGAAGCAGTGGAGAGGGAGGACCGACGACGTAGAGTTCGCTTCTAAATGGAACGCCAAAATAGCTTGTTGTTGGATTTTCTTACAAAATTATTGTTGCGTATTTTAAAATTGTATTCCAATTAGGGCCTAGGGGTGTCGGTTCGGGTCGGGTTCGGTTACCCACACCGAAGCCCGAAAAAACCCGAAACCGAAAACCACTAAAATCGAACACGAACTCGATAAGGACTTGCGTGTTCTGGTTACTCGAAACTCGAAAATTCCTTATCGGGTTCGGGTTCGGTTAAAGCAAAACCGAAACCCGAACGCCTAAGATATGGGCTGAGTTCTATTCATTGGAGGTTTTTAGACGAAACCCGAAAAACCGATAAGCAAAACCGAACCCGAAACCGAAAATCCGAAAATGTATATAATCGGGTCGGTTTCGGGTAAACCCGAAAAACCGAACCCGAATGGACACCCCTAATTCCAATTTAGGAATAAGTTCCTATCATCCTATGTTCCTTACTTCAAAAAAAAATGTTCTTTACTTCAATTTGCATACATAGCTAACCAAATCCAAAATCAAATTGGGCTTCAGGTGAGGTTTGGGCTGGGTTCTGGGAACCTAAGGGCCTGTTTACTTTCATTTCTGTTTCCTGTTTTTGAGAAAACAGATGTTGAAAACAGGTGAAAACAACATTTTGTCGTTTCCGAAAACAGCAGGAAGTTGCCACTTTCTGTTTTCATAGTTGGAAACGAATAGAAAACAGAATGAAAAGTAAACAAATTTTCTCATTTCGGTTGCCAAATTTATCACATGAAAACATAAAACAGGAAACGAAAATGGAAGTGAACAGGGCATAAGAAAGCCAGGAAAAATTTGACCCGCCCGTTAGGAATGGCAATGGGCAGGTCCGGGGCGGGTATCTTTATATCCATACCCGTCCCGTGCCAGGTTGGGTCCAGGTCAGGTATTTTATCACGGGGCGCGGGTCGGGGAAAGTCGACCTAATGGGTATCCAATTTATGAGAAAAACATTAGAAATATTTGTTATTTTCATTAAAAGACCAAAGAAACAATAATATGATGAAATGTAGTTAAATTATTGGAGAAATTAGGTTTTCACTTATTTACAAGCTTATTGTAGCTAAAATATGAGGTAATAAAAGGAAAATCCTAAATAATTTTACTAGGATTACATGTAGTTTAGGGAAAAACGGGTCAAGAATGGGGCGGGTCAGGGCAGGGTCAGGTCGATGGGAGGTACCCATGCCCGCCCCGCCCCGCCTACGGGGCGGGTCGGAGCCGCCCCAAAGCAGGTCAAACAGGTCGGGTAAAACGGGTCAGGTCGAAATTGCCATCCCTACCATCCGTTAGGACTAACAATCAGTGCTGTTGTGGTTAATCGTAGTTAAATTTGCATTAATCGCGGTTGAAATGGAGTCATAGGTGCAGTTAATATGCATTAAACGATTAACAGTTAATTTCAGTGCAAATCACTTTCACAGGAGCAAGGTGCAGGACCGAATGAGCTAGCGTGTTATGGAGGTAGGGCTGCAAATGAGTCGAGTTCGAGCTAACTTATTTAATAAAATCTTGATTCATATATGATACATTCATTGTGTATGTCATACATGATACATGTGATTACTGTCAAGATTAAAATAATAATAATAATAATAATAATAATAATAATAATTAAGTGTTCAATATTAACTAATCTTATTTTATACTTTGTGCTATCAAACTATTTAGTTAATAAATTTTAACTAGTGAAATTATGTTATTTCGTAATATCGGAGGAATCTATAGTATATAATTTATTTTTAAAATTAAATAGGACATATTTGCTCACTTAATCTATGTGTTAATACTTCATATACTGTGAGATATATAATTTTACAATCTTATTAATTATCAAAATCAAACTCATATAGATCGATTCACTCATAACTCGATAATCGAGTTGGCTCTCTAGTCACAATGTTGAGAGTTGAGACATCTCATGAGCTCTAAACGAGCCAGCTCGCGAGCTCCACGAGCTGCAAAAAGCTAAGCGCAAGCTCAACTCATTGGAAAACGAGTCGAGTTTCGAACGAGCTTTTCCCAAGTCGAACGTCGAGCCGCTCCCGCGCAGCTCGACTCATTTGCAGCCTATATGGAGGCGGTGTGTGTCTCGTGGTTGATGATCTCTCGCAGGGAGCCCTTGTAGGTTGAAGAGTGGATTTTAGACGACAACATGCAAGGCAAAACTAGAAGGACCACTGAAGTTCTAAATCAATTTGCGATTAACCACAAACCGCTCGATTAATTCTTATTCGATTGCAGTTAAACCGCTAATCACAAAAAGAAACTAATATCACTAAATGTGACCGCAAAAGGACCTCCTTATTTCGTATGTAGTTAACCACAAACTGCGCGGTTTCGATACGATTGGTTGAACCGCAAAATCGCAACCATATTGCCATCCCTACCGCCCGCCAACCCGGATTGCAGAATTAGGTCTTTTCCCACCGAACCGGAAGTGACGGTGGTTTCAGAAACGTAGCCGAGCAGAGCAGCTGAGAACTGAGAAGCAACCGAAAGACAGAGTAGCTATGGAGGAAGAAGCCGGGAGAGAAGACCACCTCCTCGATAGCTTCCTCACCTGGACCGCGAAGCTTGGAGTCACAGATTCGCCCTGCAATTCCCCGTCGCAGCAAAACTCGAATCGCTGTTTGGGCCATTCCCTCGTCGTCTCCCACTTCCCTGACGCCGGAGGAAGAGGTCTGGGCGCCGCCCGCGATCTCAGGAGAGGAGAATTGGTTCTCCGAGTCCCGAAAGCTGCTCTGTTCACGACGATTCGTTTGTTGGGAGATGACCCGAAGCTGTCCTCCGCCGTCAATGGCCACCCTTCTCTGTCCCCGACCCAGGTTTTGGAATTCTCTCTGCCGTGTAAATAAACGAGCTCTGGCTGTTATGGTGTTATCAAAAGTTTTTGGAACTTTGTTGCAGAGGTTAGGGTTATGCTTGTTGCACGAAATGGGTAAAGGTAGAGATTCATGGTGGTGGCCGTACTTGAAGCAATTGCCCCGTGGATATGATACATTAGCAACTTTCAGTGAGTTCGAAAAGCAAGCTCTGCAAGTTCAGTTTGTTCTTTTTCTGTCTTCGATTTTCTGCTTGTTCGTCCTCCTGTTTTGTTGATTTGGTCATGTCTGAGAAGAATGCTGTGTGTTATGGTTATAGGTTGATGACGCCGTGTGGACTGCTGAGAAGGCTATATTGAAGGCGAAAATGGAATGGAGACAAGCTAAGCTAGTAATGGAACAGCTTCAGTTCAAGCCTAAATTTCGAAGTTTCGGGGCGTGGACTTGGGTTTGTGCAACGGTGAGCAGACTGGCTCTTCCTGAATCCAACCATACCGTTCTTTGGACTTCAAATTTCGTTTGAGAGTTAACTAGGGTGTCCTGTATTATATGCTGAAAGAATAATGCATCATCTCTCATTCATCTAGCTGTTGATACTTGAAGCCAGTTCTGTTAGAAGGAAAGAGAAGGTGTCTGATGGATTTCTTTCATAATTTCTAAGATATGTTTCCAGGAAATCCCCAGATCGATTGACCTTATGATTGGTCCGAGATTTTACTTGCAATGTCTTCATCTCCTAGCACAGCTTGCTCCTCTTCTACATCTTTGCGAGTGCTGTATCTGCTGTCTGAAATTTGAAAGTCCCTTATGAGTTTGATTGTGTGCAGATATCCTCGAGGACAATGCATGTATCATGGGATGAAGCCGGGACTTTGTGTCCAGTTGGAGACTTCTTCAACTATGCTGCTCCTGGGGAGGAATCAAGTGGCATTGACGATGGTTGTCACACGAGCGAATCATTCCTACAGGATGGTCTTTTGGCTAATGGGATCGCTTCGGATCAATTAACCACCAAGGGGCTTAACTCACATTTGGATTCGTTTGTTGATGCTGGATTTGAAGACCACCTTGCTGCTTATTGCTTCTATGCTAGGAGAGATTATAAGAAGGGCGAGCAGGTAAATTGAAATCTCCCTGAATTTGATTTTTTGGAATGTTCTTCGTCCGTAGCTAAATTGTCTTTGATTTTATGGCATGCTTTGCATTGAAGGTTCTCTTGGCCTATGGAACATACACAAATCTGGACCTTCTTGAACACTACGGGTTTCTGCTAGGCAAAAATCCAAACGAAAAGGCATTCATCCCCTTGGAACCTGGAATGCTTTCATTAACTTCGTGGCCCCAAGACTCGATATATATCCACGCAGATGGGAAGCCATCGTTTGCCTTGCTCTCTGCTTTGCGCTTCTACGTCAGCTCTCCACAGCAGCGGAGATCCATCTTGCAACTTGTGTATTCCGGATCGCAACTTTCAGAAGACAACGAGATAAATGCCTCGCGATTGCTGTCCAAGAAGTGCCACGAGGTTCTGCAGTCACTCCCAACAACAACAGAAGAAGATGATCTGCTGCTGTCTGTTATTGAAAGAATCCAAGATATGAATTGCCCTGTGGAGGTGGGGAAGTTGATATGCTCATTCAGAGGTGAGATTTCTGCTTTCCTGGATGGGCACAAGGATCTGCCGGCAGCGCAAGACAAGATTGTCGAGTTCTTACTGTCCAGTAGGGCCAAGATTTCATTAGGAAGGTGGAAATTGGCCGTCCAGTGGAGGCGTGGTTATAAGCAAATCATAGCTGATTGCATTTGTTTTTGTACTGAAGTGATTGAGGGTTTCTCTCATCAAAATGAGGTAAACATCCCTGAACCTTGAGTTACATTTTTCAGTTGCAAGCATCTCGACATGAGAGGTCTTAAGAAATATAGAGTTCAAAGGGATTGTTGTCGCAACCAGGCCGTCTCATTAGGAGTGTTCTCACACTCGAGATCTCGGGGATCACCCTAAGCCCATGGCCACTTAAGCCACGATATCGTAAACTAGACGACTGCTATGAAAACTCACTGAGCACTGAGGTAAAATTTGTGGTTCAACATAGTTGCTAAATCAAACTTATCATATACAGACAACAACTAAGCTAGTTAGTTTGATGGGAAGTCAAACTCAACGAGCTTCTTACCAAAGAGAGATGAACCATCATCCTCTCATTATCCCAGGTACAACTCCATCTGTCACATTCCTCTACCAACTCCTCCATTTTGCAACGAAGAAACATGAGTTGCTTCATTGCTTGTATACCAAAAATTCTATGCAACTCTCAATATCGTAAGTAGAAAACGGAACACCTTCAGACAAAACTCCACCATACAGAATACTGACAATGAATTGACCCAGTAGGCATCAGACGACGAAGTACCTGCTGTATCTCTTCTTCAAGGTCAGTTACACTACAGGTCACCGGACTCGGATTTCATCTCAGGTTGTACTTCTCGCTCCTTGATTAACTTGAGGCCGACGTATCTGTCAAAAGAATTCGTTGGCAGAAACACCTCTAGTTAGTTTCTCATATGATTCATCCTAACAATCTACTTGAATGGGATAAGAACTGATTGAATCTGTAACGAAGCTATAGCTCACCTGCCAAGCATCATGAGAGTGGCCTGAGGATTGGTGCCTGGCGAGATTGTTAAGGTTGAGCCATCCACGATTCTCAGTGACCGAATACCGTAAACACGGTAGTCAGCATCCACCACTTTCCCCACCACGCAGCCTCCATGGTAATGCCATATGGTGCTAACAGTTCGTCGACAGAAATCAGCCATCTGCTCGAAATCAGACTGATCCACAGGCAGTGCTGGCCCGACAAACCTGAAGTTCCTAACACCGTACCAGTCACGAAACCTGAAGTCCGCCATGGCACGGGTTCTCAGCACATCCCCGAGCTTGCGGGTCCCGTTCACACATCTCTCCATGTCAATAGGGCTTGAGAAGTAATTGAAACGCACAAGTGGGTTCATCCTTACATCTGTAGACGCCAGCCTCAGATACCCAACAGATTGTGGGCCAACGATCTTCTCCATCAGAGTGGCCACCGTCAGGTACAGCGGCGCAGATGGTGCCCTGATGAAGACTGAACGCGCAGGGGATACAAATGGGATCACGTTGGAGGCTGCCTCAACGTATGCTCCGAGCTCGGTGATGCCAACCACTTGTATCAGCGAGTGTTCCAGTGGCACTGGAGGCACGAATGAGATCCCATTCCTAGGATTGTCATAGAGATACTGCCCCACGTATGGAAGATGGTAGGCCACAGGAATCCCCCAGTAAGAAAGGTAAGGCCTTGGGCCAATCCCACTCAACAACAGCAGCTGAGGAGTCCCAATGGCACCAGCTGAGAGGATCACTTCCCCATTCTCACGCACCATGGCGTGATGATACTGCCCCATCCGATCTCGATACACCACGCCGATGGCTGAAATGGCAGACCTCGAGCTTCCACGCGGGCCGCTGTATGCCAGCAGCACCCTCTCCACGCTTGCATAAACGGCTACATTTATGTTGCTGGCATTGGCATAGTTGAGCAGGTCAGCAGCGCTATGCCTCCTCCCTCTGCCATCAAAGGTAGAGCCTCCAATCTTCGTCCCCACCTCGTGATCCAAACTGAAACCATTGTAAGGATCGACCCCAGCCTCCAACAGCCCATCTCTGACGGCTGATTGCCAGTTTCTAAGCTCCGGTCTAAACACGACGGCCCTCTCAACCCATTCGTAGGACTCATTCACCACTCTGAGGTCCCAATTGGCGCCGGAGTACTGATAGAAATCTGGGTCTGCCCTGCTGTAGAAGCCGGCGTTTATCGCACTGCTTCCCCCAAGAACCCGCCCTCTTGCGTTGGGGACACCTTCTTCCGAGACGAAGGATTGGGAAGCTGAGTCAAACGAGTCGACGTTTGTGAGCGTGGACAAGAAGCCTTCTTGCGTCATCAAACTTGGTCTGCCGTAGGGAACTCCCCCGCGTTCGAGGAGAAGAACCTTGTAGGATTGCGATAACGTGGCCGCCAAAGGGCAACCGGCAGTACCTCCCCCAACGATAACGTAGTCATAGTTTTCTTCCGATGGTAACTCAGTGGCATTTGCTACGAACTTGAGATAACTTGGTTCTGCACAGACATTAATCGACGACCCAAAATCAGAACCAATTGATTAGTTGAAACTTAATAGGAAACACGACAAAAAAAACAAGAAAGATCATAATTGTACTGCTCTTGATCATGCAATCTATTTGAAGTGCGAATTCACTCCCTCTTTTCCTCTCTTTCAGGCATTTTCACAGTAACTCAGAAGGCAAAATATAGAGCGGTCATGAACACGGCCTATTATCAAGAGCCTTAAACATGGATCAGTCCTGATTGCTTCCCGAGAAAATAGAACCATTGGAAAATCGTTTTGGCAAAGCTGATTTAAAGTAGAATCTCAAAGGAATCGCCGTTCTGTTTGGCTTTCAGGAAAGCGATCGAAGAGATCAAACGAAGAAAGAAAACAAGTTCTTCAAACCTAGAAGCAGATTTCCTAATCCAGCAACAAGCAAAACGAATCGAAGAAAGCTACGAACAGAGTAACTCAATCGATTTCGAGAAAGGGGACGATCGGAGCAAGAAACTGAACTCACCTCGTCCAGGGCGCGGCCTCGCCTGAGAAACAGACGCAACAAGCAAGAAGAGCAGCGACGCAGTCAAGAACCGCAGAAACAATCCCCGCCGTCGTTGCTTCATGATGCGCGCATTAACTGAGTCCTTCTCCTCTGTGGATTTTTCTTGGAGGAGAGAGAATTTTCCCGGCGGAAAATGGAGAGATTTTCCAACTGGTACTCTCTCTCACTGTTCTTGTTTCTGGAAAGAAAAAAAAAAGTGGAGCAGTGCAGAGAGTTTTTGGTTTTGTTACTTTTGGTGGGAAATTCAGTTAGCAGAAGATCATTTCCTTCCGCTCCGCCACAGCCTGGGCCCTCGGCTAATCGGCTTAGTTCGGCTGGGCCATTATCCAGTGGGCTAAGGTTTGCGTGAGAAGAGGAGCCCATCTTTGTTTTAGCCTGCCACGTGTTACTACAAATCTCCCCCGTTCGGGTACCGGGGTTGTCACGCCGGCCGGCGTGCCACCGATTGAACCTGGTTCAACCGATACCGGTCGTAAAACCGGCGTAACACCACCGGTATGATTCGCATGATCGATATACGAATCTCTAAGTAAAATGGTCTTATTTTAGTGAGTTTAATTGATAAAAATAAATTTATTATTTATTTTATGAGTATAAAAATTAAATATTGATGTTATTTGTTGGATTCAAGTATAAATGTCTAAGTATTGACGTTAAATGTCATGTTTAAATATGAGTATTTATAATTTTATTTGTAATATTGACCGACATGAATCGGTACAAACCAGTATATGTCATCGGTCGAACCATTCCACTTGCTAAACCGACACACTGGCATAAACCGGTTTCACAACCTTTTACCGTACATTTATCCGAACCACCCGCACAATCCAACCCGACCCACCGGAGCAAAGAAAGGGTTATGGCGATGGCGATGGCGGATAAGGGTTTAATTTTGAATCGATGACCCAACGTTTCTCGCAATCAGACATTCACCAGCTCCGACCATCTCCCTCCTCAACCGCCGGCCGCCGGCCGGCGCCTTCGTTTCTTTGGGAACGGATCCTGCTCCACTGTTTTAACTACATTGCCTGTTCTATCCTATAACCCCATCTCCACTGCCGCGTCTTCTGCTTGTCCGACGGTGGCCATCGAATGCTTAGTTCTTGGTACGTTTACTTTGTGTGCTTTCTGCTCTCCAGTTTTTCTACCTTGATGGTTTTCTCATGCTGGCCGGTTGCAGGCGCTGGGCGAGAAATTGAGAAGAGCTGCGTGGTAGTAACAATCAAATGGGAAGCGGATCATGTTTGATTGTGGGCTGCACATGGGTCACAGTGATGAAGGGCGTTGTCCTGATTTTCCTGTCATTGATGGCTTCCCTAGATTGTGTGATTATCACTCACTTGTAAGTGTGGCTCAACGTTTCTGTTTGCTTTGTCCTGTTCCTACTTGTTTTGCTACAGTGATTCACAGTTTCCTGTAATGGCGAGTTACATTGTTAATTGGCTTAATGAGTAGGATTCTGCGAGAATTTTCGTCTTCTTTGTGTGTATGCGACGCTCCAAAGTTTAGCTGCTGAATCAGTTCAACATTTCATTGAACCTACATATCCTTGGACCTATGTGTGTTTGGGGGTTGGATGTTCCACAACCGATTATCCGAACGTTCTTGGAACTCTGCTGTGAGTTCTAGGACTTCTCACTGCTTCTGCAAGAAACAGTCAGTAGCCAATGAGCTGGTGAGCATCAACTAACTCTTGTGTTGTGCTCATAGATAAATTGATACCTTGTTTGAGATGGCGTACTGCAACTAAGCAATTCATTGACAGAATTTGTAAAAACGGGTGTTTTTGGTGTACCTTAATTTTTGAATTCATTTAGCTGATTGTAATCTGAGGTTCGACTGTTATTACTTGAGATTTCCTGAATGTATCTGATGAGCTGTACTCTCCAGAGTTTCAATTTGTGGAAGAACGCTAAATGTTGTTAATTTTTCTTAATTTTCCTTATGCAGTCGCCCCAATTGATCTGAAGCATAATGTGCAAGTTGGTAAGGATCTTCAAATTCGGGCCTACTATCCAGGACATGTAAGATTAAAATTTACCCTTAGGTAGATGTGTTGCATTCAGTTTTAAAATTTTGTGTTATGTTAATACCTCTTTTCCCTCAAGGTTCTTGGAGCTGCAATGGTTTATGCAAAGGTAGGAGATGCATCTGTGGTATACATAGGTGACGACAATGTGACTCCAGATAGACATCTTGGTGCCGCACAAATTGTTCCACAAGAACTAGACCTTGTTATAACAGAGTAAGTGGCTTTATACCTTTGATGTTTCATCTTTGATCAATCTCATTAGATTAATCTGTGTGATCAATATCTTCCATACAGTGTTCTCTATGCAATGGTAGTATCTTTGTTTCAATGCTGGACAACTTATTCATTTCTAGAGGTGGATTAGTGTACTTTTGTATTTACGTTATTGGAGATAAGCCAGCTCTTGCAAGTCTCAAATGAAGTCACTCTTTTGGTCATGGTTTCATATGTGCTTAACAGGTCAACCTATGCAATGACTGTAAGTGATCCAATATATGCTCGTGAGAGTGTTTCTGAAAGCTGTATGTATAACAACTATATCATATTTGTTATAATCCATGAATTCTTCCATTTCACTGATCCACATCTTATCCCTTTCATTGACATGGTTGCATGTGTGCTAAGCTAGAATGTTTAAGTGGTACTATCTACACTTGCTTTTTATAACCATTGAAACACCATGACGTAAGACAGGCACATTTCTAGCAATAGTGGATAAACATGTAAATTGTGGGAATTTGGAGCTTGGGGGAAACTCCAGCTATGGAATGTTGCGCTCCATCATACTATAGCGGTTAGAATTACTCTACATAGAGAGCGGAATTGCTTGATCGCTATCTGTGTGGTTATCCATGGATGAAGAATAGATCAGTGCAGTCCATGCATCGTAGCATATAGAGGTTCTACGCGGACTAGAATTGCTTTTGATAGAGAGCAAAAGCTTATCAATCCGCTACTGTTTTGTTGAACTAAAGAAAAAGTCTTCCAAATACTAGCTTTTAGAGGTTGAAATGACGTGGATTGATGGTCTGGAAAAGCTCATCAAATTAGCTAACAAGCGAGATATGACTGAAATCTTTTTCCAGTGTCTAGAAGCAATGCAGCATTGCCGGGAATGAGGGCCATCAATGGCGTGTGACTTCAAAATTCTGTGTATGTTGCATGATTAGATGTAACATGTGTTTTGCACTTTTATATGTAAACTGATGATCTACTTCATGTTTATAACTCTTGCAAGAGTTCCAGTGTCCAAATTTATTCATGTTTTGTGTCCCGATTTCAGCTGTCAAAGATGTTCCACATCAGGTTAGTAGTATCAACAGAGATTCCACCTCTCCTCTGCTGGTGAAGCGATGATAGAGTCGGCGCGAAGCAACCTTATCGTTGGATCATAGAAGCAAGACGACGAGAGGCGTGCACGAGTATGAGCTGGAGCTTATCGTGTCGGGAGAAGGAAAGCCCCAGGTGTGGTTCTGTTCGGCCATTGCTGTCCACATAGTAGCAATAACTTAATGAAAGGCAAGAGGTAGACTCGGTCTTTCTGGTAAATGGTCTTTGGCTCAAATTGGGGTTCTTTTCAAACTCTCTATGTCATAATGAGAGTTGCAGTCGCAGACATTTTTTTTTTGCTGCAGCTGTTGTGCATGGAAGACGTGCAGCTGGCTTTGGCGATCATTTCTTCAGTTAGAAACAGTCTTTAAGAAGTCAAGTAGCTGATGCTGTTCATTTCATAGGATTGCAGTGTTAATATACGTTTCTCTGACTGACTCAACTATTGACTCAGCCCTGTGGTGGACTGGCGTCTCTTTTTCTTCATGAGCTTTACTGTTGTTTGCATGACCAAGTTGTGGGCTCGTGGTGGCCAAGGTCAACTCCCCAAATTTCAAATGCAATTATCAGGGTTTTAATGTTTTCTTGGTTTGTTGATCGTGCTTTTGGCTCAAGTCAACGTTAATTCTCTCAAACAATTAATTGAAGAATTCTACCTAAACTTAAACCACGAAAAGATTGTTATCTATGCGTTATACCTACGAGACATGAAATGTAACATAGCACGTTGTTGAACAGAAGTTCGAAAGACCTATTTCTCATGCAGGACAGGGCTTTCAAATACGCGTGCGATGAGTCCTTCGTATTGACCATTGAGATGATCGCTCTGGGGGTGAGTGTTGTCGAACTCTTCGTCGTGCTAAGACCCTTGTTACTTTAATTTTTTTTTCAAGCAAATTTACTTGTGTATTAAACTTTTTTTATGTGAAAACATCTTATAACAATTATTTTTTTGGTGCAAGTGCAACATCTTTAAAACAAAATTAATTGCTGATGTTGATGATGAGACGAATTAATAAATCCACGAGTGCAACTTAAGAAAAATCATTTTCACGAATTAAATTTATTTGTGTTCATGTTTTTATATTGTGATAAGGAATTTCCCTCAATCCACATTTTCCACCTCACCCACACCCCGCCAAATAATATAACTCATTATTAATTATTAATAAAAAAACCAAAGGAAGAATAAATAAATGGGAAATCTTCTCTTCCTCTCTCTCTTTCATTTTCTTTTTCTCGCCTTTTATATCCTTTTTTTCCTCCCCAATCTAACATTTTCCTTCCTCTTTCCTCTCATTTCTCTCTTCCCAGAATCTTCTCTCTATCTCTCAGAAGGAGAAAAAAAAATCAGAATCCGTCCAATCCCTTCTTCCTCCCTCCTTTTCATGGAGTTGTTTGATCGGGAAATCCACGCGAACCTGCCGCCGCCGCCCGCATTATATTCCTCCCGACGGTGATTTCGATTTCGTTTTCCTCCACCGCATCGAACCATCGAAGACAGAAGAAAGAACGATAAGAAAGAAATCAAGTAGCGGATAATTCTCAGATAGCCGCCGACGAAACAAAGAGGGGGTGAAGAAAGGAGAAGAAGAAACCTCGCAGGCCGGAGTTATGAGACCGATTCAGCCTCCACAAGGTACCGCCGCCGCCGTAGCGGCTGTTTCATCTATGTCCAATCAGAAGCCTCGCAGGCGTCCTAACCTAAGCCTGCCGCTCCCGCCTCGGGAGCCGACGGTCGCCGTCCCTCTCCCTCTCCCGCCGTCCTCCGCCTCCGCCGCTACTTCCACCAGCCACCCGCAGCAGCAGCAGCAGCAGGCGGCGCGCCAGGTAATCGGCTTCTCGGAGCTCGACCGGATGAACCGGATTGGGAGCGGCATGGGCGGGACCGTCTACAAGGTGGTTCACAGGCAATCCGGCAGGGTTTTCGCGCTCAAGGTGATCTACGGGAACCACGAGGACTCCGTCCGCAACCAGATCTGCAGGGAGATCTTGATTCTCCGCGACGTCAGCCACCCAAACGTCGTCAAGTGTCACGAAATGTACGAGCACAACGGCGAGATCCAGGTCCTGCTCGAGTTCATGGATCGCGGATCCCTCGAGGGGTTTCACATCGCTGACGAGCTTGAGTTGTCCGGTGTCGCTCGTCAAATCTTGAGCGGGATTGCTTACCTCCACCGCCGCAAGATCGTCCACCGCGACATCAAGCCTTCAAATCTGCTGATCGATTCCAACAAGCTAGTGAAGATTGCCGATTTCGGGGTGAGCAGGGTGCTGGCGCAGACCATGGACCCTTGCAACTCCTCCGTGGGTACCATTGCTTACATGAGTCCCGAGAGGATCAACACGGACTTGAATCACGGCCAGTATGACGGTTACGCTGGGGACATATGGAGCTTGGGGGTGAGCATATTGGAGTTCTACTTGGGGAGGTTCCCATTTGCAGTGGGTAGGCAGGGCGACTGGGCGAGCTTGATGTGTGCTATTTGTATGTCGCAGCCGCCGGAGGCCCCCGTGACAGCTTCCAGGGAGTTCAGGGATTTCATCGCCTGTTGTTTGCAGAGGGAACCAGGGAGGAGGTGGACGGCAGTCCAGTTGTTGAATCATCCTTTCGTTGTGAGGGGAAATGGAGGCCAAAGAGATGGGAGCCAGAACTTGCATCAATTACTGCCTCCTCCACGCCCACTCTCATCATAGTATTGGCCTTCACCAACCCTCTTTTCTTGATACCGGTTGTCTTACTTGATCGTTTTCGGGTTTACCTTGGTCTTGTTCGTATTATCAGGGAAAGTTTGCTTTCCAATTGCCATTTTTTCTCCTCTTCTGTAATTTTTGATATGGTGGGTCGGATTAGGACGTGGTGGGAAATGAATGGTCGGGCTTAATGTTGGTTTGATGGATCGACTTTGAATCAGAATCAAATCAGTTCATGATGACAATGTATGTTTACCATGGAAAGTAAAAAGGAAACTCAACTTTCTGCTATGATTGCCACCAGAATTATGCTTTTGCTAGTTATGTATGCTTTCTGCTTTGAGCTCACTGTGCTATTTTGATTCATGGGGTTGTTTTCGGCAAATATTGGGTTTTGGAACGTAAGTCTTACCATATTAGTTACGGGTTTAGGATGGGATATTTATGGGAAGATTCAAATAACAGCTGGTCTACAGCTTTTAGGTCATGTTTATCGGTGTTAGAGTGCACGGATTCTCTATACTCGTGTGCTCCTTCATTCTTTCTTTTATATGGTTAGTGTGCTTCTCCTGATTCTATTCTGGAATTGTTGTAGGAGCAAAATCGTTAGAGTCACTCTGCATATCAGTAGCTTGACCATGATGATTGATGTCTGTATGTCCTCCATGGGTTTATTGCTCAAACCTAAATGTGTAGTTTGGGATGTGGAGAATTTGTCATTACCCTATGCTTACTGGTTAGTTTCATCTGTTGCATTTCATATTGATTATCAAGCTCTCTTTCCTTACTATATCAATTCCCCTGTCTGCTTACATTGGTTGTGTAATCTGAATGATTGGATTTTATTAGGATTAGGTCATTTTGGATTCATGTCGGTTGTGTAATGGTACTTGAGGGAACTGCATCTGCTTTTTTTTAGTTATATGGATGTAAAGTAGTAACTGGCAACTCATGTGATGATGCTACAATATGGCCATTTATAGAGACTGGCCACAAATTTTGGTGGTGTATTTCTGTTTCTGGTTCTGGTGGAGGAGTGTTTCTGGTTCTGGTTTATTTCTCCTTGTGAAGAGGGGGAAATTGGGGTCAGGAAGGTGAGTGTTGGTGGGTGCTTTAATGTGAATCTATTGTCAAATTTAGTATCCATCTTGATTTAGGTTGAAGAAGATAGACAGTAACTAGAAATGTTAAGAGGGAGCTCCAGCCTGCACTGTTTTGATGTTGATGCAGCATCAGCAGCAGAAAAGGGAAGGTTGTATTTATTAGTGGGGAAGAAAATGATTGAACTCTTATTTGCTTTTTCTCACTTCTCTTCTACCCCACTCCCACAATTGCAAGATCATATGCAGATTCCACAGGTAGAGAAAGGCTAGTAATAAGCAGTAGTGTTTCCATGTCCATGTCAGCAGTTTTTTTTTTTTTTTTTTATGTTGGAGGAGTTGTGATGATTTTGTTTGCTTGCTTTTTTCTTCTTTTGCCTTTTGTGATGTCCCAGGCTGCCTCTCTGGCTGGTAGGAAGGACCACTGCCACTGCCTGCTTTCTTTCTGTATTTTACTACTGCTCCTCTAATATTTTGCTCTCTGACTGCTATTTCTTCCTGAATCGCTGGCTTGCAATGGTGGTAGACTGGTAGTGTTGTTCTTCGTTCTGTGATTAGGGTTTTGAGTTGTGTTTTGTTCGAGTTATTGATGTGATGATGATGACTAAATTGGATGCAGCTACCAGATAGGAAACTGTAAGATTTTGTGGAGTATGACCAAGTGTTTACTTGAAGGCATCCTGCGATGAGCTATCCACATAGGTGTTGGGTAAATGCCAGGTTCGGTCACTGGTCACTTGGTTTTTTTAGTCACTAGAAAAAATCAATATCAGTGTTGGTCATTCGAATTAGTAAAACGGTCTATAATTTCGTATAATTATAGAATAATTTCACAATATGGTCATTCGAATTAGTAAAACGGTCTATAATTTCATATAATTATAGAATAATTTTACAATATGAAACAAGAGACCGCATATGTACTTTTTTTACGGCATCCCCTTGAATAAAATCATGGCTATGTCACCGAGTACATTATTCCTATTTATAATTATAAATGAGATATATTTGATCACGTGCCCAAATTTTTAAATATATGTGGTAAGATGCTTTATCTCACAAACCTATGAGTTATCAACAAGTCAATGATAAGTTAGCAATTGATTCGCTTATAAATTGTTATGTAAGATGGCTCGCTAGTCAACTGTCTTGCTAGCTCATAGCTCGAAACAACCTAGCTCACTAGTTGAGCTTAACAAACAAATGAGTCCAGTTGTCTCGGGAGCCTTGTGAGCCGAATAAAGCTTAAGTCAAGCTTGAATCGTTAATAAACGAGTCGATTTTTGAACGAGTTTTTTTCTGAGACGAAGGTTAAATTGCTCATGAGTAATTTGACACATTTGCAACTCTAATCACGGCTCAGCTCAACATATCTCTATGACGTTTTCTTCGGTTTTCCTTTAAAAGTAAGTTTTTCAAATAGATGATCCCTATCACCAATTTTGAAATCTTATACAATTATTTATTTTTATTTTTTTACCTCTGTCCCTTTCATTAAAATCTAACCTTACCCCTTCTATCAAAACATGATCTTCTCTCTATATTTCATCCCTTCTGGTCCTCCAAATGTCAAAGAGGACAAACCTTAAACCGACTTGGGAGAACTGTTAGTGAGTGATATAAGATCTATTATTGAACCTATCCCAATAACTCGAGTTATTGGGATCAACTGGTTCTTGACATGGTATTAGAGCCTTATGTGACTAAGAGGTCTTGTGTTCAAATCCAGGTGACCCCATTTGTGAAGCCCATGTATTATCGTATTCAGGACATGTGCAAACTCAAACTTTCTGCTATGATTGCCACTAGAGTTATGCCTTTGCTAGTTATATATGCTATTTTGGATGGTAAGTTTTACCATATTAGTTACAGGTTTAGGATAGGATATCTATGGGAAGATTCAAATAACAGCTGGTCTACTACATTTAGGTCGTTTCGATCGGTGTTGGGAATGCACGGATTCTCTGTACTCGTTGGCTCCGTCATTTCTTTCGTTCTTTATTATATATATGGTTAGTGTGATTTGTCTGATTCTGTTCTGGGATGTCTTGACCATGTGTTTAATGCTCAAACCTAAATGTGTGGTGTGGGATGTCGAGCATTTGTCATTGCCATATGCTTGTTAGTTTCATCTGTTGCGTTTCATCTTGATTATCAAAGCCTTCTTTCGTTCCCCATTTCTGTCTACATTGGCTGAGTAATCTGATTGATTGAATTTTGTTAGCACTAAGTCATTTGGATTCATGTCGGTTGTGTAGTGGTACTTGAGGGAACTGCATCTGTTTTTTTAGTTATATGGCTGTAAGTAGCAACTGTCAACTCATGTGATGATGCTACAATATGGCCATTTATAGAGATGGCCGCTAATTTTGGTGCTCCTCAGTCAATGCATGGAAATGTTTTCTTGTGTAGAGGCGTGTTTCTGGTTCTGGTTTTATTTCCCCTTGTGAAGAGGGGGAAATTGGGGCCAGGAAGGTGAGTGTTGGTGGGTGCTTTAATGTGGATCTATTGTCAAATTTAGTATCCATCTTAATTTAGGTTGAAGAAGATAGACAGTAACTGAAAATGCTGGTGGTGTATTTTAGCTCTTTAAGATGAGAGCCTCACCCTGTGCACTGTTTTGATGTCACTGATGTGGATGCAGCAACAGCAGCAGTGAAGGGTGTATTTATTTGCCCTGTGGGGAAGAAAATGATTGGACTTTATCTGCTTTTTCCCACTTCTCTAGACAGGAATGATTAATGGCGGAAAAAAAAGGTTAGATTTCTACCCCACAATTGTAAGATCATTAAACAGATTCTACAGGTAGAGTGCTGTTGAAAGATTAGTAACAAGGAGTAGTTCGTCCATGTCAGCAATGTTGTTTATGTTGGAGGAGTTGTGATGATATTGTTTGCTTGCTACTACCTGCTTTCTTTCAGTATTTTACTACTGCTCATCTGTTCTGGTTTCTAGGCAAGACAAATGAGGGGGGTAGGTTTGTGAAGCTAAGAAATCTGACTGCTAATTTCTTCCAGAATCATTGGCTTGCAGTGGTGAATTGTGATAGTTCTGTGCTTCATTCTAAGATTAGGGTTTCGAGTTGTGTTTCGCCTCGAGTTATTGATTTTATGAAGATGACTAAATTGGATTGCAGCTACCAGAAAGGAAACTGGAAGAGTTCCCCGGTTCTTACTTGCATACATGTCGATGGTGCAGGCCTGTAGGGCTTTGAGTTGTATAATGTTTATTTACACTCCAGACATCGTTAGGGATGGCAATGGGTCGGGTCGGGGACGGATAGTGCATATCCGTTATCCTACTCAAAGTAGTTTGGGTTTTGCCCATGCCCATACCCACATGAGAAACGGGTAGAAAATCCAAACCGTGCTCATACCCGTTCGGGTTTGGCATCCACGGTTATCCATGGGTAATAGTTTCCCTTTATAACTCCAACCAATATGTTAATATGCACACGTATTCTCAAGTTGCGTAAGACGAAAACTACGACAATAATCACTAGAATGAAGAAAATTAATTAAAACAACACAATTTCATAAAAATATTATATTTATATGCTAAATATAAAATATGTTAGAGAAAAGTACTGATTATTTCTAGACAAAATACATTTGCATTTATATAATCGGGCGGGTTCGGGTTGGATAGTGAGAAAATCATGCCCACCCATTACCCGCAATATTCGGGTTCGGGTTTTACCCGTACCCACTAAAAGTCCTTCTAGTTCGGGTTTTACCCTACCCGATTAGGCTAGATTTGGGTAGATATCCACGGTTACGAATATTTTTCTCGTCCCTAGACATCATCTTGCAGGCAACGCATATATTTTTGTTTTTGTAGACAACTTTTTCGTCGAATAATTTAGTATTTCAATTTGTCCATTGACCTAAGCGCCGGGTATCTTCTATTACAATCTCAAGTAAACTTCCTCAGTTCATACCATAATAGAGTTGGGTAGTTGTCCATCTTTGAGAAACACCCATGAAAGTTCTTGGAAATTCCTTAACCTAAAAGGAATTTGGAGGAATGAACACACCAAAATAACAAAAATGCACCAATCTCAGCTTTCGATTTCAGTGTTACTTTGAACGAATTTGCTATTCATTTTCCAACAATCAGTGTATTTCCAACAACAGCCGAGTTACATAGAAAATCCAAATTACAATTCAATACCCAGAGAAAAAATTAAAAGGACCAGACAACAAGTAGACGAGTTAGCGTTAGAAGCAGAGAAAAAAGTGTCAGAATCCAGCAGCGTCAGTCTCTGAATTCATCTCCAATGGCTTCTTCAAGCCAGGCCCTGGAATCATTCATCAACTCAGGGCTCAATCTGAACATGAGAACGCAGAACTCCATCTGATTCAAAGCGCCGTCGCCGTCCACATCCCCTTCCTTCACCATCCCGGCGATCTCGCCGTCCGACAAGTCCTGGAGGCCCAGAACGGCGGCGTTTCGCCTCAAGCTCTCCGTCGTAATCACCCCTCTCTCCTTATCCATCAGCAGCTGGAACCCATTGCAGAGCTCCCTGATCAAGCCTTCCCCGCCCAACTTGTCGGCCATCACCGGCAGCAGATCTTCGAACAACTCCCCCCCGGCTCTCGTCGCCATTTTTCTTGGGTTTTCGATGGTTGGAAATTGGAAATTGGAATTGGGGTTTGGGAATTGAGAGGTGGGTGGTGTTTTGAGGAGGAGATATGGGGAGAATTTGTTTGTTATTATATGGTTGAAGGAATGAAGAAAGGGACAAGGACATGAGAGGAAGAAAGTTCGAGGAAATGGCGGGTGGGAACTGCGAAGGGAAGGCGGCAATTGGATAGCAGATGACAGAAGAGAAGAGAGACAGGCAGTAAATGAGCTGGTCGGGTCGGGTCGGGTTTTGGATCTTGTTCGCTCCAGCCCACGCGATCTTCTCCTTGACTGGGTTGTGTTCAAAAAATGGGCTTGCGTGGTCCGGGAATGAGGCCCACTCTGTTCTGTATCAGCATTCAGCCCACTAGCAAAATGCAGGCCCATGTTCTATGACTACAGCAGCAATTTGGGCCGTATCCGTGTGTGGGCGGTCCAATCAAAAAATCCAAGGATTCACAAATCACAGGCCCCAACGACCAACGTTTCCCCAATGGCAAGGAATGTAACAAAATCAATGCTCTTCCGTGTCTTTGTTAGAATTAGTTTCCTTTGATTTTGTTTGGACAACTAGGTTACACTCTTTTTCTTCAACCGAATGAACTATATGTCGTTATTTCGATCTTTTAAGACGCGTGTCGTCGAGATGGTTATCCCTTTACTGGAAACTATGGTTTGATTCTAGTCAATCAATCTATGATTTTTTTTTTTTGACTGGGAACCTGTAGAGCAAGGTTGTCAACCCGCGGGTTGACCCACTTTAACCCTGACCCGGTGAGAAAAAGGGCCGCACGCACCCGTCGGGTCGACCGCTACAAGGTACCGGGTTGGAAGTCAAATTGTGTCATTTTTTTCTTTGTTTTGCGAAATGCGTCTAATTTCCGATTTTTCTTTTCGCCTAACTCAATTTTTGAAAACCTAAGTTGAACATTTGAATATTAATGTTATATAAGTGTGTGTGAATTTTCACTATATGTTGAATCTAAGTACGAAATGTTATTTTGGTGTAATATTATATGTTATAACTTATATGTTAGATGAGATTTGATATAATTTATCAGGATAAGTACAATATAATGACGCTTTCCATATTTCCGGGCTAAAACGGGTGACCCATTAACCCTTGACGCACTAGATCAACCGGGTCCGGGTCAACCCGCGGGTTGACAACCTGTGTAGAGCTTTCATTAATCAGCAGGCAATATTACATTATCCAAATTTAGCTGATCTAAAAGTATGATGGGTGGCCTATCTACCCACACTGATCTTTCATTCCAAATCGTTTCCACATGCGCCATTATATGAGCTGCAACGTTTGCTTCCCTTGGTGCGTATTGCCACGAAACTTCTCCCATTTGACCAATCAATCGCCGGATGTTCCTGCAAATAACTCCCTTCTCCGTTCTGATTCTTTCGGCCTGAGTGATATCTGTCACCAGATTCAAACAATCCATCTCCAACAGCGGGTTCATGAGGTTAAGTTGGGCCGCCATCTGCACCCCAAGCTCAACTGCCATAGCTTCAGCATCCTCTGGATCATATATACCTGGTGCTTTCTTCGCTGCAGCAAAAAGGAATTTACCTTCTGAGTCTCTCGCCACTGCACCTAGCCCTGCTCCTCCTCCCGGGAGTATACCCGCATCCAAGTTAATCTTTATTCTACCATTGGGCGGTGCCATCCAACGCTTCACAGGGGCGGCTGTCTGAACAACGATAGGAAAATAATTGGTGCCAAATTCATGATGCCCATAATCTTCTATCCATCAAAATGCCGAAATCGATGGCCATAATCTTCGTCCATGACTATCTCTGTCTCTCTTTATTACCTTCCATACCTTTCTATGACTTCTTTGCATGATTTGATGGCGTTGGGTAGCAATAAGAGCAACCTGTTAACTGCTTTGATCATTGTGAGTATGAATTTTTTTTTGTTTTATTCAGAGGAGGCATTTAAGTCAAGAAAAGCGTTATAGGTGGGAGAAGAGAAAATGGACATGAAGAGGAAGAAGAAACAAAGGTGGGAAGAATGCACAGTGATGGATGAAAGATAGATAATGAACAAAAACTTGGCGACTCCAAAATTGACCCAAGTTTTGTTTCTTCCTCCAGCATTAGGGCGGTCTATTTGGTTTTGGTTTTTTGGTTTTAAATGAAACCAAACCAATTGAAAAGCTAATGGTTTTAGTTTTTTGGTTTTAAACCAATAAGCAATTTAATAGTTTTAGTTTGGTTAAAACCGAAAAACCAACAGAAACTAATAAGAATAAAATTATTTATCAACAAATATTTTTTTTGTTTCTTTAAACACGCATACCAACCAATAATTTGTTATGACCATTTACCATTATTATGACGTTTATTCAATAAAAAGGAGGGAAATAGGAATAAATATGAGTGTATGAGTACATGTTGGTTTTTTGGTTATCCAAACCAAAACCAAAAAGGGCCTTAATGGTTTTGGTTTTTGGAATTTGGTTTTTGGTTTTTCATACTTAATGATTTGGTTAGTCAAACCAAATCAAATTGACAGCCCTAGCTATAATAGTTACTATCCTTAAGACTAGCTATTGACCAGACTCGTTGGTCGGATTAAATTTAAGTTACCGACTTGTGAAATGGGGAAGTGAGCTAGAGCAGGAGAGCATCTATTTGAGTCGAACTCACAATTTGGTAAGCAAAATGATCAAACCGGGAGTCGAAGGCGACGCGACGTACGGCTCTGCATGCCCTGCCTTGCCGCCTTCCTTTGTGCAGTCCTGACCGGCCGACATTCGGGCCTCAGCAGTTGACCACGTGGCCGCCGCTTGACCGGCCCAATCCAACAACCAACTAGCTTGCCTCGCCGCTGTGCTGGCAGACGGCGACAGCTCCGCCATTAATTCCAAGGCCCAAGCCTTTTTCCTTCCGCGTAAGGCCCAGGTGCATGAATGCCAGTGTAATCGCGATCCTTCATTCCATTTTCCACGAAACCCATCATTTCCGACCGCAATTTCTTATTAGTTATCTGCAAAAAATTTCTTCTCTTTTTTGCTAAACGGGTAACAACTGCAATATACAATTTGTGTCCTTTTTTCATTCATTGATTGCGTTGCCCTCATCGTGTTCCTCGTGATTGGTGTAGGAATTTAAGTTTTCTTTTTCTTTTTTCGAACTAGCATTTTATTCATCAAGATAGGATGACAGATAATTGATTCGCGTAATTGATTGCTTTGATGGCGCGTTGGATAACCATAAAAATTAAATTTCATAGAGGAATGTGAAATCCAAGTACTTAACTGCCCGAATGCAAGAGTTCAAGGACTGATCGTGCAATTTTGTTTTTTTACTTGAAATGATCAAACCGGAGTAAGAAGGGACGACGCGACGTACGGCTCTGCATGCCTCGCCGCCTTGCCCGTTCAGTCCCGCTGAGCTGACCGGCAGACAATCGGCCATCAGTATTTGACCACGTGGCCTCCGCTGACCGGCCCGCCAGTATCGGCCAAATCTCGATTCCTCTCTTACGACGGAGGCGGACGGCCACAGAGCTCGCAGCTACTGTGCCGATGGCCCCCGCCGCCATTAATTCCGCAGCTGGTGCATGAATTCCACCAGTCCCACCATTCCAATTCGCAATTTTCTTCGTATTATATTGGTATCGACTGCAATCTACCATCTGGGTCCTTTCCATTCTGAGTTAGTGGGTGGTGGTAGGTGTTGGAATTTACGTTGCTGTTCATGCTATGGACAATCGATTATTTAATCGATTAGAGGAATTCCCCAAATGATGTAAAGGGGAGGGATTAAAAAACTACAACAAGTTCCAAAAGGAAACAAAAAGATGCCGTTACTGTTTGCTTTGCAATGCTATTTACTGGTTTCTACATCTACCGCAGTACTAATTGGCCACTAGAGAGTCGAGGGAGATGCTCTGGCTTTCCCCTGAAAGAGCCGGCAGCGAAAGATCTGTCCTTTTTTGGTGGTTTTTTTTTTTTTTTTTTTTTTGTACCGCCCATGTGAATCAATAACATGCGCACAACCTGTTTGAATTATTGCCTGACAGAAGGGAAGTGAGTAAGTGACCCTTCAATTTGGGTTTTCATGTACTTCACCGTGATTTCGTTTTCTCTAGTTTTGTCGTTTGTCCGATTTGTGCCCTTGCAGTCAAAATAGCTGTCTAGAATGTATATACATTTGCGGGAAAAAATCCCAAGTTACACATCTTTTTAAAAAAAAATCTCAAAATACACACGTTATGAAAATAATTCCCAATCTACGTTAGTTTGGGCCATCACCGCTGTCGACGAAGACAGTGATTGCATCACTGTTGTCGACGAAGACAGTGATTGCATCACCGCTTTCGACGAAGACAGTGATTGCATCACCGCTGTCGACGAAGACAGTGATTGCATCACTGCAGTACACGGCCGCGGTGAAGGCCTGACCTGCGTCGAAACTTGAAACAAACGTAACTTTGTGCTCGGTTATCCGATCGTAGCAAAATTTTTTTTGATTCCGCATAATTTTTCGAGATCTTGCAAGTCGCAAATGGCCATAGGAGGTTTGGTCCCGCCTTCGTCTCGAAAATATGTCGTTTGCTACCCCGAACGAGCCTTTTTTCGATTTCGTCAAACTTTGAATGACCATAACTTTGTGCTCCACAATCCGAAAATCATGAATTTTTTTTTGATTTCGCATAAATTTTTAAGGACTAAAATATTTAGTAGGAGAGAATTTTCAAAAAATGAATTATTTATGGATATAAGGGGTTTTGGGAATAACTTTACCTTCCTTTTCAGGAATCCAAGTACATTCCGAAAATATGTCTATGATAAAAATTGTAGTCCTTAAAATGTTATGCGAAATAAAAAAAAATCATGATTTTCGGATTGTGGAGCACAAAGTTATGGTCATTCAAAGTTTGACGAAATCGAAAAAAGGCTCGTTCGGGGTAGCAAACGACATATTTTCGAGACGAAGGCGGGACCAAACCGCCTATGGCCATTTGTGGCTTGCAAGATCTCGAAAAATTATGCGGAATAAAAAAAAATTGCTACGATCGGATAACCGAGCACAAAGTTACGTTTGTTTAAAGTTTCGATGCAGGTCAGGCCTTCACCGCGGCCGTGTACTGCAGTGATGCAATCACTGTCTTCGTCGACAGCGGTGATGCAATCACTGTCTTCGTCGACAACAGTGATGCAATCACTGTCTTCGTCGACAACAGTGATGCAATCACTGTCTTCGTCGACAGCGGTGATGGCTCAAACTAACGTAGATTGGGAATTATTTTCATAACGTGTGTATTTTGAGAATTTTTTTTAAAAACATGTGTAACTTGGGATTTTTTCCACATTTGCGGGGGTATATTATATTTGACCAATGTCTGAGTTGCTGGTTATAAAATTGAACAAAGCTAGCTCTTCCCTACACAATCTGAGAGGACTTGGAAGAAGAAGACGAGCAAGGAGTAAGAAGAGTCCTAGTTGCTCTTTGGTTCTCCTTTTCGTTGCTGGTCTTAACTTGTCGTCTTTTGTCTTTCCAAGTTATGTGGCGTAGTTTGGTTGCTGGCTCCTGAGATCATCATTATATTATTAATCATTGGGCTTGAGGTAAGGTTGTAACTTTCTTGTCAAGTTGGCCTCTCCATGTTCATGGCGTTTTGTAGTGATGATTTGATGGGCGGGGAGGTGTGGGCCCGACATGGCTGCTATCAGATGTGTTTATGACTGATCAGCATCTTCTTCTGCTCCCTACTTCTATTGCCATCACAATTCACAATCTTTATCATGACTGCAAACTGGAAAGAGACTGATAACAATTGATGAGTTGTTCTAGCTTGCTATCTTCATCTAAAAGTAATACTACACTGTGATCCTCAGTTCCTCCCTTCCAACATCCACGTTACAGTCTCTTCTATATATTCTTGCTGTTATTATGATAAGACAAAGTGGGAAATTTTGATTGTTCCTTGTGATCAGTTGTCATTAGTCACCAGGCATATTCCTCTCATCATAATAACCGCAAAATTGTCGTTGCATCAGATTCTCTGTTGTTGTCCTTTGCTCCTATTGATTCCTTTCATATTCCTTAGTAGTGGGGGATGCATATACATATGCTACGGTCATAGTTGTGGAGGAGATTGAGATAGTTGGGTGCAAAGAGAAAAGTGGAGCTTGTTCCACTGCTGGGAGAGGCTGATCTTCTCCACTGCTAAGGAAGAAAAGGGATGGCATCAGCAGCAGCAGAAGAAGAGTATACAGTGCCACTGTTGAAGAAGCAGTACTATGAGAATTGTCCCGGTTGCAAGGTTGATGAACAGAAAGAGTTGAAGAGAGGATGGCCCATCCGGGAGTTCCTTTCAATTTGGACGGTTGTTCTTTGCACAGGTACGGTAGGCCCTTAGTTCTAGTTGCTAGTCAATGTTTTCATTTGTTTTGTTTTTCCTTCAAACAAATCATCTAGCCATGTTGGTAGCATAAACGTCAGAGACGTTTCTTGGTTTACAGAGCTACTCTGTACTTTTCTTGGTTCAAATGTACTGAATTACTGATATGTTCTCCTTTTCTCTGCAGCTCTCCCGATATCATCTCTCTTTCCCTATCTCTATTTCATGGTGAGCATACATAGTATGTATGTAAACATTGGCTTCAAAATTTAAAATGTTAATATGCTAACGAGGTGCGATTTGTAAAGAATTCTGTTTCTTAGAACTGTGCTTTCACTTTCAGTTATCGAGAGATAGTTTAAGGTTAGTCAGCAATTCAGTGAGAGGAGTAAAGCAAGATATGGAGCTGGCCATAAAGTCGTACATTCTTTCTTCTGACAGCAGATGGTTATACTTATAATTGATTCATATTTCCAGATTAGGGACTTCAATGTTGCAGAAAAAGAAGAAGACATCGGTTACTATGCTGGTTATGTTGGTGAGCTTATTTGCAGTACTAATGATAGTCCCCCCCCCCCCCCCCCCCCCCCCCCCCCCCCCCCCCCAAAAAAAAAGAAAAATTTACATTATCTAAACTAATCCTGATGAAGCAATCTAAACATCTCCTTCTTGATGTTTTGAAGGATCCTCATTTATGTTTGGCAGAGCTTTGACTTCTGTTCTCTGGGGAATGGTGGCTGATCGCTACGGTAGAAAGCCTGTTATACTCTTTGGGACTTCATCAGTGTTAGTGATCGCAGCTAGCTTCTTTTTTTTTTTTTTTTTTAATATCTCCATTGACCTTTTTTAAAGCTTACATCCATGCCTGAGCTATACCATGCATTTCTCTCTGTCAGGGTTATTTTGAACACTATCTTCGGACTCAGTGTAAACTTTTGGATGGCTGTTATCACGAGATTCCTACTCGGGTGCTTGAATGGTTTACTTGGTCCTATAAAGGTATAGTTGTTCTTTCCCATGTACTTCGTTGTTCGTTTACCTGACCAAATATTGAAAGTTCAACACTGTCTCACTGCCAAAATACAATGGAATTCCAGGCATATGCAACTGAAATTTTCAGACATGAACATCAAGCCTTGGGTTTGTCAACGGTGAGTAGCTTTGTTGATCTGTTACATTTTTCACTCTGGAGAAACAAAAAAGAAAGACTATATAGAGTTTAATTTCTACCAGATCACCACAGCGTGGGGTATAGGATTGATTATTGGTCCAGCTCTAGGAGGTTTCCTGGCCCAGGTACGTGCACAATATCATAATCTATCTATGTTTGCAACTATAGACTAATAGTAGCAATAACACTTGCACTGTAGGTGGTCACCATTTTATGAGTGATGCATTGATGAACTTTCTATACTTGATCATTAAGAATAAAAAATTTCGCTTGTACTTGGTGCAGCCAGCTGATAAATATCCAACTCTGTTCTCCAAGGATTCTTTATTTGGGAGGTTGGTGAATTGCTTGGCTTTCCTTCTGAGTTTTGCTCTGTTGACATAACGTGTTCTTTCTTTGGTTTTTAATGGTGGTTTAAAAAATTCTGTGTAATGCAGATTTCCCTACTTCTTGCCTTCTCTGGCTATATCAATTATTGCTGTTGGAGTAACGATTGCTTCTTTCTGGCTCCCGGTGAATATCTTGACTGCTCCCATTTACCGTCTGTTCTCGTATGATTGCTGGAAGTTGATTCTTGTCTCTTAAGTTAACCCAACTGTCCCAATCAATATTGTTTTTGTTGTATTAGTTGAATTGAGTCTCAACAAAAAATCTTTAAGTACACAGGAAACATTGCATAACCATAACGAAAAGAGGGCAGCATCTGAAGACTCCTATGATGCTTTGGAGACTGCATCTGGTGATGGTGGGTTGAAGGAAGACGATGGGAACACAGTAGCGATTATCAAACAGAAGAAGCAACCAGCAAGCCTTCTTAGAAATTGGCCTCTGATGTCATCTATCATGGTCTACTGCATCTTCTCACTTCATGATATGGCTTATACAGAGGTACATCATCTCTTAATTACTAGTCCATATCCATTAGTTTGATCTCTAGAGAAGGATTTGAGAGGTTGGAGGTCTTTGGGAAGGCATGGGATATATTTACAGGGCTCAATTTTCCGTTCCTTGTAAGATGACTAATAACACGGCAGGTTTCACAAGCATATGGTATAGAGTAATAGGTTGGTTGACCCGCTGCTTTGTATTGTGTAGATATTTTCGTTATGGGCAGTGAGTCCCAGAAAGCTCGGCGGACTTGGATACTCAACGCAGAATGTTGGTGAAATTCTGGCAGTGTCAGGTAGGTACCTTAATTTTCACAACCTTAGCAGGCTACCCAAAAAATGCTTTGCTTAATCTAAAAAAACAATAATAACAATATCCGAGGCTTTAGCTACATACATGAAATGGTATCCCTCAGCTGAAGACATATTATTGGTGTTGTAACTACTGTAGGCTTTGGACTGCTTGTGTTCCAACTCGCTCTATATCCATATGCGGAGAGACTTCTCGGACCTGTAATGGTGAGCCGCCTTGCTGGGGTAAGTATTTCAACTCCTTGTCTGCCATTTCGTTGTTCACATGCATCTTCCAGGGTCTGCCTGAAAGGCTTTGTGTCCATTTTGATTCTTTTTGTGGTGGGGTTGGGAAATAACTTATGATGGTTGTTGGAACTGGAATTGCAGTTATTATCCATTCCATTGTTGGCAAGTTACCCTTTTCTGTCGAAGTTGTCGGGCTTCAGTCTCGGTGTGCTGATAAACTGCGCATCTGTATTGAAGAATCTCCTATCTGTAAGTTCAACAACAATAGATTACTGTGTAGTTGCTTGGTATCACATTTAACGATAGCAGGATGGTGTTACTTCTTGCTCCTGACTATGTTTTTTCTTTCTGCCACGCACCACTAGGTATCAATTGTCACCGGCTTGTTCATGCTGCAAAACAATGCAGTGGTAAACTTGGTTCCTTGCTGATTTTCCTTCTTACTTGTTTTGTTAGTCTTTCTTTGGGCGTGAATAACTTGTCGGATGTTGTGAATGAACGAAACAGGAGCAGCACCAGAGAGGAGCTGCGAATGGGATAGCAATGACAGCAATGTCTCTGTTTAAAGCAGCTGGTCCTGCTGGTGGGGGTTCTCTGTAAGTCACCTGCTACACCTTTCTGTTTCGGTCTGTACAGTATGAAATGAACTATTTAACTATGACGAATCACGAATGTAAAAACATACACACAAGGAGAACACCAACAACTGGAGTTGAAGATCTAAGCCACATTTTGGAGTGGATGTACTAAGAGGTTTTTGTCGTGCGTGTGCAGGTTTTCTTGGGCAGAAACGCGTCAGGATGCAGCCTTCCTTCCAGGTAAATGACGAATGGTTTAGTTTTGCAGTTCCCTGTTGACGATGGCTGCGTATGTTTCTTCTTCCGTTTGGTAATGAGATGATTGAACCCGGTCTGGATGGATGGAATCTTGTGGCGCAGGTAACCAAATGGTGTTCTTCGTGCTGAACCTGGTGCTGGCAATTGGGGTGGTGTTCACTTTCAAGCCATTCCTAGCCCAGCCCCGAGGTCGAACAGCAGCAACACAATGACCTAGCTGCTGCTGTACTCTCCTAGACTCCCCTACTACACATCAGTTTTTTAGCAAATCTCAATTCTGGCTTGTCTCCATAAGGCCTACTTCAAAGGGAAGTGAACTCCAAGCCAAGGCTTCTTGCCCGGAAGGCCATATTTTGGTTTGGTTTGGTTGATTGCAAATGTAATGTAAAGCAATCAAATAAGCTCGGAGAGAGGAGTGATAGAGAGGACTGATCTCGTTTTTCCCCCAATAGGGAAAAAGGAACAGGTTTAGCATTCATGCTATTTGTTGTTTCATCCTCCTTTGTAACAGAATCTCTTCCAGCAAACTACATTGCTTTCATTCTCTTCTTTGCTCGGAACTAGTGTGGGTTCCGAGGCTAAGCAAGTAGATGATAAGATGCAGTGCCAGAGAAGCAGATAAAGAGGCTTGTGAATCTGCAATCCTGCTAATGAATACTTTCTTCAGTTTCTGCCAAAAAAGAAAACAAATGTGCTCCTACTCCTTCTAAAAAGTCCCGCCCAACCTCCGACCTTCCTTGACTCGCACTCAAAACGACTATCAGTATGAAGCCCAAGGATGCAAAGCGGGGAAAACGCCCCGCACCTCTCGGAGGAGAGTCCATCTGAAATACAGAGAATGGGCCGGCCATCTGGCTTGGTCCGGCCCAAGACAGTTAATCTGAATTGTCATCGGATTGCAATTGCATGACTATGAGCAGGATCGAGGTAGGTATCTCGATATCAGTACTCGATCTGTGACATGTTAGATTCAAGTCGGGGCCAGAATGACTATGTAATTTAAAGAAAATATTAGGAATATTAATTTTTCAATAAAAAAACTAAGAAACAAACTATACTATATAGTAAATGCAATTAAATTGTTAGATACACTAAGGTACTCACCTTTACCTATTTACAATTTTCAGTGTAGTTAAAATATGAGAGAATCAGGGTTGTTACGCTGGCCGGCGTGCCACCGGTTGTACCTGGTTCAACCTGTAGCGGTCATAAAACCGGCGTGACACCATCGGTATGATCGGCATGATCGATATACGAATCTCTAAGTAAAATATCCTTATTTTAGTGACTTTAATTGTTAAAAATTATTTTATTATTTATTTTGTGAGTATGAATGTTAAATATTGATGTTATTTGTTGGATTCAAGTATAAATGTTTAGGTATTGGCGTTAAATGTCATGTTTAAAATGAGTATTTATAATTTTATTTGTAATATTGACCGGCATGAACCAGCACAAACTGGTATGTGCCACCGGTCGAACCATTCAACTTGCTAAACCGACACACTGGCATAAACCGGTTTGACAACCTTGGAGAGAATAAAAAGTAAATTGCTAAGTAATCTGAGTAAAAGTATATGTAATTTAGACAAGAACAGATAAAGAATGAGGAGGGTCAAGGCAAGTCGAGTAGAGTACCCATACCTGTCTGTGCCACATCCCGCTACGGGGCTAATATTACCCGTCCAGAACAAGTCAAATAGGTCGGGTAAAACTGAACGGTTCGAAATTGTCATCACTAGCTTATGCTATTTAGGGTCGGCAGATCGATGGCAATTTGACCATGAATGTGGTGTGTGACTCCAATATCCATGTAAACCAACCTCTGGTTTAAAAATCCAACTCTAGAGGTCGTTCTGACCCTAAATAGCGAATATCACACCCCAAATGATATGTGATTTTAACAGTACGAAACATTGGATGCAAAATACTACATCACTAATTTTTTTTTTTTTTTTGAGGAGAAACATCACTAATTTTTTCAGTATAACATCTAGTACGATTTCACAATTATTGTTTTGCGGTCTGATGCTGTTCAAATGTCGGATCGTCTGTATTTGGCGCGTCAAGGTGGGAGAGGGGAGAGTGCTTGCTACTTTTACAACAGCAGGAGGGGAAGTAGGAAGCAGATAGCTGTCGTCATCGAAAATGGCTGCCGCAGCAGCATCTATCGCTCATGCCACCAACTTCCTTCTGCCCCCCCCCCCCCCCCCCCCCCCCCTTTTTTTTCTCGAACTTTTCATCGTTCTTGGATGTCTTTCCTTTTCTTGCTTTCTAGATTGTTGGACGAATCCTGCTGATTGCCACTGAACTGAATAGGTTTAAGGGTTTGTGGATCATGAACTCATAATAAGCTTGAATTCTCCATTTCAGGGCGATTTAGCTTTTTGATAGTCGGGGTTTGGAGTCAAAACTTGGAAAACTTTATCGCTTGAATTGGGGGTGGGTGATCTTTAATTACTGTAGGCCGGTTGAAGTTCTATGGGACCATGGAGGCATTAGAAGAGCTCAAGCTTCTACTTCTTTGTTGTCAAACTTTCCATCATCCATCATAATTATCTGAATGCTTAATCCTACAAACTTCATGTCACGATGAAGTGAGGAAGAAGTAAACATGAACAGAAAGGCTTAGTTGAGTTTTCAAAAGCTGATGGTTTACTTTGTTATTCGATCAAAAGAAACAGGAGTTTTAAGTCTCAACATATGCATACGAATGGATGTTTTTTAATGTAGAAGGGGGGAACTGATGGTCTCTGCAAATATGTCTGTGGTTATGGCAGATTGGAATACAAGTTTCGGGATTAGCCGCTAACTGTTCCAAGTTTTGAGATAGATGTATTGTCAGTATGGGATTTTGTGGCTGGATGCACTGCTTTGTGCAATGGAAATATTCACCCATGTTACCTAGAAAATGTGGTTTTCTTATTCAGAGTTCAAGACTTGCTAGAGAAATGAGTACTAGAATAGTTGAGATGTGGGTTTTTTTTTTTAATTCTGTGTCAACTTGATGAAGATATGTTTTACTGCTGCCTTTCTTTTTTCTAGTTGTTTAATTCGACACTGCAGAATTATGCACAGCAACTTCTGTTTGCATAACATTGGAGCCTTTTTGGCTTTGCAGTGACAGTGGTAGGAAGGTTGAAGGTCCAGAGCTCCTTGAGGCAATTCACTGTACAATAATTAACAATCTACTCAAGTATCACCCAGTATGTGATACAACATCTAGTGATTGACTTTTTATTCTCATGTTGCCAATGTGCTTTGTTTCATCTAATATGATTACCGTCATTTCTGTTCCAGGAATCAAGCAGTAAATTAGCAATGGGAGTCTTCTTTGGTGCACAACCACCAAATCAGCAAGTGTTCTAATTGGTTTTTCTTTTACGAATACTCCTTTTTTAAAATCCCTGGCCATTATCCCTTCTCTGTGATGTTCCTTTCAAGATCTGAGTCTTGGGGTAAGCAGTCGCAGGTCACCAGCTGTATTTCTACTTTGTTACTTGGGGATTTCTTTTCTTGTGATAAAACTAGACATGCTAAGAACTTATGTTGCTATTCTCAGGTAGATGTGGACATCGCGACCCATATAACCATCTCAGATGGAAGTCCTAACCAAAGGTAAATGAGTTCACCAGGCCAAATTTAATATCTTTTTCGTATTCTAAGTTTTCTGAGCCTGTCTCAGGTAAATTCTGTGCCACACAGTGATTATATTGTGTTTAACAAAGGCGTGCACTTACTTAGTTTCTTCTGCTACTAAGAATGGCATCGGAATTGTCATTCTTTTGTTAAAGACATGAACAAAAGGTAGGAGTAGGACCGACATTGCATTCACTCCGGTTTAGTTCAATTCGATCCATTTTTCTTCAGTATTTATAATATTCATAGTGCCAAAGACCGTACCACATTATTATTTGGTCTGCTGCAATCCAGTACCGACAAAAACCATTGCACACCCTTTCGATGAGCATTTCTGACTTAGATTTGAGTAAAGTTTTGTAGAGAATATATGGGGTTGGTTTTTGTTGGAAATGGAACTTTAGGGAGTAAAGAAAGATGGAGTTGGCGGCAGAACATAAGAAACAAGGGGATTGTATTTTTTAATTATTTGGTTCTCACTCTCTCCCTCACGTACATACATGCATATATTTAACTTCATTTTACAGCTTCAACTCTCCAGATATGCATGCACGCCATACAATTTGTCATTTTGTGGTGCTGTTTTTTCTCTGCATCTTGATAAACATTCATTAAATCCATATCAAAGCCAATCTTTCATCATCTACTATTTTGTCTCATATCACCAAGTGAATTTATGAGACTTTTTTATTTAATTTTTATTTGTTTAATTGTTAGAGAGCTAATAACTGCAAGGGCCAGGATTCAACCAACCAAATTAAATCAGATAACGAAATGTTTGGACGTGGAATCATTCAAGAGGGTTTCTCAAAATCAACGCTCTGTATTCAGCAACTGCAGAAATGGCGGAAAAACAGAGCCTGTAAATCCTTGCATACACCTCGTGGACTCCCACCTAAAAAATCACAACCACACTGGTATCTTCTTATCCCCAACACTACATGATTGTTTTCTTTTAACTGGCGGCAAGTATCGCGTGATTGCAGCTGAGGATCCAGGACATCGTAGAGCATTGGGCCGCATTTCAAATAAGAAATTCATCGCTCATTTTGTTGTGCAAATAAGTTTCCACGTGTTTCATTGTTGAAAAGGTTTTCTCCCTAGTAGTCGTTGAAACGGGCAACGTCATCAACCGACTAATCATTTTGTATGGTGTGTCAATCCCTATTTCCACCAGCTAACAAACCTCATATTTCATTTAGTCTTTTGGAGTACTTGGAAGGAGAAGACAGAGGAGTCCTAGTTGCCCTTTGGTTCTCCTTTTCGCTGCTGGCTCCTGATAGCGTCATTTATATTATTATCATTGGGCTTGAGGTAGGTTTGTAGTGATGATTGATGGGTGGGGAGCTGTGGGTACGACTTGAATGCTTTCACCCGCCTTCTTCTCCCTGCTTCTATTGCCATCACAATCTTTATCACGATGACAAACTGAAAGGGACTGATAACAACTGATCAGTTCTTCTAGCTGGCTACCTTCATCTAATAGTAGTATATACACTGTGAATCTGTGATCCTCAGTTCCTCGCTTCCAACATCCACATTACTGTCTCTCTATATATTCTTGCTGACTTGCTGTTATTATGATAAGACAAAGTGGGGAGCTTTGTTCCACATCTGAGAGAGGCTGATATTCTCTACTACTAAGGAAGAAAAAGGGATGGAAGCAGCAGCAGCAGAAGAAGAGTATACAGTGCCACTGTTGAAGCAGTACTATGAGAATTGTCCCGGTTGCAAGGTTGATGAACAGAAAGAGTTGAAGAGAGGATTGCCCATCCGAGAGTTCCTTTCAATTTGGTCTGTTGTTCTTTGCACAGGTACGGTAGGCCCTTGGTTCTAGTTGCTAGTCAATTTGTTTTTTTTTTTTTTCCTTCTAACAAGTCATCTAGCCATGTTGGTAGCATAACATCAGAGACTTTTCTTGGTTTACAGAGCTACTCTGTACTTTTCTTGGTTCACATGTACATGTACTGATATGTTCTCTTTGCTCTGCAGCTCTCCCGATCTCATCTCTCTTTCCGTATCTTTATTTTATGGTGAGCATACTGAGTATGTATGACGTTGGCTTCAAATAAAAAATGTTAATATGTTAAGTGCGAGTTATAAAGACTTCTGTTCCTTGGAACTGTGTTTTCAATTATCGATATATAGTTTTAGGTTAGTCATTAGTTCGCAAGAGGAGTAAAGCAAGGAAACGAGTAACTGATAAGTCAGAGTTATAGCGACCATAAAGTTAAATGTTCTTTCGTCTTAAAGCAGATGGTTATATTCATAGTTTTTTTTTTTTTTTTTCATAGTTATATTCATAGTTGATTCATATTTTCAGATAAGGGACTTCAATGTTGCAGAAAAAGAAGAAGACATCGGTTACTATGCTGGTTATGTTGGTGAGTTTGTTTGCAGCACGGCACCATGGATAGTTTCCCCCCACTTCTCACATTATTTGAAATGATCCTGTTGAAGCAACCTGAATATCTCCTTCTGGATCTTTTGAAGGAGCCTCATTTATGTTTGGTAGAGCTTTGACTTCTGTTTTCTGGGGATTGGCGGCGGATCGCTATGGTCGAAAGCCTGCTATACTCTTGGGGACTTCATCAGTGTTAGATCAGAGCTAGTATTTTTTTTTAATTTCCATTGACCATTTTTTATGCTTACATATATCCCTGAGCTATGCCATGCATTTCTCTCTGTCAGGGTTATCTTGAACGCTATCTTCGGGCTAAGTGTAAACTATTGGATGGCTGTTATCACAAGATTCCTACTCGGGTGCTTGAATGGTTTACATGGTCCAATAAAGGTATAGTTGTTCTTTCCCATGTACTTCGTTCATCGTTTATCTGCACAACAAGACATGCTTGCAAAATTGAAGCTTTAACATTGTCTCACTGCCAAAATACAATGGAATTCCAGGCATATGCATCTGAAATATTCAGAGCTGAACATCAAGCCTTGGGTTTGTCAACTGTGAGTAGCTTTGTGATCTGTTACATTTTCACTCTGGCGAAACAAAATAGAAAAACTAAATAGAGTTCAACTTCTACCAGGTCGCCACAGCATGGGGTATAGGATTGATTATTGGTCCAGCTCTAGGAGGTTTCCTGGCCCAGGTATGTACACAATATAATAATCTCTGTGTTAGCAACTATGGACTAGTTAGCAGGCCAGCAATAACACTTGCACTGTAGACGGTCACCATTTTATGAGTGATGCATAAATGATGGAATTTCTGGAAGGATATAAATTTTGCCTTGCACTTGGTGCAGCCAGCTGAGAAATATCCAACTCTGTTCTCGAAGGATTCTTTATTTGGGAGGTTGGTGAATTGCTTGGCTTTCTTTTGAGTTTTGCTCCATTGACAATATGTATTCTTCTATTGTTTTTAATGGTGGTTAAAATTCTGTTTAATGCAGATTTCCCTACTTCTTGCCTTCTTTGGTTATATCACTTTTTACCTTTGGAGTAATGATTGCTTCTTTCTGGCTCCCGGTGAACATCTGGACTGCTCACATTTACTGTCTGTTCTCATATGATTGCTGGAAGTTGATTCTTGTCTCATAAGTTAACCCAACTGTCTCACTCAAGATCGTTTTTGTTGTGCTAGTTGAATTGACTTGAGTCTCAATAAAAATGACAATGCATTTGATAAGAATTAACTTTTCAAGGCCCTTTTTGAGTTCTTAGTTTGAGATACATGGGTGTAAGATTAACGCAAGTTTCTCTATAAAATGTCTGAATTTTTTTGTAAGAAACAACTTATAAACCAGTATCATTTTGGTTAAGTACACAGGAAACATTGCATAACCACAAGGAAAAGAGAACAGCATGTGACGGCTCTTATAATGCTTTGGACACTGCATCTGTTGATGGTGGGTCGAAGGGAGACGAGGAGAACTCAGTAGTGATGATTGAACAGAAGAAACAACCAGCAAGCCTCCTTAGGAATTGGCCTCTGATGTCATCTATCATGGTCTATTGCATCTTCTCACTTCATGATATGGCTTATACAGAGGTACATCATTTCTTACTTATTACTCCATTTCCATTAGTTCGGTCCCTGGAGAAGGATTTGAGAGGTTGGTGGTATTTGAGAGGCATGGGATATATTTACGGGCTCATTTTTCCCGTTCCTTGTAAGATGACTAATAACTTGGCAGGTTTCACTAGCATCTGGTTGAGTAAAAGGTTGGTTGACCCGCTGCACTGTATTGTGTAGATATTTTCATTATGGGCGGTGAGCCCTAGAAAGCTCGGCGGACTTGGATACTCGACGCAGAATGTTGGTGAAGTTCTGGCAGTGTCTGGTAGGTATCTTAACTTTCGCAAACTTAGCAGGCTACAGAAAGAAAATGTTTGCTTAATATTAAACAACAATAATAACAAATATATGAGGTTTTAGCAACATACATAACATGGTATCTCTCTGCTGACGACATACTATTGGTGTTGAAACTACTGTAGGCTTTGGACTGCTTGTGTTCCAACTTGCTCTATATCCATATGCCGAGAGGCTTCTCGGACCTGTAATGGTGAGCCGCATTGCTGGGGTAAGTATTTCAACTCATCTTCTGCCATTTCTTCGTTCACATGCATCTTCCAGGGTATGCCTGAAAGTATTTGTGTCCATTTTGATTCATTTTGTGCTGTGTTTGGGAAATGACTTATGGTTGATGGAACTGGAATTGCAGATATTATCCATTCCATTGTTGGCAAGTTACCCCTTTTTGTCGAAGTTGTCGGGCTTCAGTCTGAGTGTGCTGATAAACTGCGCATCTGTACTGAAGAATCTCCTATCTGTAAGTTCAACGATAGTAGATTACTGTGTAGGTGCTTAGTATCACATTTAACGATAGCAGGACGGCGTTAGTTTTTACCCCCTGGCTAATGGGAGCCTTTGTTTTTTCTTTTTGCCACCCACCACCACTAGGTATCAATTGTCACCGGCTTGTTAATGCTGCAAAACAATGCAGTGGTAAACTTGGTTCCTTGTTTGTTTCCTTCTTTTCTTGTCTTGTTTGTCCTTTTTTGGGCGTGAATAATTTTCCTACGTTGCGAATGAACGAAACAGGAGCAGCACCAGAGAGGGGCTGCGAATGGGATAGCAATGACAGCAATGTCTCTGTTTAAAGCAGCTGGTCCTGCTGGTGGGGGTTCTCTGTAAGTCACCTGCCCCACTCTTTTGCTTCTGCTTCTGGTCTGTAGAGAATGAAATGAACTACTTAACCTTATGACGAACGTAACAACATACACACAAGGAGCACACCAACAACTACTAAACAGTTCCTATCGTGCGTGCAGGTTTTCTTGGGCTGAAACACGTCAGGATGCGGCCTTCCTTCCAGGTAAATGGTGACTGGTTCACTTTTGCAGTTAGTTGTTGATGATGGCTGCATATGGTAACGAGATGATTGAACTGGTGTGGACGGATGGTATCTTGTGGCACAGGTAACCAAATGGTGTTCTTCGTGCTGAACGTGGTGGAGGCAATTGGGGTGTTGTTCACTTTCAAGCCTTTCCTAGCCCAGCCCCGAGATCGAACAGCAACAACACAATGACCTAGCTGCTGCTATCCTCTCCTGGATGCCCTACTACACAACCAATTCTAGCGAATGTCGATTCTAGCTCGTCTCCATAAGGCCATTTCTAGTGAATGACCTAGCTGCTGCTGCTGCTGCTGCTCTACTCTCCTAGATTCCCTACTACACAGTCGTTTTTAGCGAATATCATTCTCGTCTCCATAAGGCCAATTGCAAAGGTAAGTGCACTCCAAGCCAAGGCGCCTTGCCCAAAAGGCCGCCATATTTCTCTTTGGTTTGGTTTGTTGCAAATGTAATGTAGAGCAATCAAATGAGCTCAGCATAGAGGAGTGATAAGGGAAGAACGTACTCCGACGACTGATCTTGTTTTTTCCCCACTAAGGAAAAGGAGCAGGTTTGGCTGGCTTACTGTAAGACCAATTGACTGATTGAGTGTTGCTCTTCCAGCAAAAACTTTACAGTGCTTTCATTATCTTCTTTGCTCAATAATAGTGGGTTCCATGGCTAAGCAAATAGATGACATGTTCGACGAGCGCCGTGGCTCGTGCGATCCACGTCGGAGACTGGATTTCAACTCGTCCGGCGGGTAGAAAACTCAGCCCGACGGCTCTTTTCTCCTCCCCTCTTCTTCCTTCTCCGAAGGTTGTGGGCGACGGCAGAAGTGGGCTCCCGGTTCCTTCTTCCGACGACGATGACCGGATCTCGGTGATGACGACGATGATCAGAGTAGCGGCGGCGGCGAGCAGAATTCGCCGCGGCATGTAAAATTGGGGGCGGCGGGATTCAGTTGCTCATTTGGGGATTTAGGGCGGCAATTATTAACTACCCAACCGTAGGCGTTTTCACACTTCATACGCAGGCTCAAATTATTGAGGAGAGATGGGCCTTTGTCTGGGCTGTCTCATTCGGGCCCATGAGAGGTCAATTGTCTGGCGGAATGTAAAACGACTTATCAATTAAATTCAGAGTGATAGAGATATTAGGACCAAGTATGCAACTATAAAAGTTATTATATAAAATCATAGTTTAGGAGTTTTTCGTTTTTCCTTTCGCAGGATTCCATTAAGAGTATCATTTGCATACCTTTGCCACGACTCCTTTGCCCGGATAAATTAATTTGGCATTTTGATCCACATAGTTTATTTACAGTTAAGTCAGCTTATCGGTTGGCGACTAGTTTGCCTCCTTTTTCAAGGGCTCGTGGTAGTGTGGACCAGGCTTCACCTCTTGATCCTGCACTATGGCCTCGCCTTTGGGGTCTTCCTCTTGCTCCCAAATTGAAGTTTTTTCTTTGGCGGATTTTACTAAGAATCCTTCCGGTTAGGGAGGATCTTGCCCGACATGGGGTGCAGGTAGAAGATTCATGCCCTGTTTGTGGTTCCGATGAAGGCGAATCGCTGGAACATTTATTCCTTGCGTGTCATGTGGCAGTAGATTTCCGTCAACGGTGTGGTTTACATCTGCCTCCGGGAATTTTTTCAAGCACGCATTTGTCCATCTTTTTAAGACAAATCATTCTCTCCGATCATGCCACCATAATAAATTGGGTCCTCTTTTTTTGGCGGATTTGGAAAGGGCGGAATAATGTTGTCTTTCCACCCTATGCACAATTCACCACTGGTGCCTTGTACCGTCACCTATTGTCTCATCATGCCTCTCATCAAATTGCCATCCTACCCAATCAGTCGCCGACACCCAGACCTCAGCCTTATCCTCGTTCGACGCTTCAATCTACTTTTCGTATTGCAGTTGATGGGGCGACAAGTGCTCCTACTCATGGCGCAATTGGCGTGGTGGGTTTGGATCAGAATGTGCCAGTTTTTGCAATGGGTGGTTTCTTTCCAGGCCTTTTTCATCCTAAGATCATGGAGGTGTTGGCAATTAGAGAAGCTATATTCCTACTTCGACAATGGCAGGATCGACCGATTGTGATTACAAGTGATGCTCTTGCAGTTGTACAACATTTGAAGGCTTCTGATGCCAATGATGCCCTTGTGGGAGTTATCTTACGAGAAGTCATCTTTATGTTGCAAGAATTGCCATTGGTTTCTGTTGCTTTTACTCCTAGAGAAGCGAATCGGGCTGCCCATGTTGTGGCACGTAATGCCTTATGCTACTCTGGCTCTTGTAGTGTTCGTTTTAATTGTTCTTATTTGCTTTGACTATCATTTCACGAAGAAGCCGGTGTATTGTGGCTCTCTCGTGCTTACCTAGTTAATCCACAAGGGTTTCTATGACCAAAAAAAAAATCGTCAATTTTAATGATATTTTTATTTTTGATAAAAAAAAAACTTATGTGGCATTTTGCAAAGGTAATATGTTTTTGTTTAATTTTATTTAGTCACATATTTGCATCATTTTTTATTTCTTTCAATCACATATGGGAACCTTTGAGTAATTATTATTATTATTATTTCTATCTTGAAATCGATGTCTTTGTTTGTATTTGAGTTTTTCGGTTGTTCAATTAAAAGACTGATCACATATACTCGGATCGCGTGTATCGGTGATGCGTTATCCATCTTTGTATATATTAATTCAATTTTTTTTACTAATCAACTAAAAGCTTACCAATCACACATATTTTAATCACGTGTAATTTTGATGATCCATTTTCCATTTTTAAATCGTTATCGATTGACAATCTTTGTGAGATTTCCAACTATATATATGGTTTTGTCTTCTGCGCACACCATTTTTTGGGGTGCATTCAATGCACTCGCTTCGTAATCGTCATTTTAAGCAGGTAATTCATGTCAAAATGATGTCAATCGTCACTTGTGATATGATGGACATAAAATTCCATGAAGTTACAAAAAAAAAAATCATTCAAGATTTACTTTAACTTGAAGGATTTAGGGTTTATGGATTTAGGTTTAGGGTTCACAATTTGAGGTTTAGGGTTGGTGCTCAAAACTGAATGTTTAGGGATTATGGTAATGGAATGATTAGTTGTGATCCTTTATATATCATCATTTTAGACTAATACTACGATATCTTATAACTATTTTTAGAGTCGGGTGCATTGAATGCATAAAAAAACGACTACACCTATGCAATTACCAATTAAACAAGTTCAATCTATTTTAGCATGCCAACATTTACATTGGTCAATTTCGTTCTCTATGTTAGAAGTTAAGTGACTTAATTGTAATTAACCCATAGGGTTAAGAAGTCGGCCAGTATATATTGTTGAGATGGCCGACCTGCGCATGTATTCTGTACGAGATTCTGAATTGTGTTTGTGTTTATTGACATGGTATCAGAACCTCTCAGTCGTCTCTGAACTCGTGCTTCGTGATTACGTTTGCTTGCTGCAGTGTTCCGCTGCGTTTTCTGTGCTTCTGGGATTTCTTGTGCGCTGTCCGTGGTCCTTTTTTCCGACGCGTGTCTGTGACCCTTGCTTGCTTCGGGTTGGTGTGATTGCTCTTGGGTTTCTGGTCATTGCTCTTTGGTTTCTGGTTCTCTTCTTATTCTCGGCTGGGGTGCTATTATTTCTGGACGGTTGCTATTATCTCTGGGCTATTCTTCTCGGCATTATTATGGAGGGTCACAAGGGCGATGCTATCTCGGTTTGTTTCAATGGTAAGAATTTTGCTCTATGGGAATTTCAGTTTATGATCTATATTCAAGGCGTCGATTGCTATCTGTTCTGGATGGGACTTCTCCTGAGCCTGGAGAGGATGATTCGGCCAAAGCTAAGGAGGATTGGGCGGCAAACAATGCCGTTGTTATGTCAGCCCTTCTCGGCTCTATGCATCCGGGAATTTCTTTGAGTTTACGGGGGTTTTCTACTGCTGCGGCCATGTGGCAGCATCTTACTACATTGTACTCCAAGGCTAGTGCTTCTCGGAAATTTGATGTGGAACTTGACCTTGCTAATCTCAAGCAAGGAGACAGGGATGTGAGTACATTCTATCAGGACGCTATGACTCTCTGGACGGAACATGATCTTTTGATGAGCTCGTTAGTCCCCGCTGCTGCCTCGGCTGATGTAATCCGCGAACGTACTAGTTCTCGGGTTATGCGCTTTTTGATGCATCTTCGAGCTGAGTTTGAGAGTGTTCGGGCCTCTCTGCTTCATCGAAATGTGGATACGATGGAGGAGGTTCTCGCAGCTCTTCTCCGCGAAGAGACGCGGCTTCGCAGCCAGTCGAAGCTCGACATTCATGCTAGTGATAATGCTCTACAGCTTTTGCTGTTCACGGGGGTAAACCTCCAAATGTAAACCACAAATCTCCTGAAGTAAACCAGAAACACCATAAAGCATACCACAAATTTTTCTAAAACACACCAAAAATATCTTAAAGCATACCACAACCACGAGAAAACAAACTAACAAAAAAAGACCATAAACAAGAGAAATCAAACTACAAATCTCATAATGCAAACCACAAATATTTTTAAAACGCACCAGAAACCTCCAAATGTAAACCACAAATCTTCTGAAGCAAACCAGAAACACCACAAAACATACCACAAATTTTTCTAAAACACAACAAAAATATCTTAAAGCATACCACAACCACGAGAAAACAAACAAACAAAAAAACAGACCATAAACAAGAGAAATCAAACCACAAATCTCATAATGCAAACCACAAAATTCGACACCTAGTGAATGATAACTAAACTTCGGTGATCGATGACCATTATATCATCATGCACTACGTTTTCATGTGTGTCATGACATTACGATCGGATATAAACAAATTATTTTAACAAAAAAATTGTCCTCTAACTTACTAGCTCGACTCAATGCTAGTTTGTAAATTTACATAGAGTCTCTTATTTATCGATGCATTGCATCTGATTCATTCTCTAAGAGAGAATCAGAATTATTATTTCAAAATTTATCTATTCTTCATCCTTTTCATAGAAATTAATCTTTCAAGTGTGTAGAACTAGAACTTTAGCTTCGCTGCTCATAAAAAACTATAGCTTGTTTTATTATTTTAAAAAAAACCTTTACCTTGCTTTCCGTTGGCGGCTGCTAATTAGTTGTTATAAAAAGAAAAGTTAATTCAAAATGGGCCTTGGGTAGTAGGGATGGCAACAAAACCCGAACCCACGGGTACCCACCCGACCCAACCCGGTCAACGCGAGTAAAATCCGTGTTGATGGGTTTTGGGCCGGGTTTGGGTTTAAACCCGTTCACTATTCATCGGGTTGGGTTGGGTTTGGGTTTAGGTAAACCCGACCCATGGGTACCCGACCACACCCATATAATTAATTTTTTGGTATATTTAATATTCTAAACAACTAATCTTATTTATGTTTGTGGAGACATGCCTAATTTTTTCTTTCAAATTGTGTAGAATGAAGTTGCTATTATCTAGTGGAGAGTGAAGAAACTTAATTGAAAGGAAGAAGCTTTCAATTAATCATGTTATTTATGGATAATTTGTGATTTGCTTCAATTTTCTTGAGTTTTCTAGATTGGTGTTGAAAAATTTGTATAGTTAATTTGTGATTTGCTTGAATTTTCTAGAATTGTGTTTTAAATATGGATAATTTGTATTGAGAGATTGATATTTGACCTTAATTTTGATAGGAACTTGTTATTGTAAATTTTTTACGACAAAACCCGTGGGTACCCATGAACTCGCGGATACCCAACGGGTTGGGTTGGGTTTGAGTTTTTCAAACCCAGTGAGTTTTACCCCGGGTTTTTTTCACGGATAAACCCATGGGTTTGGGTTTGGGTTTGGCAAAACCCGACCCAACCCGACCCGACCCATTGCCATCCCTATTGGGTAGTGCAGTGCTAGTGCAGGCGGCCTGCATGAGAGCGGGAAACGCGGATACTTTTTTGTATGGACTATTATGCCCTCTTTTACTTTTACGGTAGAAAAATTGAGTCAACTAATATCTAATAAAAAGTCAATGAAACTATAGTTTTCTATTGGCTGACACCTCTGTTGTCACTGTAACAACAAATAAAGTGTTGTTACCCTATCTAGTCCCCTTCCTGATACACTATATGTGCCTAAACTTGTTCCCAATTTGGTCTCGGTGGGTCAGCTTGCTGATGATGGTTGTCGGATAATTTTTGACGTCACTGGGTGTACTGTGCAGGACACGAGGACGGGGAAGGAACTCGGGAGAGGGAGTAAACGTGGTCGAACCTTCATGCTTGATCACTACTCTTGCTCGAAGGAAGCTTGTGATCGTGTGCATGGGAAGCATGCGCTACATGGGGAGATATTGGTGGGAGGCAGCCCACGTGTGGAGCTTGAGAAGAATAGTCACAATAATAATTGGAGTGGTTTTTCGAGTGGTTTTTTCCCATGGTTGTCACTTAAACAGAATTGGATTTTCGGTAGCATTGTCGGATTGGGATTTATGGCATTTTTAGATTGGGGCATCCTAATTCTGTGAGATTGCGTACTATGTTTCGGAATAAATGGTTGTCGGGTAGTATTTCATCGGATTCGGATCATGAGTGTGTTCATTGTTTGCAAGCTAAAATGTCACAGATTTCCTTCTCGCCTAGTACGACAGTTTATTCCGAATCATTTGATCTCGTGCATACTGATCTCTGGGGTCTGTCTCCTTAACATCACGCTTGGGTTATCGATATTTTTCTTTGTTTGTGGATCAGGCTACTTGGTATGTATGGGTCTACTTCCTTCGACAGAAGTCTGAATTGCTGGTAGTAGCTCGAGAGTTCTTCCAGATGATTTCCACCCAATTCGGTAAGGAAATCAAAATTCTTCGATATGATCCTGGTGGTGAATTTACCTCTAATCCATTGCAGGCTTTACTGAAGGAGCGGGGTATTATAGCTCAACAATCTTGTCCAGGAGTGTCACAGCAGAATGGGGTAGTTGAACGTAAGCATCGTCACGTGTTGGAGCTTACTCGTGCCATTTTATTTCACTCACAGGTGCCTCCTGGGTTCTAGGTAGAAGCTATTCATACTATTGTCTACTTGATTAATAGACAGATTACGCCCATTCTTCAACAACGTAGTCCGTATCAGGCGCTCTTTGATCGCATACCCAACTATGGCTGGTTGCGTGTCTTTGGTGTTGTGTGTTACGTTCTGCTTAGTCGCCGGGAACACAACAAACTCACCCCAAAGGCTGTTAAGTGTGTTTTTCTTGGGTATAGTGAGAAACATAAAGGGTATGTCTGTTATGACGTTGCTAATCGTCGTGTTCGGATTTTCTGTCATGTTGTCTTTCTCGAACACATGTTCTACTATGGATCAGCCAATTCAGACTTGGCTTCCTCTCAGAATCTCGAGTTCTTGCGTCCTCTCATGGACCCTTTGATGGACGTTTCTCCTGGTGAAGGTTTATCTACTGAAGAGTCTACTAGTGATGACTTGAGTGTTTCTTCTCCTATGGAAATTAGTTCGGCTGGGTCCTCATCTAGTTCCTCTTCATCACTGTCTACTGGCCCAAGCTTGTCTCACTCTAATTATAGCTCCACCTCGGCCTCGAGTTCCAGCTCCTCATCCGCCTCAAGTAACCAATTCTCCAACTCCACTGCCTCGCAAGAAGATGATGCTGCCCCACCACTTCGCCAATCAAATAGGGTAAACATAGGAAAACCGCCTGCCCATCATTCAGAATTTGTCGCCTTTTCTACTCCATCCATTGTGGTACCTGCGACGTACAAACAAGCCAAGGGCCACGCAGAGTGGGATCATGCGATGCAGGTTGAGAGTGATGCACTTGATGCTGCCCATACATGGGACTTGGTTCCTCGTCGTCCTGAATACGCTGTGGTTGGCAGTAAATGGGTTTATAATATTAAAATGCATCCAGATGGTACCATTGAGCGACACAAAGCTCGGGTTGTCGCTCAAGGATTTCGTCAGGCGTACGGAATTGATTATGCGGAGACCTTTGCTCCAGTGGCAAAAATGCAGACAGTTCGCAGCTTGTTGGCGGTTGCAGCTATGAAAGGGTGGCCGTTAATTCAGCTGGATGTGAAGAATGCCTTTCTTCACGGTGACCTCAAGGAAGTAATATACATGGAAAGACCACCTGGCTATACTAAGGGCGATAGTTCTATGGTATGTCGCCTTCGTCGCTCTCTATATGGTTTGAAGCAAGCTCCCAGAGCATGGTTTGAAAAGTTCCAGGATACGATTTTACGAGCAGGTTTCGTTCAGAGTGATAGTGACCCTTCTCTCTTTCTGCGTACAACTGGTCAATGTCTTACGGTTCTTCTCATCTATGTGGATGATATGGTGATAAGTGGGGATGATGAGGAAGGGATACGTGAGGTAACAGATGTGCTACGTTCGACCTTCAATCTGAAGGAGCTTGGCAATCTGGCTTATTTTCTGGGCTTAGAAGTTCATCGCTCTTCCTTGGGTATTCATATTGGTCAACGCAAATATGTGATGGATTTGCTTGAGGAGGCACAGATGGATACTTGTACTCCGTGTGCGACTCTTATGGAACAGAACCTGAAGCTACGACAGACTGAGGGGGAGGCATTATCTGATGGGTCGTTGTATCGCAGTATAGTGGGTAGTCTGATTTACTTGACTCATACACGTCCAGACATATCTTATGTTGTGCAGGTGGTCAGTCAATATATGTCGGCTCCTAGGACGACTCACTGGTCTGCAGTTCAGCGCATTCTACGGTACCTCGAGGGTACAACAAATGTTGGTCTACTGTTTCCTGCTGGGGGAGAACCTATAGTTGAAGCTTATGCTGACACAGACTATGCAGGTTGTTGGGATACTCGACGTTCAACATCGGGGTGGTGTGTTAAAGTTGGTAACTCATTTATTTCCTGGAGGTGTAAGAAACAAGACAGGGTGTCCAAATCTTCTACAGAGGCGGAGTACAGGTCGATGAGTGAAGTGGCGTCTGAGATTACTTGGCTGTGTCGGCTTTTATCAGAACTTGGTGTAGTGGTACGTGTTCCTGTGCGGTTACATGTTGACAATACCAGTGCAATACGTATAGCTACCAATCCAGTTCTGCTTGACAGGACAAAGCATATTGAGGTTCATGTTCACTATATTAGACAGCTGGTGACAGAAGGCGTTGTAGAGCTTGCATACATTACTTCAGAGGATCAGACAGCGGATCTATTGACCAAGGCAGTTTCATCTAGTCGGCATTGGTTTCTAGCACACAAATTGATGTTGCGAAAGCACCATCAATTTGAGGGAGGTGTTAGAAGTTAAGTGACTTAATTGTAATTAACCCATAGGGTTAAGAAGTCGGCCAGTATATATTGTTGAGATGGCCAACCTGCTCATGTATTCTGTACGAGAATAATATACAAAACTCTGCCTTGTGCCGTGGACTAGTCTCAACGTTCTACGTTGAGGAAACCACGTAAATTCGTTATTCGTATTTCTCGATTGTGTTTGTGTTTATTGACATCTCTACTTAATCATAATTATAGCTAACAATAGAGTTCACAGCGAATGAGATAATGATCCCAGCACTACCCGGACTATTGGTCGGGCTCTGCACTAGTCTACAAATATATAATGGTTGAGTTGGAAGCTAAGGCGCTCTTGGAGGTATTAAATTAGCACAAGAATATGGATTGATATGTACAGTACAATCTGACTGTCAAATGTTGGTGAAGGCCCTGAACCATAATCAGTCTCGATCGCCTTGGAGATATGCAGTCTGGATTAGAACAATGGTTAATATCCTTAGGAATAACCCTGCAATTTCGGTTAAAGAGGTTCCAAGGACGTTGAATGTTAGAGCTGATTGGGTGGCACGATCAAAAGCTAGATCTACTCTGCCAAATGACTGGATTAGTATTCTTGATCTAATTTCTGATCTCCTTTAAGTTTGTAATCGCTTTTTAACGTGTTTCTTTCAATGGTGGAATAAAGTTGGTATTATTGTAAAAAAAAGAGTTGGGAGCAGTTTTTCAGTATTTCAAATTTCGTCTAACTAGAGTGAGAGTAGAAATGATAGATTTGTATTTATAGTTATTTGTCTTATTTATAAAAAAAAAAGTGCATCAATCCTGAGATTTGAACGATTGTCTATTTGAACAAGGACATAAGTCGTTGCCAATTACACTAAATGAATTTTATGTATTTTTTAAACTAAAAACCTCTGTTTTCAGAACCGGACCGGAGGCTGAACTGAAAAAATTAGTGGTTTAAGGGTTCATTGGTTAACCGTTACAAAACCGTTGGTGAACCGTTGATAGACCCGTTAATGATATATAACATATAAGACTTGTATATTACAATAATTTAAGAATGAAATTATCATTGACCATAAACAAGTTCAAATTCATATCATCACGAAAATATCTAATAAATCATTCCAACCATCTCACAAAAGAAACCACATTTTTTAATTCAAATTAAAAATTACGGTTCTAGTTGGTAGTAGACAATGTAAAATCGACAATAAGGTTGAGGAGGCATATATAAAATTAATAATTATGATTTGATGGTCTTAGTTTATGTTAAAATATTTTTTTGTTAAAATAGTGAACCAATGGACCAGTTAAACAGTGTCGGTTAATCTGATTTTATGTTGAACCGTGAAAAACCGTTTTGTCCATCTATAACCGTTCAAACAATGAACCGGACCGCAATCGTAACTGGTTTGATGGTTCTACTAGCCCGGCCGTTGATCCGGTTTGGTTCTTATAACAAGGCTAAAAACATAAAGAAACATAATATCTTAAGAGCATATGACTTTTCCACTACGGTTAACTAGCCCACTAACTCTTTCGTAAGTATTTCTTTGGTATTTGATATTTATATTTCATCTTTTTATTATTTAATTAGGTTTTCGATCACAAAGAGTCAAACCAGCTACCGAAAGAGAGAGACTCAATCGATCTACCCATACCGGTAGTTGTAAGAGTTGCCCTAAACGCTGAATTACACATTCGGCAGGCAAAGGCAAAGAACAGATATTATAAAGCACCGGGTAGTTCTGAGGGCTTAGGAAGAATAGGACCTATGAACCAGAGAATAGAATATGCGAATCATTGGGGGTAGCTAAATAGAAAGAATGGAAGGAACGTACTCCAAAGTGAAAAGAGAACAGATGAGTCGATTACCCCAGATTCTGCTGCCCAGGAGAAAGAGTTATGGAACAAACTATAATGAAGACTCTTTCTATGCCAAGAGCGTCTGCGTTGGGGAGATCTGGGTCTTATAACCGGTGGTAGAGGACTGGCAATTGAATCACTAACCGCAGTTGCTGGACTAGCACAACAATTAGCTGTGACAGTCTCTGTTGGTGCCCTTGTTAGAGTGAGCGTTCCCGCTGCATCGAAAATAGGAAAGTGTTCAATTAACCGGTGTACCCAATCCACCCATTCGATAGGAGCATCCGGACACTCACGCTGACTGTTGGAGTGACGCACTTTGCTCCAATCAGGCATTAGGCGACGAAAAGGGAGGGAGGAACGAATGGGACTGAGGGACTGCTAAAGGGCTCTATGGAATATACCCTGCTACGACTAAGGCCAATGGTCTCGTCTATCAGCTCCTCTCTTTGTCGCCGTGGATACTTTCTTCTTCTTTATTCCCCAGATCCTAAAAAGAAGATAAGCCTTAAATTAAACACAATAAATTTAGGTACTAGGTAGAAATAGACAGTTAAGATATTTTGAAAAATTAGAATTTACATCGTCGATACATATTCAAATGGCATTCCGACCAACAGATCGTACACCTAACTAGCATTTAAAGATGTAAGAGCATCTCCATCGGGACTTTGAATGCAATTTCACTTTGACGTGACAGATGTTTGCAATTACTGGGATGAGATATGGTGACAACCCATTTTATAACCATACGATTCATTCACTCTCTTGTCTATTTCTTATTTTTTTTCAAATCAATGGTACAGATTGGATTAAGGGTATTTTTGGACGAAAAAAATTGACCACACTAGATTATTACCCCTATTAATACCTAAAACCCTACATTCTCTCTTTCCTCTCTATCTCACGCCATCTTTTTCTTCCTATTCTTCTTCTTCTTCCTCCCATCTCTTCCCTCTCTCTATCGGCTGCCACCACCGTCGTCGCATCCGTCCTGCCGACCCGCCACACCCTCCGCCTCTCATCACTGCTACAACCCTCCCGTCGTCGCGCCCTCCGCCTCCCAGCACTGTCATGTTCATCGCCCCGCAGCCATCACAGACTCCTCCTCCCACCACCGCCCCGCAGGCCGCAGCCATCGCGGCCTCCTCCTCCCACCACCACCGTCGTCGCAACCCTCTCGCCGCCCTCTGTCTCCCACCACCATCGTCACCACGAGGTCACCGCCTCTCCCCTGCCTCTCCCTTTCGTCATCCCTGATTTTTTTTCAGATCTGTGACTTTCATATTTCAGATCTGATTTTTTTGTGCTAGTCTCTAGTGGTACGCTACCAGTGGCAATGGTACCGCTACCAGTGGTACTGGTACTGGTACTGCTGCTAGTGGTACTAGTACCGCTGCTAGTGGTACTAGTACCGCTACTAGGGGTACTGGTACTGCTAATGGTACCGCTACAAGTGGTAATGGTACCGTACCACTAGCACTAATACATTTTTTAACGCACTTGTAGCGTACCACTAGCACTGGTATATTAATTACCAGTAGACTAATGGATTGGTACACTTTTTAAAGCAATGGTACATTTTTTCAGGTTGCCGGAGGGAGTCTGCCGGAGAGAATTCGCCGGAGAAAAAGTCTGTCTATCGAAGCAGAGTGGCCGCAGGAGAAAGGAAGAGAGAGAGATAGATAGATATACTAATGTATAGGATTTAAATTTCAAAAAAATTGTATTTAATATTGATTTTTAATTCCCAATCTGATTAATACAAAAAAGGTAATTAATATATTTCTTTTTTTCATACCCAAAATACCCTTGGTTGTCTATCTGACAACTTCTAAGGGGGTTGTCACCGTATCCGGTCCCGCAATTACTTTTTCTCATTGCACGAATGAGAGTAATTATTGCATATATAAAAGCTTTCATTTGTTGCAATTCCTCAATGCAAGCCGCGCTGAAAAAGTTTATCATTTGTTTTTTCTTTTATAACTAGTTTTTTACCCGCCCAGTTGGGCGGAGAAGTTCATTTGATTATTTATATTAGTTAACTAATCTACGTGTTTGAACTTTTTGGATCTTGTATACATTTCCTGCTCTCGCTTCATAAGTGAATATGTGGTATGCCTATATCGAATAATATTTAATAGTTAGCACACTCGTTTGTGATGTTTTTATTCTCTGATCATAAATCATGTCGTAAAGGTTTATCAGTCCCATTTAGGATCGTATATAAAAAAATTTCCACCAAGACCCTCAAATTTATTATCTTATACAACATATATTAATTCATGATTCTCGAGTTTGTACGAACTCTCAACAAATTAATCCGAGTTCAAATTATTGGAAAAAGAAACTTGATTACTGGATAAATTATGTTTATCCCAATTGAAATTTGGCACACATCGTATCCCTTATAATGATTAAATTCTCTAAACCTCACTCATTTTTATTGTTGATGTTCATGAAGTCTTTGTATAACAACTTATTACAATTGCTAATATTTTAAGTTTGTACTAACCCTCAACCCATGCATTTTGTCTAGATGTTCGTTTAGAATCTGAATCCAAGGCTTCATATACATGATCGAAGGTTCTCATATTAACATGTTCCTTCAATGTATAATTTTTCAACTATTTGAATGTCAATTCGCTAAAATTTCTTTATATTTGGTGTTTGTTCTAGAACAAAAATTTCATTACTTATATTAATAATTGGTAAAGTGTGTATATGAAAGACAAATATTTCGGGTGATTCAAAATTAAGTATTCCTTGAATAATTAACTTATAATTTTTTAACATAATTATTTGTAGCAAAATTTAAAAGTGCATACAAACATTGTGGCTTTCGCATGTATTTAATTTATTGGATGTATTGTAGACACATCTATTGCTAATATCTAAAATATATATACAGAGAGTTTATTTTAATTTCAACACTAATTAATACCTTTGAACTCAGCTCTTTAAGTGGAATATGATATCATTTTTTTTTTGTTATTGCCAAAATTTAGTATGAAATCACAGACTCACAACTATATAGACTTGTTACAATTTTCTTACTAAACTTATATTTAATAAATATTCTTCTTTTGACCCAATAGCTCGGTTTACACTATTGTAACTATAAATATTTTTTGTTATATATGTGCAGTAAAACATTAATGTTTATTTATTACCTCAATATTCGAATTTAGATTTTTCTTAGCATGAAATGTGATGTTTAACGTACATCCTTAACAAAGATTTCTCTAAATTTCACACATTTCATTTTTCAAGTGATCTCATGTCTCATCCTAGAATATGAAGTCAAAGTTCATCAACTATTATACTCGAGTTATTTTGGAAACTTCAATTTATAATCTTTAACAATAAATAACTCCAAATCTGGAAAAACAAATTCTTAGCAAATGATGTAAGACCTCAATAGAGCTTTCTCAATCAACATGACCTAGAGAAAATATTAGTAATGTGATGAATAAGAAGCTTTTTTAATAAACAACTATTATTTCTTGGTCAAGTTTCTTTCGGACCTTATCGACAAAATATTATTATTTTTATGTGTTTAAATTATTCATTAAAATGTAAATTATTATTAAGTTTTAGTAAGAATGAGCAGAAATTTACATAGTAATCTTTAATCATATATTTTTTGGTTTAAAAAGTGTGATATATATGTCACTCTACGAACATTAGTATACTATTGCGTACATCGATATAATGCAAAACCAAAATGTGATATATGTCACTCTCCATCATGATTGTCACGTCGGCCGGCATGCCACCGGTTGAACCATTCAACCGGTACCGATCATGAAATCGACATGACACCATCGCTATGACCGGTATGATCGTTTTACTAATTTCTAAGTAAAATACGTAGTTTTAGTGAATTTAAGTATGAGTACATGTAATTTTATTTGAAATATCATATTTTATTCAATTATCAATATGAATTGTGCGTAAATTATCTTCAAATATGGTTATATATGATTAAATTCATTTGATATTAATGATTTTTTATATTTCTACATATTTTATTAACCGGCATGAAATTACACAAACCGGTTGTACCACTGGTAAAACCATTCCATTTGCTAAACCGGTTTGATAACCTTTCTCTCCATATATTATTTATAGATATCATGCAAAAACAAATGCAAAATGATTATTGGATAAAAGAGAATTAAATTTAAATGAAGAGACAGGAACAACTCCATAAATAGGTCAATAACTATTTTTTTTTTGTAAAAACAATTATCCACCTTGGCAACTTGAGATCTCTCCAAGTGCTTATGTGGCAAAATTTTAATTTTGAATTGCCATAATATTATGTATAGATAGATAGATAGATTTCATTATTATTGAATTTTTTTGGATAATTTCTATGGACAACGTGTGCAAATTAGTTTATTACTAGATTTCGTTTAAATTAAATTAAAATAAATTTTTAGTTTATTTACTTGCAATATGGATAAAAAGGTATTTATAAACAAAATTTATTTACTAAAAAAAATTTAGGACCAATATACAATTGCAAGTTAATTGCACCAATATAGTTACAATGAAAGTAAAGTGAGTTAACTTGAAAAATTTGTATCAAGAAACCACAAATGCAATTGCAAATAATTGCACCAATGTGATGCTCTAAGAGTTGAAGGACTGATCGTGCAATTTCCTTTTTAAGCGCCCAAATGAAATTGATCAAACCAACCGGAGCAGAAGAAGAACGCGACGTACGGCTCTGCATGCCTCACCGCCTTGCTTGTGCAGTCCTGCTATGCTGACCGGCCTACCAGCGCAGTACCACTCGTAACCACAAGATTGGATCAGCCAAATCTCGATCGTTCTTCCTCTCTGGCGACGGAGGCGGACGGCGACGGCTTGCAGCTCGTACCGATGGCCCCTTCCGCCATTAATTCCTCGCCCACTGAAAGATCCAAGCTTTTCCCCCCAACCAACCAGGCCCATGTGCATGAATGCCACTGCGTGGTCGTGGTCATTCACTCCATCTCCACCAGTCCCACCATTCCAATCGTAATTTCTTATTAGTTATCTGCAATTCTTCTTCATATTAAATTGGTCGCAACTGCAATCTACCATTCATGTCCTTTCCATTCTGAGTTCGTTGTGGTGGTAGGTGTTGGGAATTTACGTTGCAGTTCATGCTAATGGACGATTGATTTTTTTAATTGAGTAGATGAATTCCCCGTTGATCTAAAGGGGAAGTTAAAAAAAACTACAAGAACTTCAAGGGGAAACAAAAGGATGTGGTTACTGGTTGCTTGCACTACTACTTGCTACATCTACTGCAATACCAATTGGCAGCGAAAGGTCTGTCCTTTTTGGTGGGTTTTTACCGCTCAAATGAATCATTAACATGCGCTTAACCTGTTTGAATTATTGCCTGACAGTAAGGAAATGATCCTCCAATTTGGTTTTCCTGTACTTCACCGTGCTTTCGTTTTCTCCGGTGTTGTCTGCAGCCGATTTGTACCCTTTCTATCTTTGTAGAAAGTAGATACATGCCTGGTATGTTTCGTTTGACCAATGCCTGAATTGCTTGTTATAAAATTGATCAAGCTAGCTCTTCCGTCCACAAACTTGGGATTCTTGGAAGAACAAGAAGAAGAGTCCTAGTTGCTCTTTGGTTCTCCTTTTGGCTCCTGAAAGATCATTATATTATTATCAATGGGATTGAGGTAAGTTTGTAGCTTTCATGTCAACTTGGCCTCTCCACGTTTATGACGTGTGTAGTGAAGATTGATGGGCGGGCAGGTGTGGGTGCGACTTGAGTGCTTTCACCCGCCTTTCAAATGCCATGATGCCAATGGGCTAATAACTACCCTTTCCTTGTCTGATGTGTTTATGACTGATCAGCATCTCCTTCTGCTCTCTGCTTCTATTACCATCACAATCTTTATCTCGCAAACTGAAAGAGACTGATGACAATTGATCAGTTCTTCGAGCTGGCTACCTTCATGTAATAGTAGTATATGCACTGTGATCATCAGTTCCTCCCTTCCAACATCCACATTACAGTCTCTATATATTCTTGCTGACTTGCTGTTATTATGATAAGACAAAGTGGGGAATATTAACGTGGGGAGCTTGTTCCACATCTAAGAAAGGCTGATACTCTACTACTAAGGAAGAAAAAGGATGGCAGCAGCAGCAGAAGAAGAGTATACAGTGCCACTGTTGAAGAAGCAGTACTATGAGAATTGTCCCGGTTGTAAGGTTGATGAACAGAAAGAGTTGAAGAGAGGATTGCCCATCCGAGAGTTCCTTTCAATTTGGACTGTTGTTCTTTGCACAGGTACAGTAGGCCCTTAGTTCTAGTTGCCAGTCAATGTTTTCATTTGTTTTGGTTTTTCCTTCAAACAAATCATCTAGCCATGTTGGTAGCATAAACGTCATAGATTTTTCTTGGTTTACAGAGCTACTCTGTACTTACATTGGTTCACATGTAAATGTACTGATATGTTCTCTTTTCCCTGCAGCTCTCCCGATCTCATCTCTCTTTCCCTATCTCTATTTTATGGTGAGCATACTGAGTATGTATCATTGGCTTTGAATAAAAATGAACTTAATATGCTAAGGAAGTGTAAGTTATAAGAACTTCCGTTCCTTGGAATTGTGTTTTCAGTTATCGAGATATAGTTTTAGCCTTTACGTGAGTCATTAATTCCATAAGTGTAAAGCAAGGAAAGGAGTCATTGTTAAGTCAGAGTACAGTCACTTTGTTACAGAGCTGGCCATGTATACCTCCTTTCTTCTTACAGCATATGGTTATATTTATAGTTGATTCATATTTTCAGATTAGGGACTTCAACATTGCAGAAAAAGAAGAAGACATAGGTTACTATGCTGGTTATGTTGGTGAGTTTGTTTGCAGTACTAATGTTAGTTTTTGTTCACCTGTTACATTATTTGAACTGATACTGATGAAGCAATCTAAATATCTCCTTATGGATCTTTTGAAGGATCCTCATTTATGTTCGGTAGAGCTTTGACTTCTGTTTTCTGGGGATTGGTGGCCGATCGCTATGGTCGAAAGCCTGTTATACTCTTGGGGACTTCATCAGTGTTAGTGCTCACAGCTAGTTTTTTTTTTTCATATCTCCATTTACCATTTTTTATGCTTACATCTATCCCTGAGCTATGCCATGCATTTCTCTCTTTCAGGGTTATCTTTAACACTATCTTCGGGCTCAGTGTAAACTTCTGGATGGCTGTTATCACAAGATTCCTACTTGGGTGCTTGAATGGTTTACTTGGTCCAATAAAGGTATAGTTGTTCTTTTTCTTTCCCATGTACTTTGTTGTTCGTTTATCAGCACAGCAAGACATGCATACAAAATCGTAAGTTTAACTGCCAAAACACAATGGAATTCCAGGCATATGCATCTGAATTGTTCAGAGCTGAACATCAAGCCTTGGGTTTGTCAACGGTGAGTAGCTTTGTGGATCTGTTACACTTCTCACTCTGGCAAAACAAAAAAAGAAAGACTAAATAGAGTTTAACTTCTATCAGATCAGCACAGCATGGGGTATAGGATTGATTATTGGTCCAGCTCTAGGAGGTTTCCTGGCCCAGGTACGTACACAATATAATAATTTCTGTGTGTTTGCAACTATAGACTAATAGCAGCAACAACACTTGCACTCTAGGTGGTCACCATTTTATGAGCGATGCATAAATGATGAACTTTATGTGCTTGATCATTAATTAAGTATGAAAATTTTCCCTTGTATTTGGTGCAGCCAGCTGAGAAATATCCAACTGTAGTTTCCAAGGATTCTTTATTTGGGAGGTTGGTGAATTGCTTGGCTTTCCTTTGAGCTTTGCTCTGTTGACATAACGTGTTCGTCTATGGTTTTTAATGGTGGTTTCAAAAATTCTGTGTAATGCAGATTTCCCTACTTTTTGCCTTCTCTGGCTATATCAGTTTTTGCTGTTGGAGTAACGATTGCTTCTTTCTGGCTCCCGGTGAATATCTTGACTGCTCACATTTACTGTCTGTTCTCATATGATTGCTGGACTTTGATTCTTATCTCATAAGTTAACCCAACTGTCTCGATCAAGATTGTTTTGTTGTATTAGTTGAATTGAGTCTCAATCAAGAATGTTAAATGAATCTCTTAAGATATATGGGTGTAAGATAACCAGTGTAATTTTGGTCAAGTACACAGGAAACATTGCATAACCATAAGAAAAACAGGGCAGCACGTGACGACTCTTATGATGCTTTGGAGACTGCATCTGGCGAAGGTGGGTCTAAGGAATATGATGGAAACACTGTAGCGATTATCGAACAGAAGAAGCAACCAGCAAACCTCCTTAGAAATTGGCCTCTGATGTCATCTATCATGGTCTACTGCATCTTCTCTCTTCATGATATGGCTTATACAGAGGTACATCACCTCTTACTATCCATATCCATTAGTTCGATCCCTAGAGAAGGATTTTAGAGGTTGGTGGTCTTTGGAAAGGGATGGGAGCCTTTGGTAGAGTAAAAGGTTGCTTGACTCGCTGCTTTGTATTATGTAGATATTTTCATTGTGGGCAGTGAGCCCCAGAAAGCTCGGCGGACTTGGATACTCGACGCAGAATGTTGGTGAAGTTCTGGCAGTGTCAGGTAGGTTTCTTAACTTTCACAACCTTAGCAGGCTACAGGAAAACTTTTTGCTTATTAGTAAAAACAATAATAACATCTGAGGCTTTAGCTACGTGCATAACATGGTATCGCTCTGATGATGACATGCTATTGGTGTTGAAACTACTGTAGGCTTCGGACTGCTTGTGTTCCAACTTGCTCTATATCCATATGCGGAGAGGCTTCTCGGACCAGTAATGGTGAGCCGCATTGCTGGGGTAAGTATTTCAACTCCTCTTCTGCCTGGATATAACTCCTCTTCTGCCTGGGTATGCCTGAAAGTACTCGACCATTTTGATTCTTTTGGTGGTGCGTTTGTGAAATAACTTATGATGGTTGTTGGAACTGGAATTACAGGTATTATCCATTCCATTGTTGGCAAGTTACCCTTTTTTGTCGAAGTTGTCGGGCTTCAGTCTGATGGTCCTGTTAAACTGCGCATCTGTATTGAAGAATCTCCTATCCGTAAGTTCAACAACAATAAATTACTGTGTAGTTTCATGGTATCACATTTAACGATAGCAGGATGGTGTTACTTCTTGCTCCTGACTATGTTTTTTCTTTCTGCCACGTACCACTAGGTATCAATTATCACCGGCTTGTTCATGCTACAAAACAATGCAGTGGTAAACTTGCTTCCTTGTTGGTTTTCCTTCTTACTTGTTTTGTTAATCTTTCTTTGGGCATGAATAATGTGTCGGGGCTGTGAATGAACGAAACAGGAGCAGCACCAGAGAGGAGCGGCGAATGGGATAGCAATGACAGCGATGTCTCTGTTCAAGGCAGCTGGTCCTGCTGGTGGGGGTTCTCTGTAAGTCACCTGCCCCACTCTTTTGCTTCTGTTTAAGGTCTCTACAGAATGAAATGAAATTTTTAACCATGGCGAATCACAAATGTAACACCATACACACAAGGAGCAGACAAACAGCTGGAGTTGAAAATCTAAGAAACATTTTGGAGGGGATGTACTAAACGGTTCCTGTGTCGTGTGTGTGCAGGTTTTCTTGGGGTGAAACGCGTCAGGATGCGGCCTTCCTTCCAGGTAAATGGTGATTGGTTCACTTTCGCAGTTAGTTGTTGATGGCTGCGTATGTTTCTTTGTCCGTTTTGTAACATGATGATTGAACTGGTGTGGACGGATGGTATCTTGTCGCGCAGGTAACCAAATGGTGTTCTTCGTGCTGAACGTGGTGGAGGCAATTGGGGTGTTGTTCACTTTCAAGCCTTTCCTCGCCCAGCCCCGAGGTCGAACAGCAACAACACAATGATCTAGCTGCTGCTATCCTCTCCTAAACTCTCTACTACGCAGCCCCTTTTAGCGAATGTCAATTGTTGTGAAAATTGTGTATGCCTTGTTTGGAAGGCTCCTTCAATTGTTCCTTCGCTTATCATTTTTATTCCTTGCTCGTGCGCCTCTAGAGAATTGATAAGTTCTAGAAATGATAATTTTGATAGATCTTTTGTTATTCGATGGATGTCACAGTATCATCGAATCTTTCTGGCAGGCTTATGAGCACTTTCTCTACGATTTTCTGATTTGTCAGAAATTCACCGTAGAGCTTCATGTGGTTGACTATTTCTACTACTCTGGACGAGTAGACCTTCATTGTCACTTTCTCCTCAATGCTTAGATTTTCAAAATTTCTTCTCAGCGTCTGAACCTTGATGATTCTATCTTTTTCAGTACCTTGGTACTCTTCTTGTAGAATCTTCCAAGCTTCCTTTGCTGATTTTGCTACAATAATTCTCGGAAAAATATTTTCCGAGACTGTTGAGTATATGAGGGTGATGACGTTCATATTTTCTCTGCATCTTCCTCGCGCTCTTTTTGTTGAGCTTCGGTAGGAGGCTCTTCTTCTTTGGGAGACTTGTAGCCTTCTTCGATGATTCGCCAAAGTATGTTCACAATAAAATTTACTTTCACTTTTATGGTCTAGTATTCGTAATTCTCTCCATCAAAGGTTGATGGTAGAGGAATTGAAATGCTTTTGGATGACATATTTTGTGGTTTTGGCTATGTAGGTACTTTTCCGGGAGGAAGAGAGGTTGTTTTTGTAGGAGGATATGAGATTGTTTTTTGGTTTAAGTGTGATATTTGGAAATGGAACTTTAGGTGGTAAAGAAACATGGAGCTGGCGGTAGAACATAAGAAACAAGGGAATTATCTTTTTTTATTATTTGGTTGTTTCTTTTCTTTTTCTCACTCTCTCCCTCACGTACATACATGCATATATATATATATTTATAACTTCATTTTACAGCTTCAACTCTCCAGATTTGCATGCACCACAAACAATTTGTCATTTTGTGGTGCTGTTTTTTCTACATCTTGATAAACACTCATTAATTTCATATCTTACTATTTTATCTCATATCACCAAGTGGATTTATGAGACTTGTTTATTTAATTTTTATTTGCTTAATTATTTGAGACTTGACTTCAAGTTTGAACATGAAAGCAGCTGCAGAGTGCAATCAAGCGGAGAAAGCGACAGAGTTCGATAGCAAATTAACTGCAAGGGCCCGGGTTCAACCAACCAAATCAAATCAGATAACGAAATGTTTGGACGTGGAATCATTCAAGAGGGTTTCTCAAGATCAACGCTCTGTATTCAGCAACTGCAGAAATGGCGGAAAACAAAGCCTGTAAATCCTTGCATATACACGTCGTGGACTCCCACTTAGAAAATCACAATCACACTGGTATCTTCTTATCTCCAAACACTACATGATTGTTTTCAGCAAGTATCACGTGGTTGGCAGCGGCGGATGTAGAACATTGTAGAGCACTAGGTCGCATTTCATTAGAAAGTTTGATATCGTAAAAGAAAAATATAATAACCATAGTTTTGATTTTACAATGTCAACGGTACACGATGGTCTTTTAATTAGAAAATTTAACAATAATGAAGTCTTCATCCCTACCAATAGCATACTCTCTTTCAAATATGATAGTTAAGCAATCATCAATGAGAAATTCATCGCTCATTTTGTTGCGCAAATAAGTTTCCACGTGTTTCATCGTTGAAAAGGTTCTCTCCATAGTAATCGTTGAAACGGACAACGTCAACAGTTGATGAATCAACCGGACTAATCAATTTGTATTGTGTGTCAATCCCTATTTCCACCAGCTTCTCTAGAAGTTTTGCAATGAAACAAACCTCATATTTGATTTAGTCTTTTGGAGTAGTTGGAAGAAGAAGACACGAAGAGTCCTAGTTGCTCTTTGGTTCTCCTTTTCGCTGCTGGCTCCTGAAAGCGTCATTATATTATTATCATTGTGCTTGAGGAAGTTTGTAGTGATGATTGATGGGCAGGGAGCTGTGGGGCTCGACTTGACTGCTTTGACCCGCCTTCTGCTCCTTGCTTCTATTGCCATCACAATCTTTATCACGACAGCAAACTGAAAGAGACTGATAACAATTGACCAGTTCATCTAGCTGGCTACCTTCATCTATCTAATAGTAATATATACAATGTGATCATCAGTTTCCAGCATCCACATTACAGTCTCTCTATATATTCTTGCTGACTTGCTGTTATTATGATAAGACAAAGTGGGGAGCTTGTTCCACATCTGAGAGTGGCTGATATTCACTACTACTAAGGAAGAAAAAGGATGGCAGCAGCAGCAGCAGCAGCAGCAGCAGATGAAGAAGAGTATGCAGTTTCCACGTGTTTCATTGTTGAAAAGGTTCTCTCCCTAGTAGTCGTTGAAACGGGCAACGCGTCATCAACCAACTAATCAATTTGTATTGTGTGTCAATCCCTATTTCCACCAGCTAACAAACCTCATATCTCATTTAGTCTTTTGGAGTACTTGGAAGAAGAAGACAGAGGAGTCCTAGTTGCTCTTTGGTTCTCCTTTTCGCTGCTGGCTCCTGATAGCGTCATTTATATTATTATCATTGGGCTTGAGGTAGGTTTGTAGTGATGATTGATGGGTGGGGAGCTGTGGGTACGACTTGAATGCTTTCACCCGCCTTCTTCTCCCTGCTTCTATTGCCATCACAATCTTTATCACGATGACAAACTGAAAGGGACTGATAACAACTGATCAGTTCTTCTAGCTGGCTACCTTCATCTAATAGTAGTATATACACTGTGAATCTGTGATCCTCAGTTCCTCGCTTCCAACATCCACATTACAGTCTCTCTATATATTCTTGCTGACTTGCTGTTATTATGATAAGACAAAGTGGGGAGCTTTGTTCCACATCTGAGAGAGGCTGATATTCTCTACTACGAAGGAAGAAAAAGGGATGGAAGCAGCAGCAGCAGAAGAAGAGTATACAGTGCCACTGTTGAAGCAGTACTATGAGAATTGTCCCGGTTGCAAGGTTGATGAACAGAAAGAGTTGAAGAGAGGATTGCCCATCCGAGAGTTCCTTTCAATTTGGTCTGTTGTTCTTTGCACAGGTTCGGTAGGCACTTGGTTTTAGTTCCTAGTCAATGTTTTCATTTGTTTTGTTTTGTTGGTAGCATAAACGTCAGAGACTCTTCTTGGTTTACAGAGCTGCTCTGAACTTTTCTTGGTTCACATGTACATGTACTGATATGTTCTCTTTTCTCTGCAGCTCTCCCAATCTCATCTCTCTTTCCCTATCTCTATTTTATGGTAAGCATACTGAGTATGTATGTAACATTGGCTTCGAATAAAAAATGTTAATATGCTAAGTAAGTGCGAGTTATAAAGACTTCTGTTCCTTGGAACTGTGTTTTCAATTATCGATATATAGTTTTAGGCGAGTCATTAATTCCGCAAGAGGAGTAAAGCAAGTAAGCGAGTAACGGATAAGTCAGAGTTATAGCCACTTTGTTACAGAGCTGACCATAAAGTTAAATGTTCAGATTAGGGACTTCAATGTTGCAGAAAAAGAAGAAGACATCGGTTACTATGCTGGTTGTGTTGGTGAGTTTGTTTGCAGCACCAATGATAGCTTTCCCCCACTTGTCACGTTATTTGAACTGATCCTGATGAAGCAATCTAAATATCTCCTTCTGGATCTTTTGAAGGAGCCTCATTTATGTTTGGTAGAGCTTTGACTTATGTTTTCTGAGGATTGGTGGCCGATCGCTATGGTCGAAAGCCTGTTATACTCTTGGGGACTTCATCAGTGTTAGTGATCACAGCTAGTTTTTCTTTTTTCAATATCCATTGACCATTTTTTATGCTTATATCTGTGCCCGAGTTATGCCATGCATTTCTCTCTGTCAGGGTTATCTTGAACGCTATCTTCGGGCTCAGTATAAACTTTTGGATGGCTGTTATCACAAGATTCCTACTCGGGTGCTTGAATGGTTTACATGGTCCAATAAAGGTATAGTTGTTCTTTCCCATTTACTTTGTTGATCATTTATCTGCACAGCAGTGACATGCTTGCAAAATTGAAACTTTAACATTGTCTCACTGCCAAAATACAATGGAATTCCAGGCATATGCATCTGAAATTTTCAGAGCTGAACATCAAGCCTTGGGTTTGTCAACTGTGAGTAGCTTTATGGATCTGTTACATTTCCACTCTGGCGAAACAAAATAGAAAAACTAAATAGAGTTCAACTTCTACCAGATCTTCACAGCATGGGGTATAGGATTGATTATTGGTCCTGCTCTAGGAGGTTTCCTTGCCCAGGTATGTACACAATATAATTATTTCTGTGTTTGCAACTATGGACTAGTTAGCAGGCCAGCATAAACACTTGCACTGTAGGTGGTCACCATTTTATGAGTGATGCATAAATGATGAACTTTCTGTACTTGATCATTAAGAATGAAATTTTCCCTTGTACTTGGTGCAGCCAGCTGAGAAATATCCAACTCTGTTCTCCAAGGATTCTTTATTTGGGAGGTTGGTGAATTGCTTGGCTTTCTTTTGAGTTTTGCTCCGCTGACATTACGTATTCTTCTACTGTTTTTAATGGTGGTTTCAAAAATTCTGTGTAATGCAGATTTCCCTACTTCTTGCCTTCTTTCTGCCATATCTTCGTTCACATGCATCTTCCAGGGTATGCCTGAAAGTCTTTGTGTCCATTTTGTATTTTTTTTTTTTTTTTGTGTGTTTGGGAAATAGCTTATGATGGTTGATGGAACTGGAATTGCAGATATTATCCATTCCGTTGTTGGCAAGTTACCCTTTTATGTCGAAGTTGTCGGGCTTCAGTCTGAGTGTGCTGATAAACTGCGCATCTGTATTGAAGAATCTCCTATCTGTAAGTTCAACAACAATAGATTAGTGCGTAGTTGCTTGGTATCACATTTAACGATAGCAGGATGGTGTTATTTCTTGCTCCTGACTATTTTTTCTCTTTTTGCCACGCGCCACTAGGTATCAATTGTCACAGGCTTGTTAATGCTGCAAAACAATGCAGTGGTAAACTTGGTTCCTTGTTGGATTTCCTTCTTTCTCGTCTTGCTTGTCCTTTTTTGTGCGTGAATAATTCTCCTACGTTGCGAATGAACGAAACAGGAGCAGCACCAGAGAGGGGCTGCGAATGAGATAGCAATGACAGCAATGTCTCTGTTTAAAGCAGCTGGTCCTGCTGGTGGGGGTTCTCTGTAAGTCACCTGCCACAACCATTTGCTTCTGTTTTTGGTCTGTACAGAATGAAATGAACTATTTAAGTATTACGACGAACGTTACAACATACGCACTAGGAGCACACACCAACAACTGGAGTTGAAGATCTAAGACACATTTTGGAGGGGATGTACCAAACGGTTCCGGTGGCGTGTGTGTGCAGGTTTTCTGGGGTGAAACGCGTCAGGATGCGGCCTTTCCTTCCAGGTAAATGGTGATTGGTTCACTTTCGCAGTTAGTTGTTGATGGCTGCGTATGTTTCTTTTTCCCTTTGGTAACTAGATGATTGAACTGATGTTGGATGGATGGTATCTTGTGGCGCAGGTAACCAAATGGTTTTCTTCGTGCTGAACGTGGTGGAGGCAATTGGGGTGTTGTTCACTTTCAAGCCTTTCCTAGCCCTTCCCCGAGATCGAACAGCAGCAACACAATGACCTAGCTGCTGCTTGTTTGGAAGAAGGAGAAGAAGAACTGGAGGCTGGCTCGGGTCCTTGGTTGCTGAGGAAGAAGGTGGTTTGGCGCGAGATTCAAATTTGAATTTGAAGAATGCCGTTGTGTCATTTTGTTCAATAAAGCGCTGCTGTGTAGTGCTTTGTTGTTTTGGTGAATTGGAGTCCAAAATCGTGTCTTAGGCTGCAAGGTGTTTAGCAGCTTAGTTGGTTAGTGAAAGTTGTTTGCTATCTTTCAGGTTACTGGGAGCCTGATTTGGTGGCTTGAATTGAAACTTTGTATTTAGTTTCTTTTGAGTTTCAATAATAAACCGTCAGATTGCATCACATCCATTTTTAGCAAATGTCAATTCTGGCTGGCTCCATAAGGCCAACTTCAAAGGAAAGTGAACTCCAAGCCAAGGTGTCTTGCCAGAAAGGCCCTGTTTTGGTTTGGTTGATTGCAAATGTAATGTAAAGCAATCAAATGTAATGTAACGTGATCCGACGACTTATCCTACGGTGCACTATTCTCAACTGTCCTGCTCCTTCAAAAAAGTCCCGCCCATCCACCGAGCTTCCTTGACTCTCACTCAAAACAACTTCAATACTTGTACTGTCTTCATCTCCCTTCATCTGAAGCCCAAGGATGACTCAACATTCGATACCCAGAAACAGACAACCGCAGAAACCAGAAGAGCAAGTGCGCATGGCCGAGGAACAGCACCATCTGATGTCGACCTGCGATAGGGACACGGAGAGAGCGCAAACACGAAATGAAGAATCAAGGTGTTTAGCACTAGCCTGTTTAAATGAGGCAGTTAGTTAACATTTACCTACCTTTCAACGGAGCCATTGGAGGCCCCTGTCTTGAGCCCAAAGTCGAAGGGGAAGAGTGGATCATAATGTGCATCGCCATTGTTCATTGGCAGTTGATCCACACTCTTGAACCATGTCCTCGGAAGCTTCCCAATGAATCCAAAGTCCCCAAACAGGACATCGGCCACTCCTTGCCCTTCGCTGCCAGGTAACCAAGCTGCCACCAGAGCGTCGACTGAGTCCAAGTACGGCTCAAGCACAATGGGTCTCCCTGATATCACCACAACCACACACTTGACAGATCCGCCACATACATTGCTGATGATACTTGGACCTGGGAACTTCATCGTCAGATCAGTGCTGTCTCCTGCAGTCTCAGCATACGGTGGCTCACCAACGACTACAATTGCGTAACTGAAGTTGTTCTCCTCCACAAATTGCTTGCTGGGGTCCTCTTGGAAGACAACATCTGTTGTTGGATCAACCGTGGCCCTGATGGCAGCAAGGATCGTGGTTCCTGAAATAGTAAATAACCAGTTTGTTGTGCCACAGTTACCCACACATAATATAACAAGGCTTGATATGAATACCAATAACTAACTAGTTCTACACTAGGACGTGCCAGTCTGAGCCTCTATATCGATAAACAGACTAGCAGGAGACCCTAGGTTATTCCTAGGTATCCTGGCTCCTTAAGACACTCATCAATCTTTTATGGGGAGGATTGCTAAATATACACCAAATCATTTAGCATATAACTCTTTATGCATACACTTCATAAAGGTCCCAATGTATGCATGAGTAATCAAATTGTTTTGCATGGTTGGGTAGACAATGTGCACCCATTGGTACGAAGAAATGGAATAGCCAGTAGATGCCTCTCAGGAAACATTCCTAAAGCAGGAAATAATATTACCTCTAGTATCATTGTTCCCACTGAATCCCTGCCAATTAATCGTCCATCCACCACATTGATAACCCAAATTATCGGCATGGGTACCAGCAACTAAAATTTTTGAAGCCTTCTTGGGAAGGGGTAACAAAGGTTCACTCTCATTTTTACCATTCTTCAACAGCACAAGTGATTTTCTCACTGCTTCCCTCGCCAAGTCTCGGTGTCCCTGCATAGTGCATAAGGTACCCAAAAGTACATATGGTATCATATTCTCATTCAAAATGATAATCTAGAAACGCAGAAAGTAAGTCAAGGGGCGGGAGAGTAAAACAGGTTAAATCATGGAAGACAATTGAGCACAATACAACCATGCATGATACATGCACTGAAAATACAAATGATCTGATACAGTTGGTTCAAGGGGTCTTAGTGTTCATGTGATTCACCAACCTGACTTCCAAGTTCATTGGCAAAGCTCAGGTCAGCCATAGGGTTTTCAAACAGACCCAGATTGAACTTCACCAGCAGAATCCTTTCAACAGCATCGTCAATGCGATCCATTGGAATGACATTTTTCTTTACTAGGAGAGTAAGATCATCAATGAACTCTGTATGGTTGTAGGGAACCATGACCTGGGTACAATGAACCATCGTTAGCAAATCATTCACTTCCACCTGCTCTTAATTGATAAAAATATAACCGAAATAGTTCCCTGGGATTCGACTTAAATGATATTTCTACCCAAAAAAAAAAAAAAACTACCAACCATATCAATGCCAGCTAGAATCCCTGCTTGCACAGAGTACGTGTAGTTTGCATGTGGGGTTGAGGTAAGCTTGTCTATACCTTGCCAATCTGAGATAACAAACCCCTAGAAATTGTCCAGGAAGGGAAAGTACAGTTAGCATGTGAAATCCAGAGCCATGATGTCATATTAAACAAATCATGCAGACCTAGCATGTTGAAGACGGAACCTCAATGTTGGGTATCACACAGCTAATCTATGGTAAATCAATCTGAGTGGTTTTAAATGAAAGCTCCACATCACCAATTAAACGAGAACAATTGCAGATACATGCTGAAAATGATATGGTGGCTAAAAGAAATAATAAGAATATAATGACACGCAATCATGCTCAAATATACAAACAATACAAGGAATGGAAGAATCGGTAAATGCTGGATGGTCCATGAAAAAACCTTTTCCATTTAAGAATGGGAAGGATAGATATAAAGGAAGTCCAAGCAACTACTACTAGCAAAACATCACTAGGATTAGAGGGTAACCTTAAACTTAAGGGTACCCTTGAGGAAGCCCATTATTAGCTCTCTGTTAGCATGCATCCTTTCCCCATTCCAGCTGGAGTAAGATACCATGACTGTCGAAACGCCCTTGATCACAGAATCAACATAGGCAGGCATGTGAATGCTCAATAATCCATGCCTGTCTATTGCCGTATTGTTTTCATTGGCGCCCTTGGTTGTTCCACCATCTCCTACAAAATGCTTAGCGCAAGCTGCAACTTTGTTCCTACAGCATAGGAATATCCATGTTGAAGTACAGCTTATTAGGATACTATGACAACAAATGCAATTCAAATGTATTACGAATGCTCTAGTAATAAACCATCTTTAAGATCAAGTAACAATATTTTATTTTACCAAACACCATCATGTCAAACCTCTTATTAGCCGTTTGATTTTAAGAATATGAATGAACCATGCTCAGATCAATAGTAGGATTGCATGGCCAGAAACACTAAACTTTCAAGTTTTTCTTCGTCTTACTTTGGAATGACATAAGGAACTCCTCTTCGAGAATTAGAAGGAATGTCTCCTTGTAACCCAGGTATGATTTCAGTCATTTCTCTCACAACTTTGGGATCCTCGCTGTAGCTCTCATAACAGCGACCCCATCTTGGGTCTCTGCAAACCTGCAAAGGGCATGCCAACAGAAGAGAATGATAAACAATGAAAATAGAATTTTATGACTTAATTTGCCCATCTCCAATTTGTGCATTAAGGAAATATTTCTCATCCAAAAATAACATTAAACAACACTTTGTGTACCGCTATGCAAGGTGCGAACACGTAAGGAATCCCTGTGGCTCTAGCCTCAAGAGCAGTTGCAGCACCAATTCTCTTCACCAAGTCTGGGTCCCTAATATAAAAAAAACCTCAAGAGTGTCATCAAGACTTACTGCTGAGCCTACAATATGAAGTTGGAATTTATCTAAACTTTTTTCCTTTCGGACCAGTGCATATTTAGAACAGACCAAGCCCAGAAGTGCGACTTAAATATCATGTAAAATGGAGAAATTCATCCAACCATAAAAAAGGAAGTAACATGCAGCAGAACATCAGCCAAAAGAGACCTATATAATTCATGAACCCATGAGATTCATACTTGCCTGGTGGCTCCAAGCCCTACATTGTGAGGGAATATTGTGGCATTGTACACGTTGTTGTGTCCATGGACGGCATCAATACCATAGATCATAGGAATTCCTAAACGACTGGACATAGATCCTTTCTGAAATCCATTTATCATATCAATCCAATCCTTAGCTGTAGCATCAGGTAGTGGTGTACTCCCTCCACCACTCAATACGCTACCTGCAGGAAGCAGAATGATAAAACCATTCATCTTTCATTGTTCGGTAGCTTCAAAATGATTTGACTTTATTACAACAAGGAAAATTTCAAAGCAAAAAGGGAAATAAACGCAAAGAAGTGATGAAATAATGTGAAATAAGGTTCAGATGAAATGCTACTTGTGCTGTTACGTATCCCATTACAGGTCCAAAGAGCTATAATGGACATTCAACAACTACAATGGTACAACCACTGCACTGCCACAGTACATTACTCAAAGTGTGTATTATCAAATAAACGCAACATGGATTAGCATACCAATGGAGTAGGTCCGCATTATCTCCGGGGTGGCTGATAATCTGTCAAGTTGAGCCATCTGGCCAATCTTTTCCTCCAGCTTCATTCGACTCATTAGGTCCTTAATCCGAACCGCCACTGGCTGCCTCGGATCTTTGTATATCGGCGAGTCTGCCTCTGTGACCACCATCCAAGAGAAGAGCCACAGCATCCCCAACAACTGAAGCCCTGAAACCCTAGACATCTTCACTCACGAACAACTTCTCTGCAGCAGAAGTAACTGGTGTGACAGACTAAACAAACAGCAAAACAGTTGCAAGGAGCAAACAGTAATATATAGAAAGATAAAAGAGAGACAGAAAGAAAGCTAGCTACTCAAAGATGACCGTCGCCAATGGACATCTTAAAGCACGCACTAGTCTCATCGTAGGCTCTAAAAAGAAGAAACATCAAGATTCGCAGAAACAAGATCAGCAAAATTGGGAATGAGGACAGTATTCTACGCAATTTCTCGCCGTATCCAGCGGTACGGCAACGGACTCGCGGAAACTTGAGCAAGCTGCCATTGAAAGTTACTCCGGAGCACATTCAATAAGCGAAGCAGAGCAAAAATATCTGCATTCCGAGAGTACCAGACGCGAAGAACAACCGTCCGTACATGAAGTTCAAGAACACTCGCTCGCGTTTCTTGCGGTACGGACGTCGATTGTTTTTCTCGGGAAACAAACAGCCGAGTTCGCCGAGCGAGAGAAACACACACGCAAAAGAAGGCACGAGAGAGCAGAGCTGAGATGTCGTTACCAGGGAAATGCGGAGCAGCAACCAGCAATGGCGGAGAGGAGCAGGATCAGGCGGAGTTGAGGAAGAAGAAAGAAGGACGACGAATGAAAAACGTGAACGCCTGGCTCTGGTGGTGGTATGTTTCCTTATTTTGTCTTGTAGTTGCAGCTCTCGCTTCGTGTGGGTTTTGCTGGCTATTACTGTTACAGAGTTACAGTGCTCTGCTCTACTCTAGTCTAAGCAGAAAGCAGTGTATGCGTGGGAAATGGGGAGAACGAAAGCGGCAAAACGCTCCGTAACTTTCGGAGAGGAGAGTCCATCTGAAATCTGAATTACAGCGAATGGGCCGAGATCCTGGCTCTGTTACGGCCCAGCCCAGCCCGTCTGGCTTGGTTAGGCCCAGCCCAGTCAATCTGAATCACTATCGGATTGCAATTGGAATGACAATGGACAGGTTGAAGGCGGGTATCTCGATTTCAATACTCGTTCTATGGTAAGTCAGGTTCAAGTTGGACAATTTATAATAGTGTGTGGTAGGAGTAGAGGTGGCAAATGGATTGATCCATGGATTGGTGGATTCATGGATCAAATGGATTGGATCCAAAGGATTAGTGGATTCATGGATTGGATCAAGTGGATTGGTGGACCAATATGTAAAATGTGAAAAGTTTAGGTACTAAAATGTCATAATGAAAAATTTTAGGTACCAAAACGTAATTTTCCAATGATATTTTTCGTATAAAAAATTAAATTTTGGGTACCAAAATATAAAATATAAAAAATATAGGTATCAAACCGTAATTTTTCATTTGGATCCATGGATCAATCCATGAATCCACCAATCCAATTGGATTTGGATCAAATTGATTGGATTTGGATCAAATTGATTGGATTTAAATGGATTGGATTATGTGGATATTTTTAATGGGTTGGTGGATTGGATCGGTGGATTGGATTGAAAATTGCCACCTCTAGGTAGGAGTGAGCATTGGGTGGGTCGGGCGGATTTTTTACCATAAAACGCACCGACCTGCGCTTCAACGGATTGATAATTTTTAACCCACCACCCACCCACATTTAGTCTCGGGTTGGGTCGGGCGGATGGTGAATGAAGCGGGTGAGTTTGTAGGTTCACTCACATTACAATGTATATAATATGAAGGAGTCAACTTTACATGATAATTGGTAGATAGAGTGATCGGGGGAAACAAGAAAATTGAATAGGGAAAAATTGGCAAACTAGTTATGAAATTGGATAGAAATTCTATTATGAAGGAGTTTTCTACGAATTGAGATGATTATCAAGTGCAGGGAACTAAGGAAAATAATTCATTGGAGGAAGGAGAGGTGATCTAGGCACAAGAATCAGAGGAAAAAATAAATGGAAGAAGAGGGGATCACTATTTGGAAGGTTGGCTTTGAGGTCAATCTCCACGAGCAGCCCTAGTTTTCATCTAATGTCTCCACTCTCCCCTCTCCAGAGCCAACGATTTGTTCTTTTTGTTGTCTGGTTGAGCGGGTCAACCGCGCACCTGCCCACAACCCACCTGCCACCCGACGGATGGCTCTCGGCACAACCCGTCACCCACCCACAGAACAAATTTAAGGTCAAATGCGGGTGGGTTGGCCCAAACTCGCCGGTGATTCACCTGCATGCCCAGCCCTGGCGTGTGAGTTGGGACAGGTGATTCAGCGCATGTAATTTAATAGGAAAAAGTATTAGACATATTGTTTTTTTTTTTCATTAATATATAGTATAGTAAATATAATTAAATCATTCTAGAAATTGAGCTTCTCGCCTATTTACAATTTCATTATAGCTAAAATATGAGGTAATCAAAGTAAAATCCTAAGTAATTTGGGTATAATTATGTGTAATTATTGCAAAAAACAGGTTAAGAATGGGGAGAGTCAGGATAGGTCGAGCAGAATACCCATGCCCGGCTCGTCCCGTACGAGTACAAATCAAACAGATTCGATAAAACAGGTCAGGTCAAAAGTTTCATCCCTAACTTATGCTATTTTGGGATTCATCATACCCACACTCGACAAATCGATGGCAATTTGAGTATGAATGTTATGCGAGACTCCATTAGCCATAAATAAAACAACTTATGTTTCAGAAATATTACTGTATCGGTCGGATTGATCGAAAATAGTGGATATCAAACATCAAACGATAGGTGGTTTTAACCAAGATTTGGAATATCGTACCGTACCAGCGGTTCGACCAGAAAATACCGTACCGTACTAGCGCTATTTGGCGGTTGAACTACGATTAAACCACGATTTTCGTATAAAATACCTTATCGGTAATTTTTCGGTACAACTTCTGGTACAATATTTCAATCCTTGGTTTTAACTGTATGAAATAATTAAACCACGGTTTTATTTGGGTTAATATTTTCGTATGGCCTGAACTTTAACCAAAATAAACATCCTGGCCAATCTTTTCGATCTATAACATCCTGGCCCGAACTATACACCAAAATAAACAATTTGGCCAGATTCGACTTTTGACCGTCAACTTGGACGGTCAAACGCGTTGACCGTTAGTCAACGCGCCACATCAGTGCCAACTCAGCAAGTTTAAACAATTTTTTTTAATTTACACCTATTTCATTTTCTTTTCATTTATCATTTTGACAAAAAAAAAATCGGGACAAAAAGCCCCACCCCGAGCCCTAAACTAAACCCTACCTTATCCATATCTCAACCCCAACCCCATCCCCATCCACAAATTCACCCGCCGTCACTCACCTTCTCCTTCCTTCGTCGAAGCTCCTCCATCGACCGACAAAAATCTCCGGTATTCCGTCCTTTTCTGCCACCGTCCTCTCCTCCGTGCTGCTTGTTTAAAACGTAAATCGAAACCCATTGGGGGAAAGAAAAACAAGATTAAGAGAGGAAGGCCAAAGTCCACAAATTGATTTGAGTGAGCCAATGTAACGAAGGAAGCACCACCATGAAAAACACGATTTGTGCTTCCCTCAAATCAATTTCCTCTCAGCCATGGCTGCTCCATCTCCCCCATCCTCCCGATCTCGAATTCCCAAAATGCCGTCACCACCACCATCGTTCCTTCCGTCGCCGCGTCTGCCCAATCCCAGCTTCGATCGCCACCCCGACCTTCCGCTCCTTCATCAACAAGATCTCCGACACCGTCCGCAACGGCCTCTCGCAGCGCCGCCCGTGGGCCGAGCTAGCTTATCGATCCGCCGATGCCTCCGCCGCCGCTGCCGCCTCCGCCGCCGTCGAAGGTTTGCAGGAGGCGCTAGGCTATTATATCCTTCTCTACAACATCTTTGGCGGCCGGAATGGAGGAAGAGAGGAGGAGAGGAGAGGAGACTGGAGAGGAGAGGAAGAAGGGGAAGAATCAGGTTAGGGCTCGGGGTGGGGTGTTTTGTCCCGAATTTTTTTTTTGTCAAAATGATAAATGAAAAGAAAATAGAATAGGTGTAAATTAAAAAAAATTGTTTAAACTTGCTGAGTTGGCAGTGACGTGGCGCGTTGACTAACGGTCAACGCGTTTGACCGTCCAAGTTGACGGTCAAAAATCGAATCTGGCCAAATTGTTTATTTTGGTGTATAGTTCGGGCCAGAATGTTATAGATCGAAAAGATTGGCCAGGATGTTTATTTTGGTTAAAGTTCAGGCCATACGAAAATATTAACCCTTTTAATTTTTAATACAACTAACTTTTATTTTGTTATAACTTTCAATATGGATCACACTTCACACTCATTGCTTCAAGATTAGTCTCTCATTTGTGTAATTTCTTTACAATTATTTATTTTCTGGTCTTTTTTTATATATAATTTCTTTCCTGGTCTTGTCCTGTTCTGAAGTTGAAAAATGGCGAAGGAGCCAGAAAAAGAAAAGAAGAGAGGGAGAGAACCTAATGACGAACGTGACATATTTTTGCGGTAGCTTGGATTTGGCATAATGTCGGCTCGACTGTAGTAGTGTAGTGTTATTTGGCGCGTCAAGGTGGAAGAGGGGGAGAGTGATTGATACTTTTGCTTACAACAGCGGGTGGGGAAAGTAGGAAGCAGATAGCTGTCGTCATCGAAAATGGCTGCTGCAGCTTCTATCGCTCATGCCACCAACTTCCGTCTTCCCTCTGCGACGACCAAAACCAGCAAAGCCGTGGCAGCTCTTCCTTCTGCTTCCTTCATTAGCTTTGGCGCCACTCGATCGCCTCTTCCATCGACTAATTCAATTGCTAGGTTCGTTCACTTCGGCTTGCAGTCGCCGCAATCTCCCTTTTTCTCTCAACCTTTTCGTCGTTCTTGGATGTCTTCCTTGTCTGGCTTTCTAGATCGTTGGATGAATCCTGCTGATTGTCACTGAACTGAATGGGTTTAAGGGTTTGTGGATCATGAACTCATAATAAGCTTGTATTCTAAATTTCAGGGTGATTTAGCTTTTTGATAGTTGGGGTTTGGAGTCAAACCTTGAAAAAGTTTCTAACTTGAATGGGGGATGATCTTTGATTACTGTAGGCTGGCTGAAGTTCTATGGCAACTGGCCAAAAGAAGAGCAAATCTTTTTTGTTTGCTTTTGTTTTTTGGTTTCCAAACTACGTTATCACTAGTAGGTCCATTATTTTGGTCATTCTGTGCGGACTATTCATATGCATCAACTTGGTTGCAGATTGTCGTGTTCCAGGAACATAATTGCTCCCCGAGCATCAGAAACCACTGCTGTTGAGGTCCGGGAGCAGCACTTACCTTATTTCGTCCGTCTTTCTTGTTTTTAATGCGTTCTTTGAATTGGGTTTGGATGTGAATGATTTATGAACAGGATGGGGGTTACTATGACATGGATGCAGTGCCGACTCCTAAGGTGATAATCGACCTGGACTCTGATCCAGACGCAACTGTTGTGGAGATTACCTTTGGTGATCGCCTTGGGGCACTTGTGGATACTGTGAGTACTACTTACTTGGTGACAACGGTGCTCATCTGGTCTTTCATTTCAGTGATCTGCATTATAACTGTGTTTTTTTGTTGGACAGATGACAGCACTAAAAAACCTTGGACTAAATGTAGTGAAGGGTAATGTTTTTTTGGATTCTTCTGGGAAGCATAACAGATTCGCCATCACTAAAGCGTAAGTTGCTAGCTGCTTTTACAAGTTTTTATATTAGTCGCTCTGTCTTTTCTTTGTTTTTTTCCTGTTTTTTGTTTTATGATGACCGCTAACTTCGAGGTTTAAACCTAAGGGTGTGTATCTCTGAACTCCAAGTAATATACATTAACTTATGACTTATCAGACCACGTAGGCATTAGAGGAGCTCAAGCTTCTACATCTTTGTTGTTAAACTTTCCTTCACCCATCATAATTATCTGAAATCCTAAGCTTTATGTCATAATGAAGTGAGGAAGAAGTAAACAGGAACAGAAAGACTTAGTTGAGTTTTCAAAAGTGGATGGTTTGCTTTGCTATTCAATCAAAAGAAACAGGAGTTTAAGTCTCAACATATGCATATAGATTTTGGATGCATTTTATTAGATATTCCTAGGAGAAGAAGCTCTAAAATAGTGTCTAACTTTTTGTTAAAGTAGATAAAGGGGGGAATATGAGATACTAATGGAACCTGCTTCGTTGTTTTATAAGATTGGATATTCTTTAATGTAGAACGGGGAGTTGATGGTCTCGGCAAATATGGCTGTGGTTATGGAAGGTTGGAATACAAGATTTGGAATTAGCCGCTAGCAGTTCCATGTTTTGAAGTAAATGTATTGACAGTATGGGATTTTGTGGCTGGATGCACTACTTTGTGCAATGGAAATACTCACCCATGTTGCCTAGAAAATGTGGTTTTCTTATTCAGAGTTCGAGACTTGCTAGAGACATGAGTACTAGAATAGTTGAGATGTGGGTTTTTGTGTCACTGGAAGATCCATCCATTTAAATTCTGTGTCAACTTGGCGGAGATATTTTGTACTGCTGGCTTTTTTTAGTTGTTTAATTAGACACTGCAGAATTGTACACAGCAACTTCTGTCTGCATAACATTGGAGCCTTTTTGGCTTTGCAGTGACAGTGGTAGGAAGGTTGAGGATCCAGAGCTGCTTGAGGCAATTCGCTGTACAATAATTAACAATCTACTCAAGTATCACCCAGTATGTGATACAACATCTTGCGATTAACCTTTTATTCTCATGTTGCCCATGTGCTTTTTCATCTAATTTGATCACCGTCATTTCTGTTCCAGGAATCAAGCAGTAAATTAGCGATGGGAGTCTTCTTTGGTGCACAACCGCCAAATCAGCAGGTGTTCTAATGGGTTTTTCTTTTTCAAATATTACTTTGTCACAGGTTACCAGCTACATTTCTACTTTGTTACTCACGGATTTCTTTTCTTGTGATGTAGCTAGACTTGCTAAGAACTTATGTTGTAATTCTCAGGTAGATGTGGACATCGCAACCCATATAACCATCTCAGATGAAAGTCCTAACCGAAGGTAATGAGTTCACCAGCCCATATTTCATGTCTTTGTTGTGTGACTAAGTTTTCAGAGCCTGTGTCAGGTAAATGCTGTGTAACACAGTGATTATGTTGTTATAACAGAGGCGTGCGTTTATTTATTTTCTTCTGCTACTAAGAATGGCATCAGAATTGTCATTCCTTTGTTAAGTTAGAGCACATGGTGGCCATGCATTTTGGCTGTTGCTACAGAAATAATAAGTCTTCAATTTCAGCGTATGTTTGGCTTTGCAACTACTTAACCAAGTCACATGTATACAATCATGATCACAAAATTACTCCAGTTCCTGTTACTTTTAAGAGGAAAGACTTGCTTTGGATCAGCATTGCCATTTGCCTGCAGGGGAGAAGCAGATATGTTTTGTGTATGCATCTTTATTATGGATAAGAATGTAACCAAGAAAAAACATAGTAGATTCACCATGACTTCCAATTTAGTTTTGATTATCTGATCTTGGAACCAGTAAAAACCTTGGAATTTTCCACCCCTTTAAAAGCTTAAATGGAAGATAATAATATTACTATTTAATTTTGTTCAATATGTGTGAAGGATTAACCATTGGCATGTGAACAATATTGCTGAGAAAGAAAGCCATCTGTTTCTTTTTTCTTGCGACAGCTTATTGAATGTGGAGACAGCTGATCGCCCTGGTTTATTGGTGGATCTAGTGAAGGTCATCAATGACACCAATATCGCGGTTGAATCAGGAGAGTTTGACACCGAGGTATAAGTGTTTTACGATAATGATCATATTACGACAGCCTTTCCTTTGTCTTTGTTTTTTAAGACTTAAAATGATGTTTTCCACCGGTGATCCTTGTTTTGTTGTACAGGGTTTGTTGGCCAGATCAAAGTTTCATATCAGCTACGATGGTAAAGCTGTCCCCAAGCCCCGTAAACAGGTAAATGAACCACACAGTGTCTTTCTGGTTCTTGCTAGTTAACAGTTTTGTATATGCTTCATCATCAAAACGCCGTAGTTTGCTAAACACGAACATAAACCAAGAAACCTTTGGCATGTGTTGAGTCTGCTAAGTTATATCTTGAGCCTTGGATGTCCTAGGAAGAAATGTTTTTGACACGCGAGAGATGAAGCCTTTCATGGTCTTGATATGCATAGCTCTTTGCTTCTTCTATTTTCTTCTTCTTCTTTTTTACAATAATATGCAGCTCGTTGCTGCTAACTTCTTTCCTATCCTATTGAAAGCTAGAAACTATTCCTATTGATTCTGATATAGAGTGTGCTTTCCAACGTTGGTGAATCCTTGGCCAGGTTCTTGCCAACAGCTTGCAGTACTTCTTGAGGCGGCCAGCAACAGAGGACTCCAGCTTTTAAGCCAGTTGAAGAAGATTGTGGCCGGTTGGAGAGAACAAACCAAACCACTTCTGTGTTCCCTCGTTACATCTCTTGAGAAGCCTGTATCTTTGTGGTAAACCATCCAACATGTTTGGGGTTTCATTCGATCGCTAAAACGGGAACGTGAGTTTCAAAATCCAAATTCGTGTCGTCTTCAACTTCAATTTGAGCCAGAGTTCCTGCAATCGGACTTTGGTTAGTACACTGTGAACCCTCCGACTTGGTTGAAGAAACCCTTTCCCCCAGTGAAGGGTAAACGAAACAGCCCTTCTCATCATAATTGAAAATAACACACCATTTTCCCATACTTATGATGAATGTACTCACATGGCGGATTTCTTGGCATACCGCGTCCACTCACTTCATCTTCGTTTACATACAAGAGACTGTAATGATCCAGGCCTTCGATACCGAACTAACTACGATTCTCTTAGGGCCTCCGAACTAACGTCCTGTTTCTTACCAAAACCAGAGTGGAGATCTGGTTGGAAGGGAAGGGAAGTGGGACGTGTAGTGCAAGCAAGTGGAGAAAGCGACGAGGCGGAGCGTAAATATCAGATTACGATATATTTGGTCCTGGAATTGTGGACATTGTCTTCTCAAAATCAATGCTCTCTGCATTCAGCAACTGGCAGAAATGGCCGAAAGCAGAGCCTTTAAAGCCTTGTTTACGTGCTGTGGACTTCCATCCACCACGAATAACAATCACTCTGTGTTGGTCCTCTCTAATTTGGTCCCAACATTACGTTGATTGATTTTATCTTAATTGGCAGCCATTATCGTGATGCGACCAGAGGACCATTAGTGAAAGGTCTGTAGTTCGCATCCAAATCGTGACCAATTGTAGCAGTAATGTTCCTTCTTCTGGTAGATAGGAAGGATCCCTGCAGGTATCATTCCCACTTCCCAGCTCTATAAATTGAAGCCAAGCTAGATCGTTAGTTGTACTGATTTGTATACAAACCCTTCTTCTTGCAGGAAAAATTAGTAAACAGATACAAATCCATGGCGGCGACGGAGATGAGCGGGAAGCTGGAAGTGGAGGTGGAGCTGCATTGCTCGCCGGAGAAGATTTACGACGTGTTCAGGAAGTCAGGCCACGAGCTCCCAAGCCACGCCCCGACGCACGTTCAGGGCGTGCAGGTCCACGAGGGCGAATGGGACGCTCATGGCACCGTCAAGTTCTGGATCTACACTTGTGGTAAGTTACATGTTCATGATCATTACTGTAGGGAAATGGAACTCCATCGACATAGTTATACTCTGTTTTTTTTTTTTTTGGGTTGGTTTCATTATGTTGGGAAAAAAAAACAGAGGGGAAGATGGAGGTGCTTAAGGAGAGAGTGGAATACGACGATGACAAGAGAATTATGAAGCTGAATGGGCTGGAGGGGGATGTGATGAAGCTCTACAAAGTGTACACCTCAATCTACGAATTCGTGGCCGGCGGCGAAGGGAAGAAGCAGGGGGTGGCGAAACTGTCGATCGAGTACGAGAAGCGGGACCCGAGCGTGCCGGATCCTACCAAGTACATGAACCTCGTCAGCCTCTTCGTCAAGGAGGCCGACGCAAGCCTTGTCAAAGCCGATTGATCGTTGATTTCGCGCTCTCGATTAATATCTATCACACTTGCCAATATATGTATGCATGTGATCGTTACTCTTTTCGTTGTGTGTGCTTCTGCTTTCCGTTCGATTGGATGCTGTGTTTCCACACATCAACTTCTGTGTATCCCGTATGTATTGTCTGTTGAATGTAAGGCTTGTTTAGCCAATAATACTAAATAAAAAAAGCATTTTGTGAAGTAGATTTTAATATGATTCGTACTGAAATATGCATTAATATGCTCTCTGATGCTTAAGAAAGGGAGTGAAGAGATAATGTAAAAAAGAGACGACGAGTGATTATTTACAGACGACGAAATGTTTTGGAATTATTGAAGAAGAGAGTTTTTTTTTTTTCTCGAAATTAACACTATGCATTCAGCAACTGCAGAAATGGCGGAAAACAGAGCCTGTTAAACCCTTGCATACACGTTGTGGACTCCCATGGAACTCGGCTCACGAGCTCCCCAGCCACACCCCAACTCACATTCAGGCTGTGCGGATCCACGAGGGCGAATGGGGAGCTCATGGAACCGTCAAATTCTGGATCTAAACTCTTGGTACAGTGCACGAACTTGAATTTTTTGCCGGCGGATTGAAGCATGCTCTGTTTTTTTTCTAACACTCTGTTTTTCCAACACTCTGTTTTTCGTTCTGTCAAAATAAAAAACAGAGGGCAAGCTGGAGGTTTTCAAGGAGAGGGTGGAGCACGACGATGCGAAGAAAATGGTGAAGCTGAATGGGCTGGAAGGGGACGTGATGAAGCTCTACAAAGTCTACAACATAATCTACGAGTGCGTGGCCGGCGGCAATGGCGACGGGAAGAAGCAGGGGACGGCGAAGCTGACGATTGAGTATGAGAAGAGGATGCCGAGTGTGCCGCCTCCGACCAAGTACGTGAACCTCATCACCCTCCTCGTCAAGGAGGCGGATGCAAACCTTGCTAAAACCGCTTGATTGATCGATGAATCCAACTCGATCATCGATTTCGCGCCCGGTTAATAACTGCTGCGTGATCTTCTGTGTATCCAGTGTATGTTTGCGAAGAATCCATGTTGCAGAAGTATGTGTACACTGTCGATCAAGAGTGTGCTTGTTTGTATGGCTGTTGGTTGTAAGGTGTGTTTAGCCAAAATAAAAGGGATGGTGAACAATGTAACTAAAATCTCCCTTTAAAATTTAAAAGCTTATACTTTTACGCTTTAAGGTCATGAAACGATTTTAAGTTTTCATGTAAACACTTTGAGGATATTGAACTAGAATCATGGAAGGGCAGAAAACAGAAAAAAGTGTAGATATTTTCTTCTTTACAAGGATTACAATCCTAACTTTCTCGGCATGATCTAAAGCGTCACAGTTTTTGGTTCCCATCGATCTATCTTTCTGGGAGCAATGTTTCATGACCAGCTTCAGAGGCCTCAGAGATTGACATGCACAGAACAGTTAGAATATTGGGGGTTAAGGTAATAAGTTTTGTCACAACTGCAGCAGCCGGATCTTTGGCGAAGCAGAACTGTCAGGTAGGCAGTTGTAGCTACCAACATGTCGAGCTCGGTCACAACCAAGCTGGCAAAGAAGAATGCAATGATGGTCTAGTATCAGATCAGCAGGAATGCTGGGTTTCTGGCGCAGGATAGCTTTATCGAAGGGGCATACTACAAACCCGGTTCAACCGTGACCAGTGTTGGTTCAAGAAACCAAATCCCAGCTTTGTAAGAACTGCTCCTCCTTTCCATGTGTAATACAGAACTGTCATCCACTCTTCTCGACGGTTACTCCCACGGACCAAGTCTGCTCCCTAGTCATCATCTGTAAGAAAAGGAACCAGGCATGTAGTTGATGATACAAGCGTTACCAAGTTATAATTGGATTCTGAACGATCACTCTCTCTTTTAGCATGAACGGCAAACTTCCAAGAAAACTCACCACTTGAACGATCAACATGCACGAAGAAACTTGCGGCGACTATAAGGTAACACAGGATGAGCATAAGGCCTTTAAAGTAGTTAGAGGTTCCTTCCTGAATCCAGCAACAACAAAACATGGTACGCGTTGAGCGAAGTGAAGAAGATGAAGGACATCTCAATCTTAGCAAAACTTGAGAACCTAATTTGTATTAATCTGTTCCACGAAGCCAAAATGAAAACGGTTTAGAGTAGAAGAAAAGCAAACAGACTGAGCCGCGAACCTGTAACATGAATGCCACCACTAGAACAGTGATGAAGAGGGTAGCAGTCTCAAAGAGTTGAAAATTCAAGTCCATCGGTTGGCCCATTATCCACCCAAGGACGACACAGAATGGGATCTACAAGTCCCAAGAGAAAGACAGTGAATTAACCGTGGCAAGTACTTTAAGCAACAAAAAAGCGAATTCCAATGAGCAAACCGAAAGCAGAAGTTCACCAACTGCAACAGATGAATACAAGCAGAAAGAGCTAATTACCACAAACATTGAAATCTGTGTCGAGGACCCAATAGCAACTCCAAGGCTGATGTCCTGAAAAGATATTGTCCATAGAGCAACCCAGATAAGTGTATCGGTATTCAATCAGCATTAGCAGCATGAATTAGGAGAAACAAAAACATCCATTATTGTAGAACATCATCATTCCTACTTACAAGCTTGTCCTTCATAGCAAACATTATGGCACTTGCATGCTCAGCTGCATTTCCCACAATAGGAAGTAGGATCACACTTATAAAAGCCATAGGCATATTCAGTGACTCAGAAGCTCCCTGAAAGACACGTATCAATGGGATTAAGTAAGTAAATGGAGAATCGACCCTCACCAACAATGTTCTCCAGTTCGCACAAATTCAAACTTGTCATTTGCATACAGGGGTGGAACACTACAGTTCTAGTTACCTGGATGGCATCAACAAGGTATCCAGACAACACAGAGATCCACAAAGTCAAAACTGCAAGCCAACCAATTGCCTCCCACTGAGTTATTTCCGGTGCTTCTTCTTCATCGGCACCTTCTTGATCATTATTCACTACCTGTAGAATTTTACAAGGATTACAATTTGGAGTATTGTCAAGGCTCGAAACACTACCCGAGAAGACTAAGGTTGCTTTACAAAGAAATTATCTACTTTTGTCTCCAAATATTTGCATTCCTCCAATTATTAAAGTTCCTTCCTAAGAAAGTAGGAAGAAGAATAGCACCACACTTCAAGTCTTGAGCTACACTTTATCCACAGTTAACACCGATTCACGTATCTCATCCATCAGTGAGACTGACAACCGAAGCACGAAGAGTAAGAAGATGGTATAAACAATGTACCTCCTCAATAGGGTTGTAAAGATTATCCTGACTCTTAAGTTGGAAGAAGAGGTAGCTTCCATAAGCCACTAGCATAATGCAGCTACTAAATCTTGAAAGTGCCATTTCTGACTTCCCAAAATGAACTTCAGTGCGTGTGAAGTGAAGCACGGCTGGGAACATTATCCCCATCACAGCCATTAATAATAGTCCAGAATTCACTACAGCAGCTGCCTGTTGCAAGATAATTCCCATTTTCACATTTCATACAAAACTGCACCAGCTTAGGCATTCAGACTTTGTCCGGGAAAGATGATTTGATGTGACTGGAAATACCTTATTGAAAACCTGAACCTTCTTACAATGTACAATCCCACCAGTGAAGAAGGAAAATCCAAGCACCAAGAGCATATTAGACAAGATGGACCCCAACAGAGATTGCTGAACAACTCGAACCATTCCACTCTTTAGTGCATAAATGGATATTATCATTTCAGTGGCATTTCCAAAGGTTGCATTCAGAAGACCACCGGCTGGACAGATAACAAAAAAACATTAAAATTACTGTAGAACTGCAACTTAGCACGAAGTCTTTAAATCTAAAAGCATACTGCAACCAATCAATCCCAGGAAGATGAAGGAAAAATTATATTCCCATGCAAACAACATATTTTTTATTGAATCTCAATGAAATGATAGCCAAAATCCTCAGTCCATGTATACCAACATTTTCGGTACGTACTAGCACCAATAGAATTCATTATCCATCAATGGATCAAAGAATTGGTCTATGGTAAGTTAGCCCAACACAACAGACAGCCAAATCACAAGTAATTTGGTGTTCTTTTGCTTCAGCAGTAATATTAAAAAAAACTGAGAAAACTCCTCCCAAGTTCAAATCCCTAACGCTTTAACTTTGTCTCGACCCCTAACGTTTTTTCATGATTTAGAATCTGTGTCCTTTGATTTCAAGAATTTGGATTCTTAAGCTCTTCCATGAATTATGATTTTTGTTATTGTGTAACCTCTATTTGTATTCTATAATTATGAACTTCCTATAAAGAGTTAGAATTTGCTCTAGTTTAAGAGCTCGTCAAATAATTTATGTGTTTGAGTAGCAACCTTTTAAATATGGAAAAGAAGATAACAATGTATATCTAGTGTTCATATTCCTAAGAGTACACGTTTTAGTTAGAAGATTTTTAACAATTTTCCATATGCATAAAAGCTTACGCTTTTAGTCTCTACCAATCTCTCCACTTCTACGTCGAAACATTTTGACTACAATAATGCTAACCTACAATTTACACTTTTCATAAGGCTGGATAAAAAAACTTGTGATGACTGATGAGTAAAAATTCAGTTATAGAATATAAAAAGCATAAAATAAATAAATTAGAGAGAACCTAAAGCTCTTGCCACATATGAGTCTTTTATGCTTGTTCAAGTGAAGAATAGTTTTCACATATTGAGTAGGCTTTCTCAGAAAGGTCACCATCATAGATGGTCACTATTGAACTCAGTTACCTACGTCTTCCTGCTAATACTTAAGTTACTCATTACAGACACCAAAAAAAAAAAAAAAAACACCAAAACTCAACATGAACAGCCATAAATATTCACATATGGTGCGATTTGCAATCCCACATTCTTCTGACCATAAAAGGAAAGTTCAGTCTGATGCTGAATACGGCTTCGAAGACAAGTTGTCCGCATTGACTAGGATATATTATGACGAATCAAGTCAAGAACTAAGTCAACCATATCTGACTTGCACAGTAAGGCATCCGAATTAAGAAGACCAACTAGGTATAAGTTATTAAGTGTCCAACTAGGAATATTCAGTACCAACCATACCTGTTGGTCCAGTGTAGAATGCAAGCTGCCTGCAAAGCAATTACCAGTAAACTTCTCATTGCAACTTCCAGTGTATAACAAGAAAGAAAATAAGTAATATAACTGATGAACACACTGACACTTACTCAGTTGCATAGCCCAACCGCTCGGCGAGAGGTATAATCCCCACTAAACTAAAGAAGAAAACCCATACCTGGAACATGACATTCAAGAAATCAATATTGTAAGTGAACTATAAACCGTTTTCTGGTATGACAATCAACCATAAAATTATTGAAAAACAAATGACAAAAAACAGCACAACTGTCGATCAAATGCATACATGCTTTCCAGTGAGGTAATGAAGCAAGATTGCTAGGGGACCAAAAGGGAGCAAGATATTGATCTTGGCTCTGATCAAAACAATGTAAAATGTCCTGAAAGGGCTCATCTCCATCCGCTTGACAATCCAGGAGTTGGTCAAATGATCAGAAGAAGTATTCATATGGGAGTGATTGGATGAACTCAGTGGCGATGTCTCACTCTCCAAATCAAAATTTACTGCTTTCCTCCTTGTTGGTGAGGAGGTGCCACTGAACAGGATCTCAATCTCCTCATCACCAGATTCAATTGCAACTTCCACTTTCTCATCCACAGTTCCCATATCTACACGCCAACAGAAACACAAGAAAGGAGAAGACTTTCAGCAGAGAACCAAATTTATCGATCCAGTAACCAAAAGCAAAAAACCCCACCAGCACCCAGTTCAGAGAAGTGCAACAAACACCATAAAGTTGCAACCTTTAAACCTATTTCCCGAAAGATGAGCGAACAGATCAAGGTAAAAGGAGAAGTGGGGGAAAAATGGAAATCAGGACTTCCGAACTCCAATCCAATACCTGCTTGGTGGCAGCAGAGACAGGGAGCACAAATACGGCGGAGAGGCTAATCTGAATTGCTTCCCCCTTGGCGGTTGTTCCGGTTCTGTTGGGATGAACGTTGTGAGATCCTGCTATGAAGCTTTGAGATTATCGGGAGAGAAATGGTTGGAAAAGCACTAATAAAAAGGGAGAAATGGGCAAGCTTCGATTAACGGAGGAAAATCACAAACTGAAAAGAGTCAGGAGAAGGTGGAGGAGAAGTCAGATGTGCACTATGGCCAAAGGAAGTGGTAGTGGGGAAGTTTCTCAGAAGTACCGCCATTTTGCTCTCTGGTTTCTCCTTTGATTTTTCTATTCTGGCTACTACTAACGTGGAATGTCATTTTGCTCATAGTAAGTTCCAATATATTTCCGACCCTTGCTCATAGTAGTTGGAATGTCATTTTTCTCATAGTTGGATTAATCGATATCCCGACACTCTGGTCCGCCACTTCACTGACCAAGGGTCGGATCATCGGGCCATCTTACTCGCGGATAAACCTTACACCAGGAACTCTCGCCCCTTGTTCCGATTTGATGCTCGATGGGCAGAGAATCCGGAGGTTAGGGCGATGGTCAACTATGTCTGGCAAGAGGATATTCGTGGATCTCCGATGTTCCAGCTGTGGGATCGCCTGAAAAAGCTCCGTCATCTTCTGTATGATTGGAGTAGGGCAGGTACTACGAATTCCCTGCGTAATATTCATACGCTCCAGGCTGAAATTGAGAGGATAAAGCAGATTCATCCTATTGATTGGGATGCGATTCGCCCGTTGGAGTTGGAACTTACTCGGCAATGGGAGGCAGAGGAAATATATTGGCAACAAAAATCTAGAGTTCATTGGCTTAAAAAGGGTGATAAGAACACTTCTTATTTCCATACGGTCACTAGAGCTCGGCGAAAGAGAAACTTTGTGGAAGGTCTTCGCAATGAGAATGGAGACTGGGTCACGGAGGAGAGTGGTAAAGCAGACATAGCTTGTGGTTTTTACAAGAACCTTTTTACCTCGGAGACCCAGGTTGAGAATATGTGGGATAGAGTGGCAGACTTGCCCATTGCCCAGGCTATTACGCCCGATATGAATGATAATCTCACGGCGGAGGTCCTTCCTGCAGAGGTGCGCAAAGTGGTGTTCTCCATGAGATCAAAGCAAGCCCCAGGCTCTGATGGGTTCACTGGCAAGTTCTTCAAAGCCTTCTGGGATATTGTGGGGACTTCGGTGATTGAAGCAGTTTGCTCGTTCTTTCGGACGAGTAAGATGCTTCGCAGCTTCAATCACACCTGGTTGACCCTGATTCCCAAAGTAGATAATGTGGAGACCATGAAACATCTGCGCCCGATAAGCCTCTGCCAGTTTGTGTATAAGATCATAACCAAGATTATGGCTGAGCGGTTGGCTAGCCTCCTCCCGCAGGTTATCTCCCGGGGCCAGAATGCGTTTATCAGGGAACGTCAAATTGTCGAGAACATCCTCCTCGGGCACGAACTAATGCACTACCTGAAAACCAAAACGAAAGGCAAGAAAGGGTACATGGCTCTGAAGGTTGACATGGAAAAAGCCTATGATAGAGTCGAATGGCCGTTTCTCCTGGCGGTTTTGGAGAAGATGGGGTTTAGTTCTATTTGGCGAGGATGGGTTCTGGAGTGCCTCAGGTCCACTTCATTCTCAGTCATGATGAATGGCACGCCTGCGGGCTATTTCACCCCTTCTAGGGGCCTGCGTCAGGGTGATCCCCTATCTCCTCTTCTGTTTGTGCTCTGCACAGAGGGTTTCGCGGCACTTCTAAATAAGGCTATTTCGGAGGGTAAGCTGCAAGGGGTGAAGGTGGCTCCTCGGGCTCCACGAATCACCCACCTGTTCTTTGCTGATGATTCTTATTTATTCCTCCGAGGTTCTCTCCAGGAATGTGAGAATCTGATTGAGGTGCTGAATGAATATGAGGAACTGAGTGGCCAAAGGGTTAACTTAGACAAATCCGCGGTCTGTTTTAGCAAGAACATTGTGATGGCTGATCAGGAGTTCTTGGCCCAGATTTTGGGGGTAGGGGCTGTTGGTGTCCATGATAAGTATCTGGGGCTACCCACGTTGATTGCTAGGTCTAAAATGGCGACTTTTCGATACCTAGAAGAAAAGCTCCTGGAGCGTTTACAAGGGTGGAAGCAAAGGACATTGTCATGGGCGGCTAAGGAGGTTTTGATTAAATCCGTTGCCTTGGCTCTCCCGCTCCATGTCATGTCCTGTTTCAAACTTCCTGTCTCCCTATGTAGACTGTTGGACAAGCATGTAGCGAGGTTTTGGTGGAATGTGGTGGAGGGTCAGCCTAGAATTCGGTGGTTATCATGGAGGAATATGTGCCGTAGTAAACATGATGGGGGCATGGGTTTCCGGCGTTTTGAGCTCTTTAACCAAGCCCTGCTAGCCAAGATTGGATGGCAGATCATTACGGACCCCCTATCCCTCTTAGCTCAAGTTTATAAGGGCAAATATTTCCCCTCTGGGTCTTTCTTGACGGCTACGGCCCGTTCCAGGCCCTCTTGGGGCTGGCAGAGTATTTTGTACGGCAGACAATTGCTCGAACAAGGGCTTCGGTGGCAAATTGGGAATGGCCAAACTGCTTCTTTACTTTTGTCCAATTGGGTCCCGTCCCTTCACCCGGACCCCCCGCGGTTTAATCCAGTGGTGATTCCGGCTGAGGGGGACCTCCGGGTAGAAACAGTTCTCTGTCCGGGGGAAGGGAGGTGGAATGAGGAGAAGCTGAGGCAGTGGTTTGATCCCCCTACTTGTCGAGCCATTATGCGCATTCCGCTTCCGCGGCAATGCGTGGAGGATCGACTGGTATGGAATGACACTGCGGATGGGATTTTTACGGTAAAATCTGCGTACCACCTTGCGGTCAGAGTGGATCAGCAGAGGAATCAATGTAGAGCTACGGTTAGTTGGATAGATAAGCCCAGCTGGATCCGGTTATGGGAGGCTAACATACCCCCAAAGCTTAAAGTGTTCGTCTGGCAAATTTTTAATCGGACTCTCCCCACTACTGAGGCACTTCGGAGTAAAGATGTGATGGTTCACCCTCGATGTCCGGTCTGTTGGGATGCAGAGGAAACCATGGAACATTTATTTCTGGACTGCCCAGTGGCTAGGGCACTTTGGGATTACTCTGGGCTAGAACACCTGGGTCAGGGATTGCCCCGCCATACGTTCCCACTCTTTCTTAAACGCTTGTTGGCCCTCATTCCACATTCGGAAATGATTATGACGGTGGTGGCGGTTCTCTGGAGGATTTGGCGCTCTCGAAACTGGGTTGTGTTTGAAGGGAAGCAATTTGGGTTCCCAGCCTTGATGCGGCAGTTAAACCAGCAGGTTGATGAGTGGCTGCGGGTGCCAATTGAGCGGGGGAATCCTGTGTTTGCTCCTGAGCCCCTCACAACTAATGCGGGGGCTGATGGCCGGGTTATTTGTATGTGGGATGGAGCGACGAGACAGGGATCGCACTCTGCTGGAGGTGTGGTACTGATGACCCCTTCTAGGGCTATGTTGGTAGCCAGAGGTTTCCACTTCCCGTGCATTGATGATCCGTTGGTGGTGGAACTGTTGGCCCTGCGAGAGGCTATAGGGTGGTGTCTGGTGAATGGGGTCTCGGAAGTTTGCTTTGAAGGGGACGCCAAAGTGGTCATAGACAAGATCAATCGGGCGGAGACTGGTGATGGTAGGATGGGTGCGGTTCAAGTAGAAGTTGTTAACTGTTTTGCTTTGCACCCGGGGTTTAGTGTTCGATTTGTAGGTCGGTCTCGCAATAGGGTAGCCCACTTGGTGGCTAGGAAGGCCCTTTCATTGTCTCCGACTGCAAATTGTTTGTTTGATTTCCAGACCTGGCTGTGCTCCAGGATGTAACTATCTTGTGGTTGATTCTATATATATGAATATCTTTTGTCAAAAAAAAAAAAAAAAACGTGGAATGTCATTTAAAATCGTATGAAGTTAAGTTCCTCTCTTTCCCGTATCCGTATGTGTGAATTGAATTGTGACGAGTTCGTTTGACTGCTAACTTCTATTTTGCCATTCTCTTTGGTTCTTTCTTGTAAGAGACAAAGTCAGATATATACAAATTCAGTTACCTCTAATCCAACTAGCTCTGTGCCCGGCCCTTGGCCGGGTCGATTTGCTCAAATATAAAGCATTGTGTGGGTCATGTAAGCATTCTATTGCAACTCTTTGAGTCAGATACTCAGATCAACCTACATATGAGGACTAAAGTACTTTTCACGGCTTGGAACTTGGAGCTTCCATTGTTAGCTTGTGTTGTAGCTTGAGTTGTACCATTGCATTGTTGTCTGGAATGCAAGTTATAGTTTCTTTTTCACAGTCGTTAGCAATGGTGATGTAGCAATCCTCACTCGATGTAGATCTGGTTGCGGAGCTTTTCATGTTATTGTATCTTCAATCTCTGTTTCATTGTCCTGTGAAAATATGGCATTTGTCATTAAAGTTCTGAAACATATGTGGATTCATTGTATGGTTGGTACCCATGCTAGCTTATAAACAAAGAAATTATCTCCTCATGAGTGCGACATCTAATTGCATAATTTGCATTTAAGTGGATAAATTTTACAATGCTATATAGTATTGGTGCTATAGGTTTTTGCTTCTATGGTACAACTTAAAATTGTACATTCACGTTATGGTACAACTTCATATTGTACCTATACTTTTTGTACAAATTCTTTTATAGTGCAACTTGAACTTGTACCTTTATGTGATGGTACAACTTCAAGTGGTAAAGTTGTACTATAACATAATGATACAAATTGCCTTATGGTACAACCTAAACTTATAAATTAATATTATGGTACAACTTTAAGTTGTACATTGAAGCACCAATGCTATATAGTATAGTAGAAGTGTTCATTTAAGTGATCAAAGACTATAACCTGTAGAAAACAAATAGTAAACACAATGTGGGTAACGTGGTTGAAGGAATTCAACAAATAAACCCCAAAAGCAATTAATTTGGATGACTCTATATATCAAAGTACATTGATGAATTTGATCACAAAGCTTTCAAAACGTTCACATGATTTAACAATGTATCACAATTATACATCAACCATCAAGAAAATCATTTATGGAACCATCAATTCGTACTGGTGCTTGCCTTGCTTGGGAGTTTGATGAGGACATTACAGTACTGCTTGAACTGCTGACTCCTATCACTTTTCCACTCTTCCAACTCTTCGGGATTCATCGCCATGGATTTTTACTCTAACTTCGAATCTGTTACATTAGGGCAACTATAGTTCAACAGTGTATTGGTTTCAAATCAGAACCAAAGAGACGATATATGGGAATTACTTGAGATTGAAGTGACAAATTACCTGATATAAACATTTAGGCAGGGAAGAAGAACATCTGTTTTGGGCGTATGAAAGGCTTCTTCTAAGACACTGGTCTCGAACTCCAAACTTAAGTCACAATTTAGATTTACAGGCAGGAAACATGGTTCCTTCGCCACAAAATTGCAAAAAAGTAAAGAAGAAACAGGGAAGAGCATATTCAGAAATCAACTGAAGAGGAAGATTCGGATAAAAAATGAACTTAATTTCTTCATAATCCGCCTCCCTTAATAATTTTCAATCAATCTGTTAAGGGAACAATTAATTCAAAATCCAAAACTATACCCACATATACCCAGACTAACTACCATGGCAAAGCAAAGCATAGCTTCCCACCCTCTCACGGCGAAACAAAATGTCCCAATCCTGAATCCGAATCCCGTTCCAAGTTTGAGTAGGAGAAAATTGAGGTTGAATGATTCTCTGTGACTTGTGAGAATCTGTTTGGGGGTGAAAGAGAAAAAGAAGAGGGAAAAGCACAGGTGCTATTCCCTTCCCGCGTATAAAAGAAAAAGAAAAAAAAGTAAACATATCCCCGAAAATTGTCGAGGGATTCGGTTTCCAAACCTCTTCAAAAAAAATTAACATGTGGCGGACTGCTATTGGATAAAGGAGTCGCTGACGTGGAAGCATGTGGTGAACGGAAATTTGAATTGGAGAGGCTGTTTAGGAGAAACCACTTATAATATTCCTTAGATTCACAAAGGAAATTCAAAGGTGTCAGCTTTACATTAGACAGGAAAAAAAAGGGTTAAAACGTTTAATTTTGGAAGTCCCTTGAAATATGACGCAATAGAGAAATATTTAGATTAAATCGATGCAATAATTAAATTGTCCTCGTTTGGATTGATAAATTTTAGAGAACGAATTACGTTTTCTTTTCATTCGTCTTGAAAATTTCCCTTTGGAGAGAATTGAGATGAAGTGAATCAATTCATGCACTAGGAGAAATTAAATGACAAGTCTGCCACTCTATTCATTCATCCAAAAGTTGGGGATTTCTTGTTTTGGTCTGCTTTGTTTAGTTTATTCCTCACCAACTGATGTTTCAGAGGCAACAGCAGCAGGGGTCCTTGGTTGCTGCAAATTCCAAGTATTACTCACTAGCCCATAAGTGAACAACTGGAAAACTACATGTAAAAATATGGACCTCTTTCTTTACCAAGGACACTCATTGAAGCAACAAACTACAAACTGTATCTCTGCAGCTTAAACTTTCTAACCCCCCAACTTTTCACAAAGATACAAAGATTAGAAATGGTAAAAAAGAAAGTAAATGAGAAAAAACACCCCTCATGAAATTGAGAACCAAGCAACAGCTGCATCTAAAAGGCTAAGGATAAAAGAAAAACACCAAAACCAAACGAGACATTGTTCATACTCAACTCCTTTGTTCTCCTTTCCTTTTTTTTTTTTTTTTTTTGTTTCTCTTTTCCCTTTTGATTTTCTGGTCATTGCAATTACAAGCACAAAGCCTCCTACAGATTCCATCACATGTGTATGGAAAAGGGTTGTGCATGGAGCATTAGTTAGAGTGGGGATGACGATGTTCTCCGCAGCTGATACCTCGGCTCAGGTGTCGGTGCACTTGGCAACATCTTCTCCAGCTCCTGCAAAATTCCACATTTCAACACCTTGGTTGAGATTTCTTTCAATTGCAGATAATAACCAAAGAACTCATGAAAAGAAAACCCATATGCATCCAAAGCACATTCATGTGCTAAACAAATGTGAAGCATGGGGCACTGAACTGCAGACTAACAAGTCAAGATTGCATGTAAACAAATGCAAAACAGTGCTCGTATAAAAAGGGTCTTTAAACTAATACATAGATCCATGCTAGAGACAGTACTCCATTGACCAGGTGATGTTCTTCTAACAATTCCTAAATCTCGGGTTCAGATTTGGCAATTTGAGCTATTCTATGCACCTAGTATGTGATTTCAGCCTCTTCTTACCGAATCAGCGTTGGCATATAGTTTGGCTAGGTATAAAACACAAGCTGTGTACAACATGTGCATATCATGCTTGAGTAGGATGGACTGTAAGAATGACCCCGAACGCATACCAAGAGCGATATATTTCCCTAATTAAGGCTACCAGAAACTTCCTACAGCAACAAAAACTTCATATAAAGTTATAATGCCAGAATAAGCAGAAAATTCATCTATCTACTGCGGTTACTATTGTTGTTGCGATGACTGTAAAATAAGAGCAGTGCCACCTTTCTACCGTGCTTAAGATGTTACCAGTGGTCAAAACTGCAACACTATCATCCAACATCATAACCTCAGAAATCCAAGCACTCAGTCTCGACCAAATTATTAGCTCGCAACAAAACAACATTCTCGTGCTACTTTTCTTCCTTGCTAACAAGACCGTCGAAATCCATTAGCTTGGAGCTAGATACAACTGATTCAATCTAGTTGAAAGCAAATGAACAACCACAGACCTTTGATCTTTCTTAACTATTCATTTGGGTAAAAGACCTTGTGGACAGTCAAGGAGACAAACAAAATGCTGAATGCAATATTAGCCTTCCAAAGTAATCAACAGACAAAGAAGAACTTTCCCTTTCTTCACTTTCCAGACTATTGACAAATCCTCTGCTTCACATTCATCAAGAATAATATATTAGAATACCCGCACAGCGCATGATTGCTGCGAAGAAATTTCCTACTCAACAAGGAACCGATAAGGATTTGTTCTTGAATGACAATTCTCTACACAGAAAGGGAAGATGGCCTGAATTATATCCTACTTAGACCATAGTAGTAATTCCATAAGCAAAAAATCAAGATTCCAATCATTTTCTACATTTTAACTCCACCATAAACACTTGAAGCTTGTTGCCAGGTTTTCAATTACTGTTACAGTCTTAGAGCTGATACTAGGAAAAGGAAAAGGACATAAGCTCAAGGGTCATGGGAAAAAGAGTGTGCTGGAAGTTAATAACTAGTCAGAGTAATTTTCCTGCAACCATTATCGAAATGATTGATGCACATAAAAAATTACCGGTGGACTCAATTTCTGTCATTTTTTTGTCTCATGGTACTATAGTTGTTTGTAAAGTTGAAACCTTGAAAGCCAAAGTGCACCAGTTGGGACATACGTTTGATGACACAATGCTGTTACATTGATTTAAATTTTCTACAAACAGTTTCATAAACAAAAAAAATGAGTTATCATGAACTCAACAATTTATGCCTGAGTGTACTTTTTGGAGAACAAAAACATAAATTTGAATGCACAATGAGTAATGAACACAAGATATTGGACCTAAGAGAAAGAAACTGAACTCAATCAAAGGAGATCCCAGATTCTACAGTCGCACCCACACCACACCAAAGAAAACCACTCAAAGATTATCAAGTTCTCATATTTCTGAAGCAGACCAAAATTATGCTTCATCCACCCACCCACATATCCCTTCAATCTGCTCATGAGTTATCCACTAGTGTACAGAGATGATATTGAATTATACGTGGTACTCACTCATCCAAAATAGTTTAAATGTTTAGCAAATAGCTGCTGTTATCTACAAATCGACGACAGCAATAGCATCGGGTACCTCCACTTGAGCTCTCTAGTAAACTCAACTATTGTGATCAACTTTGATGCAGGGCAAGGGATGAAATAATGACAAAAGTGAAAGTAGCTGAAACCTTCATCAACGTCTTGATGATAACAAATGGTGGACACATCACTAACATTAATGATAATCAAAATGAAGCAGGATAGAACTCGAATGGAAGCTGACCTTTAGTTTCCTCAGTCTTTCGTTTTCCTCTTCTAGGCGAGACACTTTATTCTCTAGTTCATTTGTGTAGGCCTGGATATGCCAATTAAATTACGACGAAATGAGAGAAGCTAAATTGAAGAGAAAAAAGGAATAGGATAGCATAAAGTGGGCATAAAATCTGATTGAACCATTCAACCAAGCAAAATTAAACCTGTTTCCGGGCTCTTGAACGGGCAGCGGATTCGCGATTTTTTATCATTCTCTTCTGTCTCCTTTCAACATGCTTCTCAACAACTTCATCTGGTGCACCTCTTTTCCTCGCGGGCATTTGTGAATCTGACAGTGTTCCCATTAGAGGCGGCGGAGGTATTGGAACTGGATTCTCTGGATACGCAACATCCATCACAGAACCAGCCCCCATGTGAAGCGGCTGGGGTACAGGCTGACCTGGCATGAACATCCCCATCATATTTGGTTGAGGATGTTGGAACTGTGCATGCTGATACGGCAACCATTGACCCTGTTGGGGGAACTGCGGCGCTACATTTGGGTCAGCAACAGCAACCTCTCGATTATTATCCGAAGGTGTTTCAGCTACAATCCCTGCTTTGGCCAGAAAATCCTCCAATGTCACCTCTCCCAAAGTGGGTTGTCTATCCTTGGACTTCCTTTCTCCATTGCTCTTGCTTTGCTGAATATCTCTCCAAACCTCATCAACTGTCTTCTTGCTCAAAGCACCAGTTAGTGACAAGCTTGCTTGCCGCTGCAGGGAAGTTTGACTGGACAACTGTGTGCCTTCGGTCTCTGTACCCGTAGACTGGTTGGCCTCAGCAGTCCACACATTTTTTAGAAGTTCATCCAGATTCATGCTACTCAAGGGCTTCCCTAGGTCACCCAACTGGTTTTGGACCTCATCCAAAGTGAGGTTGTACAATGAGTTCTGCCGTCCCAATGGCTGGAAATGAGACTGATTGCCATTACTCCTAGCTTCACCATGAGAACCCATTGTCTTTATCTCCATTCAACAACTTTCACCTCCACCACTCATTCCATGCCAAACATTCACAAACTCACCAGAAGCCTTTTGGTGAACCAAACCTCTTCTTTAACCTGCTCCTCGTCAAATTCAAGTCAGAACCACACCCAAAACCTGAAAAGCCCAATTAAGAAGTCACAACCGAATCAAACTCAACATGCTACACTCGCGAATCCCTCAAGCCAAACAAGATCACTAGATTCAAACCCATTGCAGGCAAATCCCAGACATTCCACGGAAAAAACCCTAATCCATGCCTTGAGAATGCATCATTGAAAAAGAGAGAGACTAGCAATGAAAATAATCTTAGAAACAACTGATCAACAACCACAGCTAGGCAGGGGAAAGGGAGGAAAAAGGCCGATTAAACGGCAAATTCATGCGATTAGGACATATTGCAAGAGGATCCACCAAAAACCCCGCCTTAAACCATACAGAGAGAAGCAAACAAAACGAAGACAGAGAGAGAGGCTCCCAAATAAATAAATCCGACCGGCCTACACATTTTGGAAACCCCCAAATGGAGACTGAATAAGACACAATGAACCAAACAAATGCTAAACAAATCCATGCATCAGTTGCCTACACAAACACGGTAAAGGAGATGATGTAATTGATCAGAAGAACCAGAAACAGAGGGTGGGAAATGGGAAAAATTGACTACCACAACGGGCGCAGAGCTGGAAAACGCAACATGCAAACCCAGAAACAGCTAAAAACTGCCCGTCTCCATTGACAAATTAAGCGCTTGAAAACCCAATACCCCAAATCCCCTCGTGAACTCACTCACACACTCAAATCACATCATTTGGGGAGTACCCACATGATTAGAAAGCACCGGGAGCTTTGCATGGAATGAATCGAAGCCCTCTAACACTGCAACAATCGGAAGTGGTAGGAAAGCCCAAAGCTTTAACAAGGAAGATCACTGCACACTAACCCTTTCCCCCCCCCCCCCCCCCCCCCCCCCCCCCCCCCCCCCTCCAATGCAAAGTCTGCAAACCCAAATTAGACTGACGCTGAGAGACGCGAAACCGAAGGTGATTGAAAAAGAGAAGTTACCCTTCTGTGATCTGAGAGCCTGAGACGCTGGCCGAAGCAAAAGCGAGTAAAAGATTTCGGATTGGAGTGTGTGTTCTTTTCTGTTCTTTTTTCCCCTCTTTTTTTCTGTGTGGGGTTGCGGAGAGTGTTTGGATTCAGGTGAAGGGGAAAAAGAAGTCAGCAGTTTGTTTATGTATTCATTCCACCATCACTGCACAGGAAAGAGAAGAGGAGGACAAAAAAAAACGGAAGAAAATAATAATGTAATAAATCTAATAAGCAAGAAAAGAGAGAAATATAAATTTTAATTTCTGAAAGTAAAGCAAAAAGTGCAGAATTGTCATTAAAAAAATTGTCCAGCTTTTTATGTTTATGCCATGAAAAACTAGAAAGGGTATTCATAAAATAAAACAGTAAAAATTTCAATTTATTTAATAAAAAAAATTATTTTGAATGTGTTTCCGTATTTCTAAATCACAAAGCGTACTATCTGACTATGATCTTGCAACGATCTTTGTAAGCATGTAAAAAAGAAACTCGGAGTGAGGTTGCTAACTTATGTATGCTTCTTTATTTATTTACATATTGCAATGATTTACAAGCCATTTGGGTGACTAGAATGTAATTACCTATTTTTCGAATGAATGAATGAATGATTATCTTTTGTCTAAAAAAAGTCATTTGAGTGAAATTCATTATTATTTGTAATATAAATCAATCATGTCAAAAAATGGGAATAGAGTTAGTTGGTAGTAGAGAACAAGTGTAGAGACAACATAAACAACACCAAAACAAGTAATGTGTGTACTTGGAAAGACATTCAAACAAGGACGACACATCCCATTCTACGAAACTTACAATTTATTGAATAAAAGAAATTTTGATGATTTTTCATTCATTAAATTTAGGTAAGGAAATCGAATGGAGAATTAATGAGCAGAATCAAGCAGGGGGAAAGAAGGTTGTCAAGGCACAAGTCTGGATTCAAGAGGTACTAAATTCGAGTCTTGATAGATGTTAATCTTGTGTTACTGTTACAACGGTCAGCGCGACAAAGTTAATGTTCCCATTGAAACTTATTTAACACAGTTAGCGGTTGTTCATGACAGTTTGGCACTTTTGATTAGTATATCTCATTAGAATCAAAAGGAAAGTAGAAAAAGGAGAGTTTATTTTTATTGTTATTAAAGTCTAAACATTGTAATATAATTGTATATGTTTATTCTTTATGGGACTAAACAAAAGATGTTAATCTTAATTTTAATTGGCTGGCTAAAGTTTAAACTTTTTTGTAAAGAATATTAATTTCTATGTTGGAAATGGGTAACATGTGGGAGACCTCATGTGGTAATTATAGGAATTCTCCCCCTTTTGTTTGGTCCAATATATATGCCACGTGTAGCCACCCTAGTTGCTTAACAAAGTTTATTAATAAAATTTTTGCCGGCTCCAATGACGTTCCCTTGCCTTTTCTTTTTATTATTTTCTGCATTTTTTTAATTTAAGTCCGCCTCCTAAAAAAAAAATATTAGTTGCCCACCAAAAAAAAATATATATATATATTAGTTATTAATAAATATATACTCTTTGCGTCAGCTTATTGGTCATGGGTTGATGATGGGAGATTTCAGGACTGTCCAACTTGAATCAGGAGATGGATTAACTTCTAAGACACCTTGATTATAGGTAATAAAAATCATTAAGCAAAGCATTATGAATGTAGCACCATTAGAAACATACTTCTCCTTTCGTCATCGTCAAATATATCGAAATAATATCGTAAAAGTACAAATTGATGCAAAATAATTTTTTAAAAAGTTTCTAGGTTTTGGTATTTGAATAGAGTTGGTTAAGAGATAATTAAAAGATTAATACCTTATTCTGGCCCGAACTATGACCATACAATCAACTTTGACCCGTGGTTTCAGAAATTAACATCCTGGCCTTAACTATGCAGCATATATACTCAATTGGCCAGACTCGTGAATTTCCGTTAAATTAGACAGTCACCATCATTGACCGTTAGTGAATCAGCATGCTATGCTGACGTGCATGCCACGTGAAAAATAACAATTAATAAAAATTAAATAATTAAGCTCTGCAGTTTCCGTCCTAATTAGAATCTCCCGCTTGACTAATCTGAAGTCTTCTCCACCTCGTAAACCAAATCTCTCTTGCAATTGAAGAGAATTTGGAGCATCGCACACCAATTGGGCGAAATAGACCAGAATTTCGACCTCGATTAGCAAATCTCCGTTCAGCTTCTCCATAACTGCTTCCTCCTTCCCCTCCCCCGCCGTCGCCGACGGAGAGGAATTGACCTAGGGTTCTCGAAATGGCGAGAGCTCCCAGGGTCGGATCCGTCGCGGAATTTCAACAAGTTGAGGGAATTCCTCCCGCCGGAAGCAGGGCAGACGGAGAGCCAGGGACGGAGCCAGCTTGTACTTAGGGGGGCCATGGCCCCCTAAGTTTTAGAAATAGTTAAAATCGTCTATAGATAACACATTGTATGTCGGTATGTGTTGTGGTGTAGTATTATTAAGGCTCAATTAACATTAAATGTGAGGGAAAGGTTGTTGGTTCGATCCTTGCTTCGTTAATTTTAATCTTATTTTACCTCTTCTCCACCTAAATAATCACGGTTGGTGAGTGTGTACACGGTTTAGCGCCTTAGCATGTGGTCTCCTAATTTTTAATATTAACCGTCTACATATTATTTAATATCGTTTATTTTACCTCTTCTCCACCTAAATCATCACAGTTGGTGAGTGCTTACATGACTTAGCGCCTTAGTCTTTGGTCTCCCAATTTTTAATATTAACCGTCTACATATTATTTAGTTTTTTTCTCGATTTGTTTACAGGTATCTTCGTATTTCTTAGAAATTTTTTATCCTCGTGTCTATATATATATGATTTAATCTCGACTACCTTATTTTACTAATGGATATTATTCGGATTTGTGAATTATGAAATAGGTAAATGTATGATGTATTATAAAACACATGGTTCTTTTATCATGATTTCAGAAGAGATAAATCATTACTTTTTAAATTCGACACAATTTTAAGTGGCATATATTAAAATTTTGGATTTTGCTACGGTGACATGCATGTCACCGTGACATGGACTTTTCGGTTGACCTAATCCAACATGCGGTCGACCGAATGGACTAATTCATGTATGTGGGGTTCCGAGACGCGGTCGACCTCTTACATAATACGGTCGACCGCTTTGGTGGTCTAACAGAACGAAAGGTCGACCCAAATATCCCACCACATCCGACCACCATCATGCTAGCACCACCAATGAAGAAAATGTGGATGAGAGAGAGGGGGGAGATGAGTAGGAGAGAGGAGATTTTATATTGTGTGTTTTAGTGGTCAAAACGATTGTTGATTGTTATTCTGTTGTTTTTTTAGTTTTATTTTTATGTGTGAACAATTATGATTTCTGTTTTATTTTTAGTTGTTATGCTATGAATTGATGAGTTCTTGTTATAATTATTTATGACTAATTATGATGGTTTGAAACATAATTTATATGATTAAAAGAACCACACAAATCGACATACATAAGCAAAAAAGACACGGGGCATAGGTTGACTTTCTTGTATTCGGTCGACCTCGTACCGGATTAGGTCGACCGCGAAACCAACACTTGATCTTCATTTTACGTCAAATGATTGGACACTTTGATAGAACACTTATCTTCTATCTGGTCGACCATTTTGTTAATGACTGTCATCAAGTGGTCGACCTATATACCTTAGGTGGTCGACCATGTTGTTTCTGACGCCAACGAAATGGCCGACCCAGGTTTTATTCTGGTCGACCAAAAATAACAACTTAAACTAAGTGCGATCGACCAAGTGGTCGTTGAGGTCGACCGCAATGCTTTCTCGTACTGCTCAAATTAGTCAATTCGGTCGACCGCCTTCAGGAATAGGTCGACCGAAAAGTGCATGTCACCGTGACATGCATGTCATAGTAGGCATACCCTAAAATTTTTATGTGAACTCTTTGTACGTAATTAAGATTTTTTCATAAAATTTTCTTATCAGTATGCTGGAAATTTTTTTTTTTCCCCCCTAATCGAGAATCCTGGCTCCGTCTCTGCGGAGAGCTGGCCACACGACATGGATTGTGAAGAGGCACTTGATGGCGACGGAGGCGTGGAGGCAATCCATGAGGAACTCGATGCAGGTGCAGGTGGTGCGGCGGGAGTCGTGGCCACCGAGGGAGGGACGCTGGTCGCTGGAGATTGAGCGGTCGGAGGGAGGGTAGGCGGCATGGGATGCGGTGTGGAGGATTGCGAGGCGGAGCTTAGGTTTGGCAGGGGAGGAAGGCTTTTGAATTATACTTTTTCTTTAATTTAAAAATTATAAATAATAGAAATTAGAAAAATAATTTGATTTTAAATTTTTAATGATTTTTATGTTACAAGACAATGAGTGACATGGCGTGTTGACCGTCCAAATTGACGGTCAAATCATGTGTTGGGCTAATTGAGTATATATGCTGTATAGTTGAGGCTAGGGTTGTTAATGATACGAGCCGAGCCGAGTTTTGCCATAGTTCGGGCTCGGCTCGTTAATATATTTCCAAGCTCAGCTCGTGTTCGTCACGAGCTTTAATATGCAAGCTCAAGCTCGGCTCATTTATGAAAATGAAAATTCGAGCTCGACTCGTCAAATAATGTTAACAAGTCCAAAATCGAGTTAAACTCATAAAATTGTTCATATTAGCTCAAGATTGACCTAGAACTGGGCAAAATATTGCATTCCAACCTATAGCAAAGTCTAGCAAAACAAAACACAATATTTATTCAAATTTCAAGACATAAAATCCATGAATTTTAATCTTTTTCTTATGCCAAAACGTTAAATGAGCTTGTTCGCGAGCTTTCGAGCTGAACATGGTTGGCTCGAGTTCGGCTCGTTTAGTTAACGAGCTTGTTCACAAGCCGGCTCGATTAAGACAAATCGAGTTTCGAACGAGTTCTTCTCGAGTCGGACGCCGAACCGTTCATGAACGGCTTGGTTCATTAACAGCTCTAGTTGATGCCAGAATGTCAATTTCTAAAATCACGGGTCAAAGTTGGATTATATGGTCACAGCTCCGGTCAAAATAAAGTATTAACCCACAATTAAATTAATTAAAGTACATAGAAACCCAAAATTACTCACTTGAAAAACGATTTTTTATTTAGCATTTTTTGGCAAACCAAACACATCGTTTCACCAGCCACACACAACCACTCTTGACTTATATATACATACACGTACACTTTAACAGAAATTCACACATATACTTTTGCAGAGTCGATTATTATTAGCTATAGCAACGAAAACAGAGCAGCAGTAACGGTAAAGCGCCGCCGACGATGGATGATGGAATCAACCGGCTTTGACGATGCCGGCGTCGACCTCCTTGGTGAGTCCGATCATGAAATCCATGTACTTGGTCGGAGGCGGGAAGCTCGGGTCCAGCTTCTCGTACTCGATCGCCAGTTTTGCCACCCCCTGTTTCCCGCCGGCGCCGGCGCCGTCGACGAACTCGAAGATCGGGTTGTAGACTTTGTAGATCTTCATCGCGTCGCCTTCCAGCCCGTTCAGCTTCACGGTCTTCTTCGCGTCGTCGAATTCCACCTTCTCCTTGAACACCTCAATCTTCCCCTCTGTTACAAAGCGTTGCAGGGACAGAAATGTTTTACAACAAGTATGGATGGATCGGATTACGGGTTAAGACTT